TCAACAGCAAACTACAGACGTAAAGATTGAGATTGAGAGTGTAATGCAGAGTTGGCACACACCTGTACTCCCGTGGATTGCAAGTTCAAGCCCAGTGTAGGCAGCTTGGCAACTCAGAGAGATGCTGTTTCAAAATCAGAACAGTAAAAGGGGCCGGAGATGTAGCTGAGTGCAAATCCCTAGGTTCAATCCCTAGCACCACCAGACACACACCAAAAACACAATTTTTAGAATGCTTGTGATGTTTTTTTTTTTTTAGGCGGGGTCTCACTGTGTAGCCCAGGCTGGCCTTGAACTCACAGTGATCCTCCTGCCTCAGCTTCCCAAGTGCTGGGATTACAGGTGTGCACCCCCATGCCCGGCTCTGTAATGCTGGTTTTTTTTTTTTTTTTTTTTTTTTTTTTAATTTTTAATTTTTTTTTAATTTTTTTTTTAATTTTATCGGTACCAGGGATCGAACTCACGACCGCCTGCTTGCAAGGCAGGTGCTTATGCCACTGAGCTAAATCCCCAACACCCTGTAATGCTGGTTTTAAAGTTTTTATTTATTAGTGTATGTCTGCGGTCCGTGCGTGGAGCTGGTGTGTGTACACAGCACATCTTAACTCTCCTCTTCTTCCATTCCCCGCCTCTTACCTCCCTTCCCTTTTCTCTACTCCCTGTTACCTACCTTTTATTTTGCTCCTTATGTATATTTTGGACTTCTCATGTAAGAGGAACTAATTGATATTTAAACTTTTGCGTCTGATTTTTTTTTTTGTGGGTACTGGGACTCAAACTCAGGACCTCACGCTTACCAGGCAGATGCTGTGCCACTCAGCTGTGTCCCTGGCCCTTGTGGAATCCATTTTCCTACATATGACTCATGTTTATCCTTTATGGCAGAGCTGTACTCCAATTTATCTAAGTGCCACATGTGGGCCACTGCAGGTTTAGTGGTTGAGGACTGTGCTGCTATAGGCACGGGTATGCGTGGATCACTGTAATGTGGCGCCTTAACTCTCTTGGAAAGTTGCCTCGGAGGGGAATAGCTGGTAAAATGGAATTTCTAGTTTGTTTTTTGAGGGCTTTCCACGCTGATTTCCATGGTTGTTGCATTAGTTTATCCTCTCACAAACAGTGTGGAATTGTTCCTTTTTCCCTGCAACCTTCCCAGCATTTCTTGTTATTTGATTTGTTGACAATGTTTAAAAAGTCTGGATGCATCAGTTGTTGGCACGATGTAGACTGGAACTCTCATACACTGCTAGTAGAAATGTCAACTGGGAGAGAATTTGGCTTTTCTTAAAAGGTTAAAATGTTCCCGTTAGATTTCTGGGTATTTATTTGCCCAAAAGAAAACACGTGTCCACACAAAGCCTGGTGCGTGAGTGTTCAGAGCGACGTCATTGGAAACAGCCAAAACCAAGAAGTGGTGCTGGGCGTGGCGGCACACACAGGTAACCCCAGCACTCGGGAGGCCGAGGCAGGGAGATTGCCGCAAGTTCGAGTCCAACCTGGGCTATATAGGTTCAAGCCAGCCTGAACTGCATAGCAAGAGCCTCCTCAGAAAACAAACTCAGAAACAAAATAAAAAGTACAAGGACAAAAACTAGGAGCCGACCCAACACGCACTGAGGCATGAGTGCTGCATGCCGGAGCAGCTCCTCGGTGGACCCGCTCAGCCCGACTCCGAATAACATGCTGCGTACGGCAAAGATGACTTTTAAAATAATTATGGCGAGTGAAAGGGGACAAGCGGCAGAAGGACACACAGTACGTGAGTCTTCTTTTAAAAGTTTAAGGTGCCATGCTGGTGGTGCACTGTTGTAATTCCGGCACACAGGAGGCTGAGGCAGGAGGATCGAGTTCAAGGTTAGCCTGAGCTCTGTAGCAAGACCACTTCTGAGGGAGGGAGTACAGACTGATCTGATGGTGGCAGAAAGCAGGTCAGGGTTTGCCTGGGGTCCGGGGGCGGGCGTGCAGGCGGGCGGGAGGGGGCCACGGGTCGATCACCTTGTCACAGGTGGGCACGTCTAGACAGCGCACACACAGCTCGGCAGCAGAGGGCTTGTGTAGCACGCACAGGTCCTGGTTCTGTCCCCCTAAATCAGCACCACCACCACCAACGGAAAGTCCACCTGTACACTTCAAACATGTGTTCTCTTGTGCGTGGGTCATGCCTCTTGTGTGTGGGTAACACTGTTTTTAGAATTGGGTGGGGAAGGGCTTTGCAGACAGCCTGACCCGCCTGTCCTTGCTGCCGGCTGCAGATCGGCATGATCTGTGACCCCGCAGCCCTGGGAGCCCCGTGCCTTTCCTGCTCCCGGCCTGTGGTCGTGGGTTGTACGCCTCTGCTTCCTGCTCTGGCAAGTCTGGGTCCAAATGTTTGATTCTCTCCCTTCCTACAGGTGTGTGGTGTGAGGTTTGGGGTGCGGGGGACCGTGTTTTCATCCTCCTCGGTTCGCATACTCCCATAAGGTCACATTGGGCACTGTGGCCAGGTGTGCCCATTTACCCGTGTGTCATTCAGCACAGGACTGTGGTCACAGCCCCAGGTCAGACGTGACGTGACCCAGTAGGACCCTTGCCAGCCTGGAGGTGGAGAAGTTAGGACCGCAGGGTGCAGCCAGAGTTACCTCCTGGTCATTGTTCCTTCTGTTGTACTCCTCCTTCTGAACTGGCCCAGGAAGAGCCTCAAGTTCAGCCGTGCCTGGCCGGTCGTGCATCTGCACATGTACCAAGCGGATCCCTGTGTCACTGTGGCCTGCTGTGAACCAGGCAGTGTGGGCAGAGGGCAGGCAGGGCGCATTCTGCCAGGGCTGCTGGACAGGGCGGAGTGCTGGGAGGGGAAGACAGGAGGTCAGCAGGGGCCAGCGGCAGATGGCCCGTCCCGGGACACATCCGGTTCTGTAAAGTTTTGGCTGAGTGGAATCAACACACTTCAAAGTGCGCAGGAAGTGCTCCATTAGTGACGCCTCTGCCCTCTCCTCTCACTGCCCACGAGGTACCCGTTGGCCTGAGCTCACATTTTTTTCTGCCTGTGTTTCTGTTTGTAAAGATAAATAGACTTGTATACAAGTCTGATCCAAACACACGATGTTTACATAAAAGAATTTGTTACGGTAAAAGGCACATGGGGTTAATCCCTTCAAAATTCTCTGTCTCTATCTCTCACTCACACACACACACACACACACACACACACAGAGGCTTATCCCACTGTTCTGGCTGCTTTTGGGGTTTTTGTTTTGTTTTTGTTACTGTTGTTTGTTTTTTGAGAATGGGTCTCACTGTGTAGTTCAGGCTGGGCTTGAACTCACTGTGTAACTCAGGCGGACCTCAAACTCATGATGACCCTCCTGCCTCAGCCTCCCAGGTGCTGGGATTACAGGCGTGCACTTATGCCTGGCCCTGGCCGCTTCGTGAAGCAGCTCTGGAAGTCCTCTTGTTGCAGGCAGCTGCATTACTTAGAAATATTATAGGCAGTTAGACAGGGCTGGGTCCTCCATGGAGCCAGTACAGATACCTTGCAACTGTGAGGGACACAGACACCTCCTGCTGTGGGCCAGGCCTCAAGACAAAGGATCAGGCAAACGAACCCACATCCTAAGGACTGATATTCTAAACAGTTCCCTTCACCCTGAGGAAGCCAGCAGTCACTCTCCCAACCCCCTAGGGAAGAGTCTGGGCTTTCTAAGAATGCCCTCTTTTTTTTTTTTTTTTTTTTTTTTTTTTTTGGTCTTTTTCCTTTTTATCGGTACCGGGGATCGAACTCACGACTGCCTGCTTGCAAGGCAGGCACTTACGCCGCTGAGCTAAATCCCCAGCCCCTAGAATGCCCTCTTTCTACATGACTTACTTCCCCATTTGTCCCCAATTTAATCAATTTTACCTGAACTATTAATTTTACTGGCTAACTATAGTTCTGTCCCTCCTTATGCCCACCTGCCTTGAGTTCCCAGTTTTCCCCACTTTTAAACCTGTCTCGCCCCATGATTTTGCTCTGTAAAAGTTCCTAGAAAGGACAGAGTCCTTGGCAACCCACTCAGGACCCCTTCTGTCTCTCAGGCAGAAGCTTTCTTTCTCTCAATAAATACATTCTGCTCTTCACCTCCGTTGTTCCTAAAATTCATTCTTTGGTTTTAGAGAACCCAAACGTGTGGACATAGTAGGTCGGAAGTTTCATTCCCCTGTATCATTCTCTCCTGAGCATCTCCAGAGTTTGATAGGGAAAAAAAATACAGCAAATGCTGCTGCTGAGCACCGTCCAGCAGGAGGACAGGTGGGAGGACAGGCGGGAACAGCAGCACTGTGTCCCTGCCCACCTCATCCACCCGATCTGGTACCTGGCACCTTCTGGCTCTTCCTCAAGGGCAAATCACCCCAGAGGCCGGGGACATAGCTCAGTGGCACAGTCGCCTCCCTGGCGAGTGCAAGGTCGTGAGTTCCATCCCCGGTACAAAAAAAAATGACTGCAAAAAATAAACATTCTGAATCAATGTGGAACATTAAGGCAGCCTGTACAGCATAATAAAAACCTTCCCGAAAGAGAATTCCAGGTCTGTTTCAGAAAGCGGCAGGAGGGGTGTGATCCATGTGTTTGAGCAAAGGGGAGTGTTTGAGGGAAGTCCGTGGCAGCGTGCTTTTTACTCTATTAAATTGTTTTGGTTTGGTTTTCCTTTTTGAGACAGGTGCTCATTGTGCAGTGCAGGCTGGCCTTGAACTCACAGTGATCCTCCTGCCTCAGCCTCCTCCAGGCTGGGATGACCGGTTGTACCACCACCTGTTTCCTTATCTCCTTTCCTTTGGAGAGAAAAGATTCTCTTCCTGCCCTTGGCTCTTTGATTTTCCTATGCAGTGCTCCAGAGTGTTTTTCTCCGGCCACACTAATTCTCCCCGCTGGTGCACACAGGACGGGGCACTGACTCACTCTTGTGGGGTAGACAGGAGAGGACCCAGTGACCCTGATCCCCTGCCGGAGCCCAGGTTGTGAGTGACTCTCTCCTCTCGCCGTGCAGATGGGGGCAGCCACGCCATCCACGACTCCCAGGCCCCCAGCCTGGTCTTTGGCGGCGAGAGTTCCCCCAGCGGCCCCGCCGGACAGGACTGGGAGATGAATTACCAAGAGGCAGCCATCTACCTCCAGGTGAGTGGCTCGGGAAGCTGTCGGGCGCTGCTGGTGGAGGCCATGCCGGCGGGTGGGTGCCGGGCCTGACGTCTCTGTTTACATTGTTTCCTTCCATACTAAAAAACAAAACTACCAAAGGGCCAGGGATTTAGCTCAGTGGCATAATCCCCGCTACACAACCACCCAAAATCTAGCATGATGTTGAACCCTGTAATCTCAGCATTCTGGGAGGCTGAGGCAGGATGATTGCTTGAGCCCAGGAGTTTGAAGGTGATCTGGCAACATCACAAGATTCTATCTTTTTTTTTTGGTGCCGGGGATTGAACTCATGACGTCATGCTTGCCAGGCAGGTGCTTAAGCCACTGAGCTAAATCCCCAGCCCGAGATTCTATCTTAAAAAAAAAAGTATCATCATGTTGTGTATAATCTGCTGTTTCGTTGTTGTTTGTGCTGCTGGGTTTGAAGCTAGGGCCTCGTGGGTGCTAAGCAAGTACCCCAGCCCTGAGCTACACCCCAGACCTACTCTGCCATTTTTGTGTTTGTGTTTGTAGCATCAGCATAAGCCGTGTAGCTCTTGTGTAAATGTCATGTGTCTAAGTCAGGTACCTGCCTGGCAAGCGTCAGGTGCTGAGTTCAGTTCCTGGTACCAAGAAAATAAGTAGATAAATGACATCAGGTAAACTACCCGGATTTCCTTAGCTACTCGGATACTCCTGTGTATTTTCTCTCACTGTGTATTTCCACTGTGACACATTTACCTTAGCATAAATTGTAACCCAGGGCCAGACTGTACCTAGGTCTGTTTATCTGTCTATCTCTCCCTCCTCTTGTGCACACGTTTAGGGTTTTCTTACCAGAAAGAAAGAAAGAAAAGACACTAAGAAACGAAATCCTGGGTGAGAGGGGTCACCTTTTTGGGGGCTCTTGAGATCCAGTGTGGGATCCCCTGCCCCAAGGAGCTCTCACCTCTTACTGCTGCGTCTGGTCACTAGAAGACTTTGGTTTCTCATAGCATTGAGGAAGAGTTAGGGCAAGGAAATACAGTGTTTCCTAAATCTACTGGACTAATAATTTCCTTAATTTTTTGGAAGTATTGGTTTTTTTTTTTTTTTTTTGTCTTTTTCATTTTTATCGGTACCGGGGATCGAACTCACGACCGCCTGCTTGCAAGGCAGGTGCTTATGCCGCTGAGCTAAACCCCCAGCCCCGGAAGTATTGGTTTTGTCCATTTTTTAAATGGATGTAATTAAACGGTGTGCAACTGTGAGTCTAACACTAGGAGGCTGAGGCAGGAGGATCACCATGAGTTTGACCCTAATCTGGGCAAGACCCTGTCTCAAAATAAAAAGGGCTGGAGATGTAATTCAGTGCGAGGTTTCCCTGGGCTTAGTCCCCAGTACTGAAAAGAAAAAGTTTCTGACTGATAGAATTCTGATTCCCTTTTAAATCTGTACATTATTTGAATTACTTTATAAAAAGTGCATCATTTTCTAAAAATAAAAGGGGAACACAGATGCCCATGAGCAGCTGTTTGCAGCCATCCCAGGGGAGGATCTGGTTAGGCACAGTCAGCACCCTGCTCGCAGTGACTTGTGGGTCACAACTCGGTGCCAAAATCAGCCCTTGGCTCCCCTGTCCCTGTGGCCCTGGGCCCCGAGATGGTCCTGGGTTTGACTCAGGGAACTGAGTGGGCAGCCTGGGAGCCAGGGCCACCCATCAGTCCTCACCCAGGTCACAGACTGCAGCCAGGAAATGAGCCCGGGCATCCCCTAGCGTGGGATCAGACCTGGGAACACGGGTGGTGTCCCCATGTCTTGGCTGGTGAGCCCTCGTCCCCGGCTCCTTTGTGGGAGTTCCAAGTTCTGGGGTCTGGATCTGAGCCCTCCTGTCACCGGCTTCCTGCACCCAGACTGGCCTGCCTGCCTGCCTGCCTTCCTTCCTTCCTTCCTTCCTTCCTTCCTTCCTTCCAGCTGTTTGTGGAAGAAATTGTGCAACAATTACATTTTTTCAGTAATTCAAACCAGGAGCTTCCCAGGCGCCTGTGTGTGCCGCCGCCCTCCCACCCCACAGCCCGTGCAGCTCACCCACCCTTGGCCGCCCAGCTGTGCGTGCCCTTGGTCAGGCCTGTCCCTGTCAGGTCTATTTTTTTTGCTGATGAGGGTGGTGCTCTGTCCTGCTCTGAGCTGCCCTGCACACAGCTGGCCCGGAGACACTGAGGACTGCCTGCCCCTGCATGATGATAGGTCGGTTCCTTCCTGGGCCCAGGCTTGCGCTGGCTCTGCCTGTGCCTCCTGGAGGACACAGAGCCCATGGGGACAGGGAGGAGCGAGGGCGGCTTCTCATCCGCACAGCACTAGGACAGTGGGACAGGATCTCAGCATGTTGTGGGGAGCTGAGCCATCCCTGGTGAGCTGCCATCCTCGGGCTGAATGTGCCGATTGCAGCAGACGTCAGCCACCCCAGCACTCCCGGGGTCACTGAGTGCTGGCTGCCAGGTGACAGCTGAGAATGCCAATGAGGGCCCCCCCGCCCCCCCAGATTCCCTGGCTGGCGTGAGCCGTAAGGCGTCACCTGCTGTGTCCCTAAGGGGACCATTCCAGGCCAGATCATCGGCTGCTGGGAGCCAGCAAGCACATTCTAAGGACAGCTGCTGACTTTATTTTACATTTGTTGGCCCTACTGGGAACAAACAAAACCTTTGTGCAAAGCTTATCTCCTCAGTCCTTTTGTATTTATTTAGAGACAGATCTCACAGTGTCATAAAGTTGTGGAGGCTGAGCTCAAACTTGGGATCTTCCTGCCTCAGCCTCCCAGAGTATGTGCAACACCGTGCCTGGCTGGTGGTCACCGGTGGGCGTTGCAGGAAAATGCTGTGCAGGGTGGGCAGGGATGTACGTGGGTGTGGAAAGCAGCAGGAAGGCACTCAAAAAATTGCAGAGGAATTCCACTCACTTTGACAGTAAAAGCAGGCGGTGCCGCATACCTCATCCCAGTTTCTCAGGAAGCTGAGGCAGGAGGATTATGATTGGGAGGTCAGCCTGGGCCACTTAGTGAGACTGTCTCAAAATGAGCAGTAAAAAGGGCTGGGGATGTCGGGTAGAGGTAGGAGCATTTGCCTGGTGAGTCCTTGGGTTCATCCCCAAGATACTGCAGTAAAGTAAAACTAGAACTGCTGTGTGATCCAGCAGTCCAATTCTGGGAATGCATTCAGAGGTCTTGACACAGTATGTGGAAGGAGTCCTGTGTGGTGTTGTGTGCAGCAGCCACAACATGGAATCGAGTGTCCATTGGTAGATAAAGAAAAGGTTTCTACCCTCGACAGAATACTATATGGCCTTAAAAAAGGAGGAGATCTTGTCATTTGCAATAGCCAACATGAACAGAGCTGGAGGGCGTTATGTTAAGTGAAATAACTCAGGTACCAGAGGACAACTGACTGTGTGGAATCTAAAAAAGCTACATTTGTAGAAATAGAGAAGTGGGGCTGGGGAATGGAGAGATCTTGGTATAAGGATAGAAGATTTTAGTACATATGAGGAGTAAGATTTTGGCCCCTGTTGTATAGCATTGAAACCACAGGTAATACAGTTTAGACTGGGTGTATTGGCATACACCTGTAATCGTAGCACTCGGATTGCCATGAGTTCAAATCCAGCCTGCACTACACAGTGAGTTTAAGGCCAGCCTGAACTATATAGGGTATCTTAAAAAACCCACCATCACAGCAAAAAAAAAAAAAAAAAAAAAAAAAAAAAGAAGAAGAAGAAAAGAAAAAGAAAAAAGGAAACTGCTAAGAAAGATTTTATTTATTTATTTATTTTTAAGACAGAGTCTCACTATGCAGTTCAGGCCACCCTTTGACCTCACTTTGTAGCCCATGTTGGCCTGGAACTTGCAGTGATCCTCCTGCCTCAGCCTCCTGAGTGCTGGGATTACAGACATGCACCACCACTCTCACCTCTAAGAAAGATTTTAAATATTCCCCACACATGCCCATGCACACACACAGAGGTAAATGAGGTGGTGATACAGTAATTACTTTGATTCAGTTATTCCCTAATGTACCCACGTATCAAAATGTCATCATACCCCATACATACATGCAATTATTTTTGTCAATTAAAAGTGTAGCTTGGGTGTGCTGGTGGGCACCTGTGATCTCAGCCTTAGGAGTTTGAGGCAGGAGAGTCTTTGTGAGTTCAAGGCCAGCCTGCACTACAGACCCTGTTTCAAAAATAAAAGCGTAGAAGTACAAGGAAAAAAAAAGCCAAAAATTACAGAATCTGGGTGTGGGGCAGTCTGAATGAAGCCAAATTTAGTAGGGACTCAGGGGCAGCTCTTGGTAGACCGGAAGGAAGGCTCTGCAACTATGGGGGGACAGACACAGCCCCCGTGCCTGGCCAGTGCCTTCCCTCCTCATTGAAGTCCTGTGGAAGCTCTAGCAGTGTCCCCTCTGTCGAGCCTGTAGCAGTCAGGGACTCTGCCCACGGGGAAGGGGTCAGGGGGTCAGGAAGCAGGGCTCGGCCTGCTTTGGTTCAGCACAGGCCCTGGGCTCTGCTTCAGGACCTGCATTCGGATTCTGCAGGCAGCGTGCGGGCCACCCCTGACCGCCTCCATGGCTCTCTGTCCCAGCATCTCTGGGGTCCCTCCCCACCCCGTCCTGCCCACCCCTCAGCAGGCCGGGGTGCGGCTTCCTGAGGTCTGAACAGTTCACATCTCCCGCTTCCCATCGTCTCCACCCCGGCCCGCATCTCCTCTGGGCCACCACGCGGGCAGGAAGAGGACACAGGCCACTGGCATGCCTGTCTCCGCAGGAAGGCGAGAACAACGACAAGTTCTTCACGCACCCCAAGGATGCCAAAGCGCTGGCGGCCTACCTCTTCGCACACAACCATGTCTTCTACCTGATGGAGCTGCTCACCGCCCTGCTGCTGCTGCTGCTGACCCTGTGCGAGGCGCCCGCTGTGCCCGCGTTGCGCCTGGGCATCTATGTGAGCGCATGCGCGTGGGGCGTGGGCGTGGCCTGGGTAGGGGGTGGGCACAAGTGAGCGCGCGTGCGCACTTTACACCTCTGCTGCTGCAGGCATGGCACCCGGTGACAACACGTACCGCTCAGTCCCATGGCCTGGATGGGGGCCGCCTCCTCCACTGCCACCCTGTCCTGCTGTGAATCTCCCTAGTCCCGCTCCACAGTGCTGGCAGGTTCCCTTCTCCCGTCAGCGTCCTGGGCAGGCAGGGGACCTACGGTGTTGGTGTCCAGTCAGGGACCCCATCTGGCCACCTTGCTGGTCCAGGGCCCTGTGAGACGGCTAGGGGGACCACCTCAAGGCACAGCCTTCCCCGGGCTTTTGTCCTTGGGCCCCAAAAGCACTGAAGACTGGCTCCAGGGCCTCTCTGCTCGGCAGCCGCCGTGCTGTGGACTCCCAGGTTTCCAGTGGAATTCTGTGTTCCTTCCCAGCCTCTTTGGTTCTGAAGCCCCTGGGTCACGGTCGCTTGATACCCTTTATGGCTTGTGTAGAAATGACAGGCCACCCTTCCCAGAACAAGGCCGGTGGGAACTCAAGTATTCTCACCCTGAAACACTCGGCGCCTTCCTGATCTGCCACTCCCCGGCGAGTCCTTTTCATGAACGTCCAGTTTGTGTTTGGATGTTCTGCGGACAGCTCCGTTTCCAAGGCTGTGTCTGTTGTCCAGAGCGTCCAGACTTTGATGACTGTGCTGTGGTCCAGCAGCAGTTTCCCAGGTCCCTGGTGGGGAAGGGACAGAAACCGGGGTGGCCATGGGGTGGCCCTGGTGGTGACGCATCTCCCTGCCCCCTGCAGGTCCACGCCACCCTGGAGCTGTTTGCCCTGATGGTGGTGGTGTTTGAACTCTGCATGAAGCTGCGGTGGCTTGGCCTCCACACCTTCATCCGGCACAAGCGGACCATGGTCAAGGTGATGCCCATCTGCCCCACACACAGCAACATTTCCCTCAAGTGTCTTGAGGCCTGTGGACCTGGCCTGTGCTCACCTGGGACGTGTCCTGACTCATTGGCCGCCCTGCTAGGTCCCTAGTGTTCAGTACAGGCAGCCAGGGGAGGCGCATGCTCTCCTGTTTCCTTCAGCCAGCTGGATGGGAGTGGGGTCCCATGCCTGTCAGTGCGATGTGTCCCGGGCTGTGGAGGCTGACAGTGTGGTGCCCGCCGTCCCCAGACCTTCGTGCTGGTCGTGCAGTTCGTCGAGGCCATTGTGGTGCTGGTGCGGCAGACGTCCCACGTGCGGGTGACCAGGGCGCTGCGCTGCATTTTCCTGGTGGACTGTCGCTACTGCGGTGGCGTGCGGCGGTGAGGCCCAGGCAGGGCTGCTGGGTGGTTCCTGCGGTGGCAGAGTGTGGGGAGTGGGAACAGAGCTGCCAGCCCTGTTCATGCAGAGCACCAGCTCCCACACAAGCGGCAGGGGGAGGAGGCTCAGGTGGATCGAGGAGCCACTCCCAGGCGCGGTGGGCGTTAGGGTTAGGGCGTTAGCATTCGGAGACTCCCCCTCCCTTGACCAGTGCATCCCCCAAAGGCCCAGACAGCCTCCGATGGCTGTCACCTCCCCAGGGAGCCTGTCTGTCTCCCCAGCAACCTGCGGCAGATCTTCCAGTCCCTGCCACCCTTCATGGACATCCTCCTGCTGCTGCTCTTCTTCATGATCATCTTCGCCATCCTCGGTGAGTGCTGGGCACTGGGGCAGGGCCACAGGCGGAGAGGGGGACCGTATCTCCCAGTGTCTGTTAGCGCAGTCTGCAGAAACGTATTGCGCACCGTCCTGGAGGCCAGAAGCCCAGGGTGAAGGTTTCCGCAGGTCCAGGCCCCAGGTGCGGGCACTTCCTGCTCCACATCTGCCCCCTCTTGCTGCATGTTGTGGAGGGTGAGGCAGCTCTTTGGGGCTTCTTTTATGAGAGTGCCAGGGCCATGTAGAAAGGCAGGGGCCTGGTGATCTACGTAAGTGAATAAAATCCAGGCACTTTCTAAAAGTCATAGGTACCGTGGTTCCACTCAAGGGAGGGAGTAATGGGGAGCAAATGGGAACCACGCTGTGTCCTCCCCCCCATCCCTGTCCCCATCCGTCCCCTCCTGCCCAGAGGCACCCAGCCCCCACTTCCCTACTGCCACCCCACCCCACACATGGTGGAATTGCCCTGTGCTTGCCCTGAGGGCCGAATTTCTCTCTTCCCAGTTGGGATTTGCAGGCCTGGGAATAGCCCATTCTGGGAGAGGGGAGGCATCGATGTTCCCAGCCCTGGACCGAGGTTGCCTGGGGCAGCGGGCCCGCTGGGCTGTGACTTGGACATCGAATTCTCAGACTGGAGCTTGCAAACCAGCAGTGTGGATTCTAGGCCCAGCCCACGGATGTGTTCCAAATTTGATCTGAAAACTTGGAGCCAGCATTTTAAAATTAGTTTGCATTTCCAGATAGTAAAGCCCAGGCCTGGCAGCACTGGGGGAGGGCGTTGCATGCAGCAGCACCCGCCCCTGTAAGTGGCTGTTGTTCTCCCCCAGTGTCCCTGCCACAACCTTGCCCTCCTTGGCCACGGTACTCGTGGACCTTATTTTTCTGATCTTCAGGGCCCTGGCTTGGGACCTGTGCTCTAACCTTGTCTTCGGTCTGTCTTTCTACCCACTTGTAGGATTCTACTTGTTCTCTTCAAATCCTTCTGACCCGGTAAGTAGTGGGCAGCTCTGTGTCTTTTTTTTTTGTTTGTTTGTTTGTTTAGTTTTTTTCTTAGTTTTTCTGAGTTCTGAAGCTCTGTGTCTTTGAGGGAGGGTTTTCCTTCCCAGAAGGTGGCTGGAGCAACCCCTAGAGCTTAGGAAGGGACTCCCACCCAGCTTCCCCTCACATCCCCACGCTCCTGAGAGACCTCCCACCCAGACAGGAGCTGGGGAACCAGGAAAATCCACTTTCCTGTCCTTAGAAAGTGGGTCCTGGGGTCGGGTCTGGAACCCCGAGCCTTTGTTGGAGTAGTGGAGGTGCCAATCTGGTGGCCCAACTATTGACTCCAGGAAGGAGTCCCCCAAAGTGGGAGCCTGGTTTTGCTGGGGCACAGAGCTCAGGAGGGTGGGCAACCTCACCTTCCCTGCCTGGGGAAGTCTGCCCTGGGGAAGTCCCTGGGAGTCTGCAGGAGGAAGGGGAACCCCTGGAGGTGCCCTCCAACCTCAGTGTGACCCCGCCCTCCCCCAGTACTTCAGCACCCTGGAGAACAGCATCGTCAGCGTCTTTGTCCTTCTGACCACAGCCAAGTGAGTGCCAGCTCCTCTGCCTGCTGTAGTCTCCTCTGCCCATCTGCCCAGAATTGTCTCCCCGTCTCGGCGCCCAGGCACTCGGGGTGCTGTGGTGACGGGAAGCCCAGGGGCTGGGTGTCAGGAAGGCAGATGGGGAGCCGTCCAGGTAGGAGACGGAGGTAGGCGGCCGTGGGCAGCATGTAACCCTCTGCCGCTGCAGCTTCCCGGACGTGATGATGCCCTCCTACTCCCGGAACCCCTGGTCCTGCGTCTTCTTCATCGTGTACCTCTCCATCGAGCTCTACTTCATCATGAACCTGGTGAGTGGCCGTGCCGAGGTGGCCTGCCGTTGGCCTCTGACCCAGACACAGTCAGGCCGTTCACTGATCGGGCCTCAGCCCGGCATGCACAAAGTGGCTTGTACATAGAGACGAAATGATGTGACACCACTGCCCTGGTGCTTCTGCCATGATTATGATTCTCAAAGAATGTTCTTCGTCACATGACCAAGGGCCAGCCCGCCCGTCTCACTGCGTCCATGTGCCAGAAGCATCTCGTGAATTGATTTCCACCCTCTTTATCATGAACCACCAGGAAATCTGATGTAGAATGTAATGTCCCTGCGCTCACCAAGACCTTTGGAAGTGTCAGCAGTGTGGCTGTCACTGGGCAGGTTTCCTGCCATTCGAAGGTCCTGGCCACTGCCAAGACCATGTGTTAGCAGAGGCACCAGAGAGGGTTGTTAGATCTGCGCTGTGTGATTGGCTTGTTCCCTTTTGAGGTGCTGGGGATGGACCTGGAGCCTCACTCGTGAGAGTCCAGTGCTCACCGATGAGCGACAGCCCAGCATGTGCATGTCTTTGTAAACTGTTGAGCAGCACTGTTACACCGCGCTGGTCACGGCGGTCAGGCCAGTGTAGAAACAGAAAGCTCGTTCTCTGGGTAGATTTGTGAGACCTCCTAAAGCTTTGCAGTCTTAGGAAAGAAAATATCTTTTTCAATTCTGTAAAAACTGAAAAGGAATGTGTGGCAGTGTGTTGCTACCACCCTCTGGCTTCAGTGAATTTGCTGGACTGGGTCACAGAACCCAGGAAACACACGGGCCGGTCTGTCACAGAGGCTGTCACGGGGTGAGGCATGGGGGCCACCAGAGGTTCCGTACCCTCGTCAGGTCTGCACACTCAACTGTCCAGAAGCTCTCCCAAGCCTGTCCTGGTTTTTGTTTGGGGGGATTGTCTTGGGATCCCCAGAACCAAGGATTGAACCCAGAGCCTTGGCACTGAGCTACATCCGTAGGCCTTTTAAAAATTTTTTTATTTTGAGGGGCTGGGGGTTTAGCTCAGTGGCATAAGTGCCTGCCTTGAAAGCAGGCAGTCGTGAGTTTGATCCCCGGTACCGATAAAAAGGAAAAAGACCAAAAAAAAAAATTTCTTTTTATTTTGAGGCAGGGTCTCACTAAGTTGTCCAGGCTGGCTTTGAACTTTCAGTCTTCCTGCTGCAGCCTGCTGAGTGCTGCAAGGATTACAGGTGTGCACTATCACACGCAACTGTTTAGAGTTTTCCTGGAGGCTTCCTGGTGTAGGAGGGCTGATCAAAGCAGGGACACCCTGTGGACAGCGAGAGTGTGTCCTCCAGCTAACAGGCTCAGGGGAGCCTGGGAGACCTGTCTGCCTCCCCTCGGTGTGAAGATGCCAGGTTCAATCACCAGCACTGCAAAAGAAAAACAAACACATGTGGACGCATCATAAGACCACAGCCAGGAAAATCTAGCACAGGAGCCAACAGGGGTGCGCAGGCCCGCTCCAGCTCCCAGCCTGTCTCTGTCAATAAAGTTTTATTGGCACGCAGCCACGCCCATTCCTGCACTCATGTCTGTGGTCGGTTTCACTGGTAGGAAGGGGACGAGTAGTTGGCACAGAAACCACCTGGCCTCTTGTTCTAGAAAAGTTTACTTACCTTCAACTCACATAGACAAATGGGACCACCTCAAAGGGGTGGAAGGAACCAGAGAGTTTTCTCCAGACATTTTCAATAAAGAGCATTCCTAAGAAATTGTTGGGTCAGGGGCTGGGGCTTTAGCTCAGCGGCATAAGCACCTGCCTTGCAAGCAGGCGGTCATGAGTTTGATCCCCAGTACTGATAAAAAGTTAAAAAAAAAAAATTGTTGGGTGGATTCCCTCCCTCCCGCCCTGTGCGGTTGGGGTTTGGGTTAGAGTTAGGGGTGCAGGACGATGTGTGGGCTCAGGAAGGCATGCTGGATGGCCATCTACTCTGGGCGTCCCCTCCTCAACTGAGACCTTCTGCATCCTCTCCTGTGTGGGGCCACCCCTTGGGCAGTGACCCCCAAGAAGCATCCGGCCAGGAGGAGGAAGCACCAGGCCGTTCCTCTGGCTGCTGTCCTCTCCCCTGGCCAGTCCTCTGCCCAGCCAGGGACACAGCAGAGGTGGCGACCGGAAGGAAGAAGTGGGGGAATCCAGGAGCAGTGTCATTAGAGGAAAGGGTGCAAGTCTTGACCCCGGCCCAGGGGTCTCCTGCCGCGGCTCCAGGCCCCCCAGGGCAGCCAGAGCTCTGTGCTTCCCTCCCAGCTCCTGGCTGTGGTGTTTGACACCTTTAATGACATCGAGAAGCGCAAGTTCAAGTCTCTGCTGCTGCACAAGCGGACGGCCATCCAGCACGCCTTCCGACTGCTCACCAGCCAGCGGGTAAGTGGGGGTGAGGTGGGCACTGCTGTCCTGTCCTGCCCACGGCAGCCCTGCACTTGGCAGGGCCAGTGACCTCATAAATACGATCTTTTTTTTCCTCTTTGTATTGGGGACTGAACCTAGGGCCTTCACACTAAGCTACATCTTCAGCCCTTTTGTATTTTTTTATTTTGAGACAGAGTTTCATTAGATCATTAAGTTGCCCAGGCTGGCCTTGAGCTTACAATCCTCCTGCCTCGGCCTCCCAGAGTGCAGGGATTACAGGTGTGCACCACTAGGGCCAGCCAGAAATAAGCAGTCTTACCCTGGGGAGAGTGAATATTGCCCTGCGGTCTGTGATGCTGGGCACTGGCGTAGCTGGCGGCCCCTCACATGGTCTCTCTCCCCCAGAAGCCCATGGGCATCTCCTACAGGCAGTTCGAAGGCCTGATGCGCTTCTACAAGCCCCGGATGAGTGCCAGGGAGCGTTTCCTGACTTTCAAGGCCCTGAATCAGAGCAACAAACCTCTTCTGAGGTGAGTATGCGTGACAGGCAGGGACAGGGCAGCCCTGCGGACCTCAGCAGACGGAGCTGGGATGAGGAGGTTGCCAGAGCCTTGAGTTTCCTTACACAGCTTCTTATATGTGGCGATTGTATTCATCTGGATTCTTGCAAGCCACAGAAGTCCTTCTGATAGAAAGAAAAGATAATAAAGACAGAACTGTGCTCAGAAGATGGGTTGACCCAGCGGCTCGCCCTCAGGCTCCAGCGGGACAGGGCAGCCTGAGGTCTCCACACAGTACGGCCTGTGTAGGCTTGGGCAGGCGCCCCGGGATGGGGAGATGCAGCCTGTGGAGGCGGGAGGCTGGTTGCTTATGCATGGCCGCTGGTGGAAGAGGCAGGGCTCTCCATCTTGGTACAGCCTTGCCCAGGGCTGCCCCTCCAGGGGCCTGAGGGCTCAGGATGCTGTAGATAGGGTCCTAGTGCCTCTGCACCCTCGGAGGTACCGCAGGGCAGGCAGGCAAGGCTGGGGCCAGAGCCCAGCGGTCGTGTCAGGACCGTCCTGCCTTTCTGCTTTGTTTATGACAGCCTGGAGGATTTTTGTGACATTTATGAAATCGCCACCCTGAAGTGGAAGGTGAGTGCTCCCGGGAGACAGGCGGGGACAGTGGACAGGCACCAAACTCCAGCTCTGTCCCCACATGACAGCAGTGGCCTCGGGGGCCATTGGCCGGCCCACACCTGCTTCCCTTAAAGGTGGCATCTCGGCTTGGGACCCTGATTTTCAGGCAGACCTCGGGTGCCTGAGTGACATTGGGCGAGTGCCTGAACCCTCTCGAGTCTGACCTGGGACCAGAGACTGTAGTCCCCACCATGGCAGGATGTGCCCATGGCGTGCTCACGCTGTCACTTACGTCCATGCTCACCCCATCTTCCAGTGTAGCTGGGGGGCAGGGGAGGCCAGGCCTGCTCCTGGTCCTGGTCCAGGCCCCTCCCTCACCTACTGTCCCCCGTGGCCCTGCTCCCCCGCAGACAAAGAGAAACCGAGAGCACTGGTTTGATGAACTCCCCAGGACGGCCTTCCTCATCTTCAAGGGTGAGGCTGGGCCCGGGGGTGAGCGGCTGGGGCAGGTTCAGAGGGGATGGGGTGTGCGTGAGTGCAGGTGTGGGCACACGTGTGTGCACACAGAGACTCTTCAAGTGTGATCGTGTGAGCAGGGATGAATGGTGAGACCTGAGCTAGGAAGGATCGGTGTCACTCAAAACCCAGGGGCTGGGGGTGTGGCTCGGTGACGGCACTCGCCTCGTCCCATGCAGGGGGCTCTAGGGTCCACCCCAGCACTGCAGGAAAAACCCCAGCAGAGGGATCCATTGATACTTAGAAAATGATCCTCCCCCACACACACCAACCCTGTTAATTCTCTCCTGTGCTGTTTTCTGTCCGTTCTCTGTGCCCTTTTGTTTTTTCCTTTTCTTTTTTGTGACAATGTCTCGCTTTGTGGTTTTTTTTTTTTTTGTCTTTTTCGTTTTTATCGGTACCAGGGACCGAACTCATGACTGCCTGCTTGCAAGGCAGGTGTTTATGCCGCTGAGCTAAATCCCCAGCCCCTCAATGTCTTGCTTTGAAGTCCAGGCTGTTCTTGAACTCATGATGATTCTCCTGCCTCAGCCTCCCAAGTGCTGGAATTAGAGGCATGCACCACTTCACATGGCCTTTCTGTGGCTTTTAAACAGCAGCAGGATTATGTTGTACGTGCTGTGTGTAAGCTGCCTCCATCTAATAACTGTCCTTCCCTCCTCTCCCGGCAGGCAGTGCGGATAGTGCACATGGCCCTTTGCATAATGCACGAATAGTCTGAACTTGGAAATGTTTCAGTCAGGCGCTGCTGTGGTTTACCTAACCATGCCCCTTAGTTTGGTGGCAGTTTTGAAGTTCTGCTTGGAAACATGGTCAACCTGCACACAGTTTCTTGGGCCAAAAGCTGGAAGCCTGGATCTGGGCCATTATGAATGAGAATAAAGATATTACAGACTCTTTTGTGATTTTTTTCCCACATTGAGGCCATTGGGCACAGCTGTCACCCCATGTACTTTTGATTTTTTATTTTTTTACCCATATTTTTTTTTTCCCTTTTTATCGGTACCAGGGATCGAATTCACGACTGTCTGCTTTCAAGGCAGGCGCTTATGCTGCTGAGCTAAATCCTCAGCCCCAACCCCATATTCTTTATTCCCCTCCCTGCTTCTTTTTCTTCTAGAGACAGGGTCTTGCTGTGCTGCCCAGCCAGGCCTCAGATTCCAGGGTTCAAGTGACCCTCCTGCCTCAGCCTCCCAAGAAGTTGGGGCTAGGGCACGTCCATGCCAGCCCAGATGGCTTGTCTCTGAGGGCTTTTCCTGCCACTCGGATGGCAGCACAAAGCTTTGCTGTGCTCTATGTCGGTACCAGGCCCCCTGGACTCTCCCCAGGACAGCTGTGTGTCTTGTCCAGGCTGTGAGCGTGGTGTGGGTGTTGCTCTAGGCCTGTGCTTTGTCACCATCCTCTGCCACCCTGACCAGCAAAACTTGGTTGCCAGGGGCATGATGTTTCGTAGGGGGGTGGGTTCTTGGACATGAAATTCCCATGTTAACATTTCTTCTCTCCAAACAGGAATCAACATGCTGGTGAAGTCCAAGGCCTTCCAATATTTCATGTGTAAGTGTGAGCTGTCGCAGGTGGGGCCCTTTTCCTGAGCTCTTCGCCATTTGAGACGGTGGAGAAGCAAGAGATGAGGCCCACAGTCACCAGGGCCCTGGCTCCTTCCTGCTGGAACCACTGTCCTGAGCCCACAGCCGGAGGGCCAGGGCGTGCCCGAGTATCTCTCTCCAGGCTTGGCTGAGCGCTCGCCTTCCTAGGATAACTATGTTGTGTGCTTGCCCCGTGCTGCAGTTCAGGCCTGGGGTTTCACCTGTCACCGTATGTGTTAAGATTGAGGTTCCCGAGGATGCTGGCACAGTCACTCGCCTGCTGCATCCCAGTGTCTAGAGTAGCAATCCCAGGATAATCCCGACAGCATCATTACTAGGAAGGTCACTCTGGTAACACAATTTCAGGTCACTGTGTTTTGGGTCATATACTCGAGTCTTTTCTTTCCAGTACTAGAGGTTGAACCCAGGGCCTTTGTCCTGAGCTATATCCCCAGCCAATCTGTCACGTATTATTTTGACCCAGTGTCTCACCGACTCACCCAGGCTGGACTCGACCTTAGCACCCTCCTGCTTCAGCCTCCCAGCGTAGGACATGCATTGCAGCACCACACCCAGCTGTGTTTCTTTTGTTCCTGAAGGAAACTCCCAGTTTGTTCAGCTCCCAGAAAGAGCATGAGCAGAAGGAAACCCCTGGAGACAAGCCCCCGAGGGTGCAGAGCTCTCTGGGAAGGAACCGCCACATTTGCAAACCTGCCCGTGCTGTGTCTCCCTGTGGTCTCTTTCAGACTTGGTGGTGGCGGTGAATGGGGTGTGGATCCTGGTGGAGACGTTCATGCTGCGAGGTGAGTGGCCGGGGCCAGGCTGGGGCCGGGGCTAGGGTTGGGGCCGGGGCCCTGCAGGGCTCAGTGGCTGTGATCTGTCTTGCAGGCGGGAACTTCATCTCCAAGCCCGTGCCCTGGAGCTACCTCATCTTCCTCACCAGTGAGTGTCCTGGCTGGCAGGGCTGCCCTGGCTCGGGGAGCAGAGGTGCAGCCTGACGCATCTCACCCCGGTTCAGACTCCGTGGTTGTCTCTGCCCTTGACATCACTCACACTGCTGGTCCCCGTGTCCTTGTCAGACTCTTAAGCTCCCTGCCAGCGGGCACTCTGCTTCTGCCCTCCTCATGTGCCCAGCGCTAAGCTTGGCACGAGAGCTGTACAGGGAGTAGGTCCCTGGGGCCGGGCCATCCCCGGAGAGGGACCGCCATGTCTCTCTTCCTAAGCAGATTGCCCCATCTCCCATTGCCCAGTCCAGGCCCTGTCATGTAGTTGTTCTGGCCCCCTCGGGGTGGGGTGGTATTGTCCACAGGACCCCGAGCCCAGCCAGGAGAGAGAGGGCGAAGGCCGTGGTGCTGACCACCCCTCCTGCCCGCCCACAGTCTACGGTGTGGAGCTGTTCCTGAAGGTGGCCGGCCTGGGCCCTGTGCAGTACCTGTCCTCCCGGTGGAACCTGTAAGTGACACGCTGTGGTCCTGCTGCGGGCTGGCTGGTGCTCTCCTGAGTGCACTGTCTGCCTGCCATAGTTCTGACTCGACTCAGGACCCCCTGCAGCCACCTTAACCCATCCTCTGGGCAGCAGCCCCAAGGTTGCCCAGGCTGGCTCAGTGGGCAGCACTAAGCTTGTCCTGCGCCAGCAGGGGAATGAACTCCAGGGTCCTTCTCCCTGTCACCGTGAAGTCACCTGTGAAGCCAGGCCCCACATAGAGCCCAGAGGGCAGTGGTGTGTCCCTGCTGAGACAGCTACCTGGGAGGCTGAGGCAGGAGGATGACTTGAGCCAAGGAGTTCGAGGGCGACCTGGGCTACACAATGAGACTGTCTCAAAAAAATAAAAATAAAAATAGGCTTGAGAGTAAAGATTAATGTCAGGGAGCTACCCAGCACCGCACCCAGAGGACCTGCAAGGACATGTCCCTTCTGTGTACAAAGCTTCCGTCCTGCTTTGTGGGTGTAGTCTAGGAGTCCCACCTTTTCCCGTGGAGGGTTGGGTTGCCCAGGGTGACCAGATGCGGTGGGTGCTGCTGAGCCCAGATCTTTTGCCCTCTCTGCCCGTATTCTACTGGGGCCCCTCTGGACTGGTTCCCAGGCATTTGAGCCCCGGGGGTCAGCCCTGAGGCCTCACCCTGAAACCTGTGCTGTGCCGGGTGCCAGACCCATTGGCCCCATGGACCCGGGGCTGAAGGACGGTGCTGCAGCCGAGCCTTGGGGGAGCCCGGCAGGGGTGGTGAGGGCACAGCACCCAGGGGCTGCCAAGCTGATGGTGGCTTCTTCCCCGGCCCAGGTTCGACTTCTCTGTCACGGTGTTTGCCTTCCTGGGCCTGCTGGCCCTGGCCCTCAACATGGAGCCCTTCTATTTCATCGTGGTCTTGCGTCCCCTCCAGCTGCTGAGGTGATGGCCAGGGCTGGGCAGGGGCAGAGCGGGAGGGTGGGAACCCTGGAACTGGCTGGGAGGTGACACAGAGCAGACCGGAGACTTGGAGCTGCAGTCAGGCGGCACTGCCCTGCAGGGCCCTGGTGTCTGGGTCTCCCATGAGGCTCAGGCTGCACCTTGCGTCCCCAGCCCCCGGCACTCCTGACTGGCTGTGCCACCCTGCTTGTGGCTCCTGGGAACTCTGCCCATGGCCGCAACACCCAGTCAGACTCCAGAGTGTCTTCGAGGCCCACTCTGGGGAGGTCCTGGTGCAGACACCTCTTTGCCAGGGAGCCTGGGGGAAGTCAGCAGGCCCTGCCCACCCGTGAGGTCTCTTCAGAAACAGGCTTGCAGGGCCTTCTGTCTTTGGGGTCCCGGGTTTTGTGCCCACCTCCCTGTCCTTCCTTCTCTAGAGGCCATCCTGGCCTGGCCTCTGGAGGAGGAGCCTGCTGCCACGGTGGCCACACTAGTGGCCTGTGTGTCCCTTCTTGCATGCAGCGATGAGCTCCTGCAGCTGCGGGCATCAGCGCCTCCTTCCCCACTTTGCTGCATCATCAGCCTTCTCAGCCACCTGCCTCGTTTGTAAACTAGCAGAGGGGTTGCCACTGGCCTCGAGACCCCGTAAAGTGCTGTGGGGAAGCCGAGTATGGTGGCAGGCGCCTGTCACTCCAGCACCAGAAAGGCCTGAGGCAGGAGAATTGCAAGTTTGAGGCCAACCCATGCAAGCTACTAAACCCTGGCTCAAAAAGCAAAGAGCTGGGTGTGACTCGGTTGTGCAGTGCTCCCCTGGTCTGTGTGAGGCTGCCACCGTCCCGTACCACGTGCGCGAGGCCCCACAGCCTCTTCCACCCCTGCAGGCGCGGAAGGCAGGTGGTGCAAGCGTCCACCTTGACGGCTGCCCTTCCCTTCCCTCCACCAGGCTGTTTAAGCTGAAGAAGCGATACAGTAACGTCCTGGACACCATGTTTGAGCTGCTGCCCCGGATGGCCAGGTACTGCCCTGCCCTGGCCCACAGGCCAGCGTCCTGAGCCTGCACCCAGGGGACCCGAGCTGGGAGGTATCGGGGTGAGGAGGAGCCCAGAAGGGGGCAGACTCGGGGGCCTGGTGGGTCTCGGGGGAGGCTGGTCCTTGGCCATGCAGGTGTCCCTGGCCCACTGCGAAGTCCCTGTGGGCAGGGGTCATGCTGCTCCACTGTCTCCCGGGTGCCCACCCTAGAGCGCCCCCCCGCACTCACGCCTCCCTCCGCCCCCCCAGCCTCGGCCTCACCTTGCTAATCTTCTACTACTCCTTCGCCATCGTGGGCATGGAGTTCTTCTGCGGGCGCCTGTACCCCAACTGCTGCAAGTGAGTGGCGGGGGGACTCGGGTCTTGGGCTCCGCGAGGGGCCTGGACTCGGGCTTTCTCGGGGTAGAGGTGCTGGGTGGATTTCTGTCCCCCAGGTAGGGTCAGGGGCCACCCAAAGGCTCCTGCTTCCTCGGGGCCAGAAGCCTGAGTCCCCGGCTGCCCCCCACTCTGTCCTGCAGTGACCGGGGACCGGGCAAGGACAAATCTCCCAAGGGCAGCCTCCCTGCCCTCCTGTCCCTGCCCACTGAGCTGCCCTTCTGGACTCTGCGTCCTCTTTGTGATTGGGTCCCTGTGACCCAATCACTGTACTCAGTGTCACAGTGAGCTGGGGACCTGAGCCGCAGCAGTGGGTCACAGACTGTATACTATGTCAGAACCCAGAGGGCACCTTCCACAGGCATATCCCAGACACCCAGTCCGGGACACTCAGTCCCAGACACCCTGTCCCGGCCATGCCTGAGCAGTAGCTGCTGCAGACTCAGCAAGAGGCCCAGGACTCTCTGTGGAGCCTGCTGCTGGTGGCCCTGGGTGCCAGACTCTCAAGTGCAGTGTGGGATTTAGCCGTAAAGGATGGGCAGGTGGCTGGGCGTGATGGATCACATCTGTAATCCCAGTACTTGGGAGGTTGAGGCAGGAGAGTTGCTGCCAAAGTTCAAAGCCAGCCTGGGCTACATAGTGAGGCCCTGTCTAAAGAAAAAAAAAAAGAAAGAAAAAGAAACAGGTACATACTCAGTACTCTGGGAGGCTGAGGCAGGAGTATCACAAGTTTGAATCCACCCGGGCAAGTTGTTTCAAAAAACAGGCTGTGTTTGCGACCCAGGGGAGGCTCGGGTTCCTTTCCCAGCCACCCCTTCCCAAGAGTGGCAGGTGAGGTCTCCTTGAAGTGGGGACAGCCTCTCCAAACATGGGGCACACTGAGCAGGGCACTGGACAGGAAGGGGGGCTCCTCTACCTAGAGCTGGTACCAAGCGTTGGGCTCAGGAGCGCCTCACCCCCAAGATGAGGGGTGCAGAGGAGGCAGTGACAGAGCCAGAAAGCAGTGTCCCCCAGCTGCAGAGAGGCCTGGAGGTGGCACCAGGGCCCCAGGGCTGGGAGCGCCCCACAGCCAGCAGGGGTGGCCCAGGGAGCTGGAGGGGCAGAGCAGGAAAGGGCTGTGGCGGGGCCCTGGCTGGGTGTCCTCTGTGGGGGTGGACGGGGATGGGGACAGTGACCTCGTGACCCCTCCTGCCCCTCTTCCCCTCCAGCACCAGCACGGTGGCCGATGCCTACCGCTGGCTCAACCACACCGTGGGCGACAAGACGGTGGTGGAGGAGGGTTACTATTATCTCAACAACTTTGACAACATCCTCAACAGCTTCGGTGCGTGGAGCCCGCAGGCCGCCCGGGGCACTGCTGAGCCTGCTGCTCTGGGCCCAGCTGAAGGGTGTGGTCCGCACAGCCAGGGCCAGGGTCCAGCGCCTCCCCTTCGTCCATGTCAGTTGTGGGGGGACCCTGCCCAAGCACTGCCCTAGCTCAGGCCCTACTATGTCCCCCAGTTCCATGGATAAGCCTGGGGGCTGGAGGAAAGTGGTCCTCATAGAGAAAGGGGGATCCCAAGAGATGGAGGCTTCCTGGCCCCAGCCAGTCCTGGTCCTGCACGGGGGGGTGAGGCCCAGGGTGCGGCCCTGATCTTCCCTAAGCCCACGGTCCAGGCGGTTACTCGGTGGCCCCGTCACCAAGGGCCTGGGGCCCGGAAGAGGAGTCTAGAGGCCCGTCTGTCAGGACGCTTCTCTGTCCCCTTCCCTCCACAGTGACCTTGTTCGAGCTCACGGTTGTCAACAACTGGTACATCATCATGGTAAGATCTCGGAGCCCCTGCCCCAGCCTCCTCCCAGCAACCAGAGAGGAGAGGCCAATAGCCCGAGCTCTGACCTGTCTCCCACTGCACACAGATGACATTTCAGTGTAGCGGGCTAGGCATGGTGACAGGGTCCCCAAGTTCAGTGCTTAGGAGGCCAAGGCAGGAGGGTTGCTTGAGCCTGGGAGTTTAAGGCCAACCTGGCTGACATAGTCTGTAAGGGGAAAAGGCAGCAGCATGGCCATGCTGAGTAAGGCCCCCCAGGGGGAGGTGTGGTCTCGGCCACCCTCTCCGAGGACGTCAGACCAGGAGGCCAGGCCCACTCCGCCTCCACAGCCAGAGGAGAGGCTGTGGGCTGCGGTCTGGGTGACCTGGGGGAGTGGGGGCCACTGTCGCCTGTGCTCTGGCTCACTGTCTGCATCCCCGTCCCCTCGCAGGAAGGTGTCACCTCACAGACCTCCCACTGGAGCCGCCTGTACTTCATGACCTTTTACATCGTGACCATGGTGGGTCAGACCCTGCGTGCCCTCCTCTCCCTCCCCTCCCCCAGTCTCCTGTCGGGTGCAGGCCTCGGCCAGACACCTCCTTCCCCCTCCAGGTGGTGATGACCATCATTGTGGCCTTCATCCTGGAGGCCTTCGTCTTCCGGATGAACTACAGCCGCAAGAGCCAGGACTCAGAAGGTGACAGGCGGGGGCAGCTCTGTCTTATCTGTCTGTCTGTCCATGTCAGCTCCATGGCTGGCTGTCGGCTTGTCAGCTGGCCGGTGGTCCAGGGGGGCCAGCCTCTGGCAGTTCAGTGCATCCATCCAGCAATGGTTTTCTGACACTGAATGTCACACCGGTGCCCAATCTCCTCTCAAACCCATGCGAGTCAGGCTTGGGAAGTGGCAGCCCCAGACAGCCCTGACATCCTGCGGGGGGAGGGTGGTCCCCTTGATGGCCAGGGGAGTGGATTTGGAGCTTAGGGCTCCCTCCTCGCAGTGGATGGTGGCATCACCGTTGAGAAGGAAATCTCCAAGGAGGAGCTGGTGGCCGTCCTGGAGCTGTATCGCGGGGCGCGAGGGGCCTCCTCGGATGTCACCCGGCTGCTCGAGACCCTCTCGCAGATGGAGAAGTACCAGGTGGGGGGCGAAGGCCTGCAGGCAGGTGTCGGCTCAGCGTCCTCCCTGCCCTCAGGTGGCACCTTGCAGGCACGGGCAGGGTGGGAGAGCACTGTGGCACTGCGCCAGGCCCTGGCATAGGCAGGTTCAGGCCAGCAGTGGCCGAGCCCAGCAGCAGCCTCTGCTCTTCTTTAGCAAAATTCCCTGGTGTTCCTGGGGCGGAGGTCAAGGACCAAAAGCGACCTGAGCCTGAAGATGTACCAGGAGGAGATCCAGGTAGGCCCTGCTCCCCCAGGAGGCCTCAGGCCCTGTCCCAGTGGACACGGAGGCTAGAGAGATGTGGGGACATCGCTAGTGACACTGCAGGGGCCCCTTGCCTTGTCCCCATGGATCTGACCCTCCTGCCCAGCACAGTGGCCCGGCATCGCCTCCCACCCAGCTCTGCCCGAGCTGCAGAGAAGCTGCCAGCGGGAGTCAAGATGGACAGAGAGGAGAGGCCTGGCCGTCCAGCGGGACGTGTTGCCCCAGACAGTGGCCGTGCCCTGCTTCCCCAAAGGAGTGAGCCTTGTTGTGCCCAGCCACTTAGGTGCTCCGATTGTCCAGGGCTGTTGGGGCTTTTGTTTTAAGAGAAGGGAGAGGCCAAATATCTTCCAGACAGTCTCCCTGTCTCTCCGTGTTGGCCACTGTGTTGAAAACCCTCCCAGAGCACACGTGGCTGGCACGGGGCCTTCCATCGGAGGGGGCCCCCCAGCCCAGGGTCCTGCCTGTGTTCTCCCTCCCTGGGGCCTCTGTACCGCAGCCTGCTCGGGTGTCCTTCTGGCCGGAATCCTTGTTTCACCAAGGCAGTGATGACCATGTCCACACCTGAGGCCTGGAGCTCAGCTCCCGGAATTGACTTTACCACTTTTTTTGGAAACCCAAGAGATGGTGGGCCACTTCCCTTGGGCACACACAGTAGCCTCTGAACTTGGTGTCAGAGTATGGCCTGGGTTCCACCCCCACCTGAAACAGGGCCTGCCTCCCAGAGCCACAGGGCTCCGAAAGCGCACGATTGCACTGTTTTATCGTGTGTGTGTGTGTGTGTGTGTGTGTCCTCGAGGGAGGGCAGGGTACTGAGAATTGGACACAGGACCTTGTGCTTGCCAGGCAGACACTTATACCACTGAACTACATCCCCGGCCTACGTCTGTCTTTCTGAGACAGAGTTATTATGCAGTTCAGGCTGGCCTTAAGATCACTTTGTAGCCCAGGCTGGCCTCAAATTTGAACGATCCTCCTGCCTCAGGGATCACAAGCATGGGCCTGAGTGCTGGGATCACAAGCACGGGCCACCGCACCTGGCTCTTTTTTTAAAGACACGATCTCTCAGTGGAATCCAGGCTGGCCTTGAAGTCCCAGCAGTCCTCCTCAGCGGAGCTCTGGGATCACAGGCGGGTGCCAGCTTCCTGGCTTGAATTATTCTTTAAGCTTTTAAACCTCTGCGATCTGTGGTTACCTGGTTAAAGAGATGATATGAGCTGGGCAAGGTGGTTCACACCCATAATACCAGCTACTAGGGAGGCTGAGGCAGGAGGGTCACAAGTGTGAGGCCACCCTGGGCAGCATAGTAAGGCCGGCTCAAAATCAGAAAGATGATGTGGGCCAAGTGCCTGTCACCAGCAGGTCCTGCCCCACATTCGGAACCCCCAGTCCTGCTCAGTCCTAGCGGGGTGGGCTATGGCTGTGTCCCATGTCCACCACCCCGAGGGAGAGGGTGTGGTGGGTACAGCACAGGCTGGGAAGGACAGTCCCCCTCAGCCCCCCCGCGCTCTGCCCCCAGGAGTGGTACGCGGAACACGCCAGGGAGCAGGAGGCCCAGCGGCAGCTCCACGGAGGCACTGACCCCGCCACCCAGCAGGCCCCCTACAGTCGCCAGCGCTCACAGACGGTCACCTAGCGCCAGCTCTTGAAGCCATCTCTTCTATGCAATAACAGTAGTATTCTCTTCCCGCCACGTACCGGGAGCACGTGTGTGAACACACTCACATATACGCACACGTCTGTAGAGAGTGCGGACCAGCAGATGCCACGCAGAGTCGCCTGGCCCTGTCTTCCAGATGCCACAGTCTCCTGGCCTTACAAGGGCCGTCCCCAAAGAGCCGGGCGGGCTGGGCCTCCTGCTGCTGCTTCCAGGCCCGTGTCCCCCGAGAGCTCCCTACTAACCTCCCTGTGACCTTGTCACGGGCATGTGTCTGGCTGAGGGGACAAAACCACTTACCAGGGGAAGAAAAGCACTCCCACCCCGGCAGTATTTCTCAGACGATAATGTAGGATGGGCGTCCCGTGGAGGGAAGAGGGATGTCATAGAGAGTGGTCAGGTTCGGGTAGCCAGGGCCAGGCCAGAGGTGGCACTGACCCGTTTCAGGCCCACCTCTGTGAGTCCTCTCCTGTGCACGTTGCTTTAGTGTTATGGCTGGTAATCCTCCTGCCACAGCCTCTGGCTGGACAGACACCAGGTAGAGAAGACGGTCACTTCCTGCCTGGGCCTTCTCTACCAGGTCCTCTTCCTGGGGTGGGCCTTCCCCAGTGGGTGCTGGGAACAGGGTCACAGGCGCAGGGGTGCTTGCTGCAGCCAAGGTGGGAACTCATTACTCTGGGGTATTCCACAGCAGAATTTATTTTAAGAGGTTCGTGCAGGCACCCAGCTAACCCAGTGCCTCGTGGGTGGTCTGTATACTAGCTGGGCGTGGCCAGGTGGCACAGGGCAGAGGTCAGGGATTGGAGCTGCCAAGCAGGCAGAGCCTGATCCTGGGGAGCAGTCCCAGTCCCCTCCTCCACCCTGTCACCCCCCAGGGCCAGGCTAATCTGGAAGGCAGCTGGGCGCCCTCTGTCTGAAGCAGGGCAAAGTGGTGTCCTGAGTTTTTAAGCACAGCCTTTGGGAAAACACTTTCCAGGATAGTCAGGAGATGACATGGTCCTCTTCCTCTCTGGAGGGCCATCCGTCACTGCCGGAGCTCATGGAGCCCGGGCCAGAGCTCTCCTCTCCAGAGAGGAACCCTTATTTGCACATTTGGGTGCCTTTTTGCTTTTGTGTATTGGAATGGGCATTCTGGGGGGTGGGCAGCCTCGTGAGGGGGCAAGGTATGTGACCTGAGCATCTGACCTGCAGAGCTGGTGGGTGTTTCAGTCCTGCTGCAGGGGGGTCACTAGTACCCCGCCTGGCCCTGGCCTGGTCAGATCTGCACAGTGGTGGTAGGGTTGGTGGGCCAGACTCCAGCCAGTGATGAGCTCTGTCACCTGGCCAGTGCCAGCCACCAGGTGCCCCCAGCTGTGACTCCAGGGCCCAGGGATGTCATCTAGCTCAGATGCTCCACCCCATCCCCACATCACAGCTGAGCAGGACCAGGTGACCCTTGCTGCAGACTCCCCCGGTCACAGCCTGTCCAGGGCAGCAGGGCCACCGTGCCCTCCCGCTGGGCCAAGGCTCTTTGCCTCCTCCTCCCCCACCCCAGCCTTACTTCACACCATGCGGACAATCATTTTGTACTGATCGCAGGAGCAGCCCTGTAAGATTTTGTATGTTGATGATTTGCTACCTAGAAACCCACTGCGTCTCTGGATCTCTGGCATATTAATATTAAAAGCCTGTGCTTTGTAAACCGTGTAACTTCTGGTTATTTGGTGGGAGGGGCCCCATTCACTCACCTCACCCCCACCTTCGGTGCACCCTCACCCGGCCCAGGGAAAGAACCCGTAAGAGCCAGGGTAGCCACTTCCTGTACACTTGATATAACTCCATTTTTATTTAGAAAATGCTGAATCCCTTCTCCGATAGCTGAAGGCAAATCCGAACTGAGTATTGAAAGGCGGGAGTCCTACCCCGCACCCTGAGCTAAGCAGACTCCTGTGTTGCAGTCAGGAGACCTGGTGTCCTGGGTCCAGGGCCCCAAGGACAGTCCAGAGCCACTATCCAGTCACGTGGCTGCCCAGGTGAGAGGCCTTGGGACCACTGGGTCCAATGACATGCGTTACCATCCATGTTTCTTCTGGTTTATGACTGTGACAGCTGGAAATTCACAGCAGGGTGGGTCTGTCTGCTCTTTGTCCACCCATGTGGCCCTAGAGCACATCCTGAGCCCGCAGTCTGGGTCCCTGGACTCTGCCAGGGTCACACAGCTGTCAGAGTCTGGGGAGGTGCAGGCAGCCAGAAGCCAGCAAGGGACGGGGCAGGGCTGACCTCTACAGTCACTTGCTGCCCTGACTGCATCCAGTGGCCTCCAGCCCAGCTTCCCCAGGGCGGTCAGGTCGCCCCAGGGTTCAGCCCTGTGGGCACGCAGCCCCACCAAGCAGCCCCAGGTCCAGCGTTGGAGCTGCAGCCACTGTAGGAGCTGTCCCGTTCTGCTCTCGGGAGACCACAGGAACCCCTCCATGGCACGGCCACACACCACATGGCTTCAGTCACACGGTTTTCAGGTGAATCACCCCAAATTCCGTGAGCAGGGCCACAATAAGGAAGGCAGCGTAGAAGAGCAGCAGGCAGATGCCGTAGGCCTTGCTGAGCTGGAAGCACTGCAGGGGGACGGCCACCAGGGAGAGGGCGAGGCTGAGCCCCAGGGCGCCGGCCAGCACCCAGTCCAGCAGTCCGTCGGGCTCCAGCTGTGGGAAACAAACGAAAGGGCTGCGGCCAGCAGTGTGTGGCTGGGGCACCGCTGGGCCTGCTGCCTGGGTCACCTGCATGTGACCCCAGCGCTTGAGACTCAAGCACCACAGCAGGGGCCCAGCTATGGCACTGCTTCACCCGCTTCTCCGGGCCTCCGCTGGGTGCCCAGGGCTCGGGATTCTATGGTTTTGTTTTGCATGCCGGGGCCTAAGCCAGAGCCTTGGTGCTAAGCTGCACTCCAGGGCCATTTTGCTTGCGAGACTGGGTCTCGCTAAGTCACTAGGTTACCCGAGCCGAGCTGGAACTTCCATGTTTATCAGGAAATAAGAGGGTGAACGGGGACAGAGGGACAGTGAATTAATTAAAAAAGGGTGGGGAGCCCCTGTGCACCTGCTGTGTAACCTCCCACCTGTCCTGTGTTCGAGTTTTTATGATAAAAGTGTGTGAGGTTTCTGCAGAGGTGGTGGCCATGCTGTGTGTGTCTACTTAGTGCTTACTGTGTGGCAGGCATTGTGTGAAGCCCGAGCAGCGCTGTGGTCTCTAATAGTGTGGGCTGGTGGCTTGGATGACTAACTCAGGTCCTAGCTGTCACAGAGCAGACACTGGGCAGGAGGGTGCCCACACCAACTCCAGGACCCTAGAGCTGAGGGCTTGAGAGGAAGGGCCAGTACGTTCCAGATGGGGGCTTCTATATTGCACAAATTCCATGTCCAGCCAGGACCTCAGAGTGTGACTTTGCTGAGTGTAGTGGGCACGCCTGTAGCCGCAGAGACGGGGAGGCTGAGGCAGGAGGGTGGCTCGTTCCAGACCAGTGTGGACAACTTAGATTCTCATTCAAATAAATAATTAAAATTTCTTTAAATATGTTTTTTTTTTTAAACAAGGCAGTCACCAAAGACACTCGCTGTGTTGTCTCGCATCTGTCTTAGGCAATTTAACAGCCAGAGCATTTCATGAACTGCGCCAAGGTGTGGAAATGCATGCCCGCTTGCAGAGTGCAAACCACAGAGTACTAGCTGGGGGCCGGGAATGGGGGAGTCTAAAGCCTTATTATCTGGAACTGCCTTAGGGTCCATAAGGAAAGGAGCCTGTAGGCCCAGGAAGAGTATAGACAGATGTTTACCGTTCAGAAAAAGCAACCTTTTCAAGCTCTAGGTAGCTGTTTGTTTGGGGGGGAGTTGTTAAAGGCCCTAGTAATTAGCAGTCTGCACCCTATATAGGACCTAGATGCTTCTTGGTGACCCGTGCCCCCCAACTCCCTGTAATCAGCTAACTGCCATCTGTTAACCTCCGTAAGTGCCGTAGCCTAAGGAGGCTTACAAACAGCCCCTGGGCCACTTCCCTCCCGCTTTTAATTTGTTCCCGCCTGAGTTCAGGTCCTGCTGAACAGCACTTAGGCTGGAGGCCCAAGCTCGAGCCCCCATTCCCATACCTGCCCAGCCCTGCACTTGTTTCCCGCCTGAGGGTGTGCAGTTTCCCGGGAACCTTGTAAGGCCTGCATCCGACCTCAGGGCACTTGTGGAAATGCTGACCCAGGGTCCCTTGGGTACAGCGAGCGGGGTCCTGGGTTCAGTCCTTGGCATCAGGCGGAAGCAGAGTCCCAGGTGATGCCCCAGAGAAGCAGGTCTCGTGTGCCCCTGGGACATCCTGAGGCCCCCAAAAGGCCAGGCCAGTCACCTGTGTTTCAGCACTTCCCCTGATCTGGGGGTTCCCTGCTTCCAGGGTGCATCTTTATTCTCTCCTCCCAGCCCCAGAGTTCGGGTCGGCGGTCAGCTCCATACTCCCTTGTCCTTTGGCCACCCCACTGCACAGATGAGAAAGCCGGAGCCCAAAGAACCCCTGACTTGCCCAAGTCACACAGCAAGGTAAAGGATGGGACCAGAATCTGAACCCAGGGCTTCCTGCCTCATCCTCCCAGCTGCGGAAAAATCCTGGTTTCGCTGTCAACTTGCAAGAAATACATTTTTTTCTGGTACCAGGGATCGAACTTATGACCTCACACTCGCTTGCCAAGCAGGTGCTTATACCACGGAACCAAATCCCCAGCCTTAAGAAATACATTTTTTTCAACCCTTGGCAAACTATTTTCAACTTTTCTACAAAGCAGACATGTCACAAGTTCAAACAAGGTCCCTCCCCCAGGAGACATGAACAGGTCTCAGGGCAGAGACGAGAGGAGGACAGGGAAGGCTCCCAGGGGTGCTGGCCACTCACCTTGACCTCTGAGCTGCCCCGAGCAATCTGCAGCAGGCAGCCCAGCCCCACGCCCACCAGCATATCTGCTCTGGTTCAGGAAATTTGTGGGAGCAGCTGTCCTTCTCTGGCCATGCCAGGGTCCCCGCCTGCTGGACCCAGCCTTGGGGTGTGGGGTGCCCTACCATGCAAGCTCTCCACCGAAGAGCCCACACCTGGGGCTAGTGCAGAACACACACTCTGCACTTGGCCTGTGAGGATCAAAGCAGGTGCCATGTGCAGTGGGGCACAACCGTAATCCCAGCACCCGGAGGCTGAGGCAGGAAGATCTAGAGTTCCAGGTTAGCCTGAGCTATGCAGTGAGTCTGAAGTCAGCTTTGAGCGTGGACGTGGGTCACCGCCAGACTGCTGGGCATCCTGGGTGCTTCACCTCCCCAACCTGCCGCCCGAGTCCCTGCAAGCTACAAGGAGGTGGCTGAGGGCTGGGAGATGGCACAGAGGCCACGGCACAGAAGCCAGGGTGTCTGCATCAGAGCCCTGGACCTGCCCCGGCCTGGCTCTCCCTGGCTCGCCTACGTGGACTGGCTTGGCTAACAGCCCTTGGGCCAAACTAGCAAAGGTCTGCATTTATAAATAAAGTGTCCTTGGACCACAGCCATACCCTGTGTCCCTGTTTGTTTTTTTTGCAGTTCTGGGGTTGCGTGGACTTGCCTTTTTACATGTTTTTATTCTGAGATGGGGTCTCAGTAAGTTAGCAAATGGCTCAGGCTGGGCTCAGGCTTTCCCGTCTCAGCCTCCCAGAGTGTAGGGATTCCAGGTGTGCATCGTGACACCCAGCAGTGACAACTGCCACCCACCGAACGCATGTGTGGAGAATCCCCGTCACTAATTAGGTCCTGAGGAAGGTCAGAACTCTCAATACCCACCACGCGCACACACACAGCCCTATTGGACCTCCAGGTGTGGCACAGCCATGATGGCAGCCTGAGGCCAGGCATCACCCCAAAAAGGATACTAAAGATGATGCCTCCAAAGCAGGCTGAGAACGCCATCCGCGGGTAGCCCTGGCGGGCCAGCGTGAAATCCGAGAAGGCATCTGCAGGGAACAAGAGGACCTGGAGTGGCTTGCCTGGGCCTTGCTTATGCAGTCAACAAACACTGACAAAGGCCACCTGGACCTGGCACTAGCCAGGAGCAACTCTGTGGGTGTGGTATAATATACCAACTTCTTACAAGTGCCCCATCTGCTGCTAACACTGGCAGCCCCTCTATGTGGATCAGGAGATACAGTAACCAAAAGGTGAATGGAAGGCAGGCTAGGACGTACTCTCCCTGTCTGCTTACTGGGATGCACTGGTACAGTGCGCAGCCCGGTCAACCTCCCTGGTTGCTGGAGCTAGATGAGTGTGGGAGTATGGAGGGTGAATGCCTACATGCTACACACCCGTGGACACGTCAAGCACCCGTGGGTCTATAATGACAGTGGGCACCTGGCACATGCTGAGGGCAGACTTAGCTACAGCTCTGGCTAGGGTACTCGAGACCCATGCCGTGACAGTGCCACCCCAGAGGTCCACCATCCCTGAGTCACCTCCAATGCTGTTCCCCCAGGCCAGCAGTGTGAGCCCCAGGACCGTGTTGCTCAGCTGGAAGACCACACCCAGGGACCGTAAGATGTTCACCACCTCTGTGGCAGCAGCATTGATCCACAGGGCGCTGGTCAGGAAGCCCAGGAAAGCAAAGAGCTGCGGAGGAGAGGGCATTAGGTGGGACCAGGGCCGGCCCACTGGACAGAGCCTCAGCTCCTCCTCTGTAAGATGAGTACAGTTCCGAACCCTCACGCTATTAATATAAGTGATTAATGCTCGCACATAACATGTACTCAATTAAAGGCTAGTGGAATATTGTTTCTCTTTTCTTTCTTTCTTTCTTTCTTTCTTTCTTTCTTTCTTTCTTTCTTTCTTTCTTTCTCTTTTGAGACAGGGTCTCACTGTATAATTCAGGCTGGCCTTGAAACCACTATGTAGCCCAGGCTGGCCTCAAACTTGCTACAGTCCTCCTGCCTCAGCCTCCTGAGTGCTGGGATTACAGGCATGTGCCATCATGCTTGGCTCCACACAAAAAAATGTAGACAGATATTTACAGAAGTACTTTTTCCTAACAGCCAAAAAGTGAAGCAAAGCAAATGACCACGGACAGATGGAAGGACAAACAACCTAAGGCATGTTTGCACAGTGAAAAGTCATTCTGCATAAAAGGGAAAGGTGAGCTCTGTGGTGGGACACAGACCCGGTGTTCGGTGTGCCAAGTTCAATCCCCAGAACCCCACATGCCAAAGCGGAAAAGGTACTGGCTGTGGTGACACACGCCTACCATCTCAGCACTTGGAAGGCTGAGGCAGGAGGATCGATGGGAGTTCGAGGCCAACCTGAGCTAATAGATCCTGTCTCAGGAAAAAAAGAAGAATGAAGGGCTGACCCGTGCTCCAACACAGATGAGCCACGGAACACTACTGCAGGTGAAGGCGGCGGGGCAGGAAAGGCCGCTGATTGTATGATAATCTGCGATGTCCCAAGAGGTCAGATCCATAGGGACGGAAAGTGGTGCTGGGGGAGGGGCCGAGCCAATGCCCCACCCAGGCCGACACCACACATAATGGAAATTGGTAAACTGCATTGCACTGGAATTCAGCTGGGGGAAAGCCATGCCAAGAAGCCAACCCTGAACAGACACAAACCCTGCCACGCGGCTGGGGTCCCTCCTGTGAGCACGGGGTTCTTACCCAGTGGAGCCTGGGGGGCTCTCTGTTGGAGGTGGCGAAAAAGGTGACAGATGCCAGGCCGGTGCCAGCGATGACCACCACAGCCCAGACGGGCACAAGGCCACCGATCTCATAGACGCCGTCTGTGGGCAGAGATGTGACGCTCTGTGGCTCCGGCTCTGCAGCCCGGAGGGCAGAGGCAGGGGAGAGGCCGTACCCGAGATACCCGATCCAGCCTGTCCAGCTCCGTCTGCCGCATCAAGGGACAGACAGACCCTCAGGCCGCACCATGCAGGGGAAGGAGTCAGGCACAGATGACAAGGGCACCGTGGTGATTTCCGCACTGGGGCACCCGGAATGGGCTCCAGAAGGTGGCCCAGGCCCAGCTAAACCAACTGACAGTGCCATACTTTTGTTTTGGCTTGATTTTTTGGACTTGGTCACCCAGGCTGGCCTGGAACTTACTGCGATGCTCCTGCTCCGGCCTCCCGACTGCGGGGTGACAGGTGTGTGTAGCATGCCCAGTTGCCTGCTGTGTGCCCCACACTGTGTCCGTGCCCCAGGGGTACTCACAGGCCCCCGACTGCAGCGTTAGGACCACGACCACGGGGCTGATGACCAGGTGCAGACAGTTGAGTGGCCGTTTCCAGTTCCGGTCGTCCTTGTCCGGGTCCACGACAGGCACAGTGAGGAGCAGTAGGAACTCCACGGGCAGCTGCACAGGCAGGCGGGAGTGGGACCTCCTCAGGGTCCGCAGTGTCCGCCCCACACTGTAGGACAGGGGCTGTGACTGCTGTGACTTTGGACTGCACGGATTCCGAACAGATACCTCTGCCTTTTCCGGCTTCCAGGGGCCGCCTGAGCACCCCAGCACCCAGCGCCCAGGGGTCAGTGCCCAGCACTGCTCCATTGGGATTGTACCTGGGCCACTGGGAGTCTGGCTCTGGGCTCGGTACCGGGGATCAAACTCATGACTGTGTTCTTGCAAGGCAGGTGCTTATGCCGCTGAGCTAAATCCCCAGCCCTCTGGGGCCTCTTCATACCTTGAGCACCTTGAGGACCTTCCAGGACACCGACTGGTTTCTCCACCTCCGGAAATCCAGGGGGTTTAGGGCCTGGGCCAGGATCTGCACTGTGGTCTCCTGGTAGAACAGTGGCCGGTACTCGTCACCTGCATTCAAGGACAGGAGGGTGTGGGAGGACTGGCTGCATGTTCAGGCACCCTCTGCCCTCGGTGCCCCTCCTCTCAGACACCCCAGCCCCCGTGCAGCCAGCTGTCGGGCCGAGGCAGCCCTCTCCCCACGTCTTCACCCCAGCCCAGCAGGCCTGGGACACCGGCCTTACCATAGTCATAGCTGTTGGTATTCGAAGACATGTGGTCTTCTTCTGAGTCCGACAGCAACTCTGCAGGAGATGATGGGGGGCAGGGGAGGGTTTTGGCATGAGATCCTCCAGCAGTGTGCTAGGCAGGCACTGTATTTTAACGGGGTCTTGCTGTATAGTCCAGGCTGGCCTTGAACTCACAGCGAGCCTCCTGCCTCAGCCTCCTGAGTACTAGGATTACAGCTATGTACTAGGATTACTTGGTGTGTCTGCATGGATTTGTATCTGCCTGTGTTTTCTGCCTGTTACCTGTGTACGTACACGTATGGTGTGTGCTGTACATACCTGTGCACATGTAAACTGTATATTTGGTGTCGTGCGTTTGCTGCATGGTGTATTTGTATACTGGTGCATGTGAGGGTAACCCCTTCAGGCATTTGGGGTTCCGTGGAGGGGCAGCCAGGACCCTGACAGAGGCAGAGGAGGCTGATGGCACAGAGCAAGCAGGAGAGGGTCTTGGCTGGACAGGAAATCAGAGCAATGCCTCGAGGGCCACGTGATGCAGAGCTCACCTGGGGACCCGGGCACGGAGTAGATCAGGGCTCTCCTGCTCTGCCATCGGTAGATCCAAGTGCAGAGGACCACGGTGACCACGTAGAACACGTACAGGCCCAGGCAGGCTGCATACAGGGTGTGCACCGTCACCGAGCTGCCCACCCCCATTCCCACCCCTCCGTGGCTGGCTCTCAGTGTCCCAGGCTGATGTCTCTATCCCGCTGCCCTGAATGCCCTGCCCAGCAGCCGCCGCTCACCCAGGGCCCAGGCCAGCGTGACCCTGCGGAGGTACAGCGCCATGAAGGTGAGGAACACGGCCGTCATATAGAAAGCGATGTCCCTGAGGAAGGGCCGGGAGGCGGCCACGAAGGGGCGCAGGATGGCGATGCCGCCGGCCACCACGGTGGTGACCAGCACGCCGGCACCTGGAGGACAGCAGCAGTCAGCACCCCGCACCCCTGCACCTCTGCACTCCACACCCCCACACCCCCAAACCCCTGCAACCTCCCTGCCCCCGCTGGGCCACATGTACCGAACAGAGCCCCGATGGCCAGGCTGGCTGTGCGCGGGTCCGAGAAAGCCACCATTGCGCTGAAGATGTCGGGGGCGCCATTCCCAAAGGCCAGGAAGGTGACACCATGGGGAGCATGTCAAGGAGGGTCCTTGCAGGGCCTGAGCCACCCACAGGGAGGGCCCCCAGCTGAAGGATACTGCCACGTTGTGGGACAGCTTGAGGGTGGTGGCGATGGCTGACAAGTTGGGGCAGAAGCTGTGGAGGAAAAAAAGCGGGCGGTGAGGACTCCCACAAAGACCGGGCAGCTGGCCCCAGGGCCCCCAAACCCAGGGCCCAACTCACAACTTGGCTGCGGTGACTCCCAGAACCAGAAACAGGTACAGCAGCCACAGGACCTGGTGGGGACGGAGAGGGGACAGGTGAGTCCCTGTGGGGCCACGTGGCCCTCTCCCCAGCCCCTGGACGGGGACGCACATAGAGGGTGACGGTCAGCAGCAGGAGGCTGGGTGCGAAGTAGCAGAAGATGCCCTTGAGGTAGTCCAGGTAGCCGCCGTCACTGTGGCAGTCGGGATTGGCGAGGATGAAGTCACAGCGGTCAGAGGCGTTCAGGCTGTACACGTGGCGACACTGGGGGAAAGGAGGAGGGGACATTAGGGACAGGGTCCCCAAGGGCTGCTGGACCAAGCCCACTAAGCAATTGGACCAAAACTCCCTGCAGCCCATCTCCAAGTCCCCCTTACCCTTTAAGTACCAACTGCACGGTTTTATTTGTAAAAAGTCTTGTTGCTGGGTGAGGTGGCATACAGCTGCAATCCCAGCACTCTGGGAGGCTGAGGCAGGAGGATCACAAGTTCCTTCCCAGCCTGGGCAACTTAGCAAATTAGCTATCTCAAAATTAAAAAAAAATTAAATGCTGTGGCTATAGCTTAATGCAAAGGAGATACAGAAACACTCCAGACACACTCATCAACCTCATCTGTGACGAAGGAGTCAAACACCTTCACTAGGAGAAAGTCAGCCTCCCTAATAAATGGTGCTGGAAAAACTGGCTCTACACATGCTGAATATTATAGACCCGTATCTCTCACCATGCCCTAAACTAACATCAAAATGGATCTAAGATCTAAATAATAAGGCAGAAACACTAAACCTGTTGGAAGATAAAAGTGGGTAGAAAACTCTTGAAGACACTGGTGTAGGCAAAGACTTCATGTACAACATTCAAATCACACAGGAACCATCACAAAGAATCAACCACTGGGATCTCATCTTATTACAAAGCTTTAGCACAGCAAGAGAAACCACCAACAGAGTGAAGAGACAGCCCATGGTGTGGGAAAGAAATTTTGCCAGCTGTTCCTCAGATAAAGGACTGATATCTGGAACATATAACAAATTTTAAAAAAATCAGAGCCCCACAATTTAAAGACCCAACCCAAAAATGGGCAGCTGAGATAACCAGAGATTTCTCAAGTGAAGGCGTAGAAATGGAGAATGAATATATTAAAAAAAATTCCACATCACTGGTCATTCAAAAGATGTAAATTAGAACTGAGATTCCATCTCACTCCAGAAAGAACGGCTGTGTTCAGAAATTCAGTAACAAATGTGGGAAAAGAAGCCTTCTCCACTGTCGGTGGGAGTGTAGCCTGCTGCAGCCACTGTGGAGATTAGTGTGGAAATTCCTCAAAAAACTAGACTAGAGGTCCCATCGACCCAGCTATCCCCTTCTTAGTACCTTCCCGAAAGAATTTAAAGCGTCACCCCACAGTGATATACGCACACCTGTGTATACAGCAGCACGGTTTGTAACAGCTAAATCCTGGAAACAGTCCGGATGCCCATCAACAAATAAATGGATCAAGAAGATGTGGTAAGGGCCGGGGATTTAGCTCAGTGGTGTAAGCAGTGCAAGGTTGTGAGTTTGATCCCCGGTATAAAAATAAAAGATGTGAGATTATATATATATATGGAGCAGTACTCAGCCATAAAGAAAGACCAGGCTGGGACATTTCTAGCTGGATGGAAGGACACTGAGACCGTCCTGCCAAGTGAGATAAACCAGACACACAGGTTTACATACTGCGTTGTTTCTGGTGTGAGACCCCAAAAGTGTAGTAAGGACCAAAATGTAAAATAGATACTGGAAAATGGGTAGAAAATGTTCAAATGGGAAGGGGAGCTAGGGGGAGGGGAAAGGGGACGGGAAGACAGGAGAAGAAAAAAGGAGACCAGAGGGGAAATGGGAAGGAAGCTTTTGCCAATCAGGAGGGGAGCAGGGCGTGAAGGCAGGGGTGGGGAATGGGAAAAAAGAGGTGTCCTGTCCCGTGCACAGGTACACATGCCCTGGGATGGAGTTATGTGTACCTAAGGTGTACCAATAAAATACAACACACACAAAGAAAACGGCCAAAAGAAAAAAAAGACCCGAGCCTGTAGCTCACTGCAAAGGACCCGAGTTCCATACCAACATGGACGAAAGAAGAGTTCACCCTCGGTTTCCCCTTTTTCTTTGCCAGGGTGGAGCCCAGGGCCTCACACACGCCAAGCAAGTGCTCTACCACGAGCCACCGCCTCAGCCCCATCCTAAGCCTCCTGTTTCTGCAACAGCTTTGACCACTGTGTGTGCCTGTCACATTTGATACACATGACATGAACTCATACTGTGCACCAACACACGGGGTGCGGTGTCCCAGGCCAGGTACAGGGGCACGAGCTCAAAATGCCTGGATTACTCTGCACAGCGGACCGCAGGAGGAAGTTACTGCAATCGGGTGAGGAGACTCCGGCCAGCTCGCAGTGTCCACTCAGGCAGAGCCGTGTTGGAACCAGGAAGCTGGAGGTGCTGGAGCTGTTTATGCTGTTGTTTGTTTGGTTTTGGTTTCTTGAGACAAGGTCTTGCTATGTGTCCTGGCTGGCCTCGAACTCAAAGTGACCCTCCTGCCTCGGCCTCCTGAGTGCTGGGATCACAGGCATGGACTACCAGGCTCAGCCTCCTCAGCATTTTTAAGAGCAGTGTGAAAGCCATGGCTGCCTTTATAGAAAACACTGCGGGTGGGCAGCTGCAAGTTCGAGGCCAGCCTGGGCAACTCAGTGGGAAGCTGAGGGCCACCCCCAGCACAACAAAAATAGAGGAGTAACAAATGTTGGTAAATGTGGGGAAGCAGGAGCCTGCGCGCACCACCGGCGGGAATGGCTGCGGACCGTAGGACAGCAGCTCCTCAAAGCCCAGCTGGCAATCCTGCCTCTGGGCATGCGCCCAGGGAGCCTCAGAGAAGCTGTCTGTGCACGCACACAGAGCACTATTTGCAACACCCAAAGAGCTGAGTGTGTATCAAAACACGGCATACACAGCTGGACACCGCGGCACATGCCTGTGATCCTAGGTCACTAGGAGGCTGAGGCAGGAAGACTGGAAGGTTCCAGGCCAGCCTGGGTGGCTTAGTGAGACTCTGTCTCGAAATAAATAAAATAAAATAAAATAAAACGGGCTAGGATGTTGCTCAGTGGAAGAGCGCGTGCCTAGCCTGTGTGAGATGCTATTTTCCATCCCTAACAATGCAAAAGGCAAAAACCAAACTCACGTAGGAGAGAGTCTCAGATTTCTGCTCTAGGTCCCCTCCCCTGCCCCATAGAGCCCCGGCCCCACCCAGAGACAAAAGTCAGGGCAGGTTCCTTCCCGGCAGAGAGGATGATTCACTCCCTACTCTGGCCCCAGGCAAATCCTTTCTGGTTTTATTTTTGTTGTTGGTACCCAGAAATCCAACGGACCTTGGCCTTTGCCAGGGAGATGAGGTCACCCAGGGAGCCTGGAGCTGCTGGGACCATTTCCTCTCAGGGCTGCAGTGATAACATTTACGCTTTGGGTTTCCTTGGTTTATTGGTTTGGTGCTGGGATTTGATGCTCTGGAGCATGCTTGACATGAGCTTGACAAGAGTTCTACCATTGGGCCCTTTCCCCGCCCTAAATTTTTATATTCTTTATTTCTTTCTTACTTTATTTATTAGGGGAGGGAGTGTTTGAGGCAGACATCTGTAGTTTGGGCTGGTCTTGAATTCACACGGTAGCCCAGGTTGGCCTCAAACTTGCTGCAATCCTCCTGCCTCAGCCTCCTGGGTGCTGGGATTACAGCTGTGCATCACCACGCCTGGTTATTTTTCTCTGAAAATTTGAATCCATCCCCTCTCTCCACCTCTACCCCTGCAGAAGCTTCCATCTGGCCTCCTGACTCCCACTCTTAGCAGAAGGGCTTTAAATATATGCCCCTTGGGCTGGGGACATAACTCAGCGGCACAGGTACCTGCCTGGCAAGCACAAGGTCCCAAAACTGATTACCAGTACCCTCAAAAAATAAATATAAAATAAAATGCACCTCCTGAGCCTTGGGCACGACTCTGTGGTTGGGCACTCAGGGGAGCACCACAAAAAAACTAGTAACAAGAATACTAGGTCTAGCTTTTGCAAGAGGTGTTCTGCCAGCCTACCACAATCATCTTGCAATTCTGGGTTCCCAAAACACTTCCAGGACGCTCTCTGGCACTGCCACCAGCCTCGCTAGGCCAAGTGCACACAAACCATCACAGGCACCCTCCACCCAGGTCATGTTTTGAAATCGCTCAGCCAGCTGCAAGGCCACAGACTTGTTCCACTTCTGCCCGCCCACGAGCCCTGGCCCAGTGCCCAGCACGGAAGGACCCCCATGGCTTCACCTCACTGGCTCTTCCTCCGAGACTTAGGAGGCTGGCACAGCTGTTTTTACTTCAAGCTGAAGGTGGTGGCGCCTGGAACTCCAACACTCTGGGAGGCTGAGGCAGGAGAGTTGCAAGTTCAAGCCCAGCTTGGGCAGTTTACTGAGCTCCTGTCTCAAAATAAAAACTTTAAAAGGATTGGAAAATGGGGCTGTCGCTCAGTGCAAAGGCCCAGGGCTCATGCCTCACTCCTCTAAAGATAATTAAAAATTAAAAAGAAAATTTTTTTCTACTTCAGAAATGAGGAAACAGATACACAGAGAGGCCAAGTGACTGTTCCCAGGCTTCAGGTTGGCTCTGTGTCACAGTCACGGGCCGCAGCTCTGGGAAAAATAAATTGCCCAATGGATTGGACACAGCCTCTTCCTTGGGCACTACCCACTTCCTCCCCTCCCCCTGTCTCCTCCAGGTCCTCAGGGTCACTGGCGAGGACCAGGAGCCACTCCCTAGCCTGTCAGAGATGATTCAGAAGGGCAGGGCCTCCAGGAGCAACTTCCTGCATGGGGGCGGCCCCCAGTCCGCCCAAGTCCGCTCCTCAGTCCCCAACACTCCCCTCCATCAGCTGTCATGGAAGAGGAAGATGGGCCACTCTGGCCCCCCTCCCTCTTCTCCAGGGTCAGGGGTCAGAGGGGACCGGAAGCCGGCCAGCAGGGAAGGAAGAGTCCCAAGGACAGGCCTGCTAGGAGTTAACTGCATTCCTCACTGGATGGTCCCGTTACAAACAGTCTGCACAGCCTGCAGAAAAGAAGCTGCTGCGGCCAGCTGAGCCCTCACCTGACATGGACACCACTTGCCAGACAGGGACGGGGCATAGGGAGCCCTGTGTGTGACACCGGGTTGGCCACAGCACTCGGGGTGACCTTCAGGCAGCCCCTGGGCGTCTCTGGGCTGCGGTTCCCTCAGCTGAACTGAAGTTGTCATCGGATCAGCTCTGGCTACTGACACCCTGATGTCACACAGTTCACGGCCTCCCGCAGGATGCAGACTGCCAGAGTCCCCGGGCTCCACAGAAACCGATAAATTAAACGAGGAAATGAGGCATCTTTCCATTTGTTATCGGCTACCAAGAAAGGCCTGAGATTTTAGACTCTGATTGTTGTTCCCAAATGTGGTCATGCAGATGTAGCTCCTGGGGTGGGGGAGGTCACGGCACTGCCTCAGCCTTCCCCATCTTGCCCCCAAAGATCCCAGTGCTACAGAACCTGTGAATCCATCACCTTCCGTGGCTAAATCTGTGATACCATTGAGGAGTCTGAGACAGAAAAATTATTCTGGATTGTCTGGGGCCAAGGGAACCCCAAGAGCTCTGACAAGAGGAAGAAGAGGTTATAATCTCAATACTTGGGAGTCTGACGCAGGAGGATCATCCTGAGCTCAAAACCACCTTGGGCCATACACTGAGTTCAAAACCAGCCTAAGCCACACAGTGAGAGCCGGAAAGACAGGGAAGCATCCCTCCCCACTACCCCAGCTTCCGGGAGGAAACAGCCAGACAGACCTTGATGTTAGCCCCAAGAAACCATTTATAGCTTCTGATACTGGAACTTGTAAAATAATAAGTTCATGGTTTTATCTTATTTTGGTTTTTTTTGAGACAGTCTCACCGTGTAGCCCAGGACAGGCTGGTCTCTGAACTGGTGTGATTCTCCTGCTTCGGCCTCCCAAATGCTGGGATTATAGCTGGTTGCCACCACACCTGGCTAAATCTTTTCTATCAAGAGCCAAATATTTCTCCCCTTTCAGGACAAGTGATTCTGTTACAGCATGAAAAACTACAATCCATAAATGGCAGGCTCTGCCCACAATATGTAAGGGCAAGGCTCTGCTCACCAGGTATAAACGAGAAGCCACACCCACAATATGCAAATGTAACCCCGCCCACAATATGTAAATATGGGTCCCGCCCACAACATGTAAATATGGCCCCACCCACGATTAGCAATTGATAGGCATGGCTGTGTGCCAATCAAACTTTTTATGGGCACTGGACTCTAAATTCGCACATAAAGCCTGGGGCATGAGGCAGTTCCCTGGCGAGGGACATCTTGACTTTCCTCCTGACTTTCCTCTTCCCTTCCCACCAACCCCGGGGTACACATGACTGATGCCTGCCTGGCCTAAGGGCCACCCGTCCCGCTCCTCTGGCTTCCCGGATCCCCAGCCAGGACCCTGCCAAGGCCACTGCCACCCCCTGAGCAGGATGCTGCAGCTGGCTCCCTGGTGCCTGCTCTGCCCCACGCAGCCAGCAGGAGTCTGCAGCGCCCATCAGCACTCTAAATCCTGCCATGGCTCCCGCGGCACCCCGGGAACAACTCAAGTCAGAGCGGGGGCACCCATGTGGCACCTCTCCTGCCCTGCTCCCCGGAGTTTGCCTGGGAAAACACTATTCTTCCCCTCCCCTAGGTTATAGGCAGCTGAGTTAGTTAGAAATATTACAGGCAGTCAGCCAGGACTGGGCCCTCAAAAGAGCCAGAGCAGAAATACTGGTATCTTGCAGCCTTGGAAGAGACAGTCACCTCCTGCTGTGAGCCGGCTCTCAAGACAAAAGGCAAAGCAAACACAACCACATCCTAAGGATCCACGGTCCAAATAGTTGTCATCACCCTGAGGACGTCAGGACTGTCCCTCTACAGGAAGAGTCACTGCTGCTAAGCATGCCCCTCTTACTATGTGACGCGCTCCCCCATTTGTTCCTCACTTAATCAATTTTACTTGAGCACTTAATCTTATTGGTTGACCACAGTTCTGTCCCACCTTATCCCCCACTTTGTAAGTTCCCATTTTTCCCCACCTTGGACCCAAATAACCTCATGATTTTACTCTGTAAAAGTCCCTAGAAAAGACAGAGTCCCAGGCAACCCACTGAGACACAGAAGGAGCCCCGAGTGGGTTTCTTTCTCTCAATAAATATATCCCACTCTTAACCTCCGTTGTTCCTAAAATTCATTCTTGGTTTTCAGAGAATCCAAACTCGAACCAGACATAGAATAGACTGGGAGTTTCATTCCCCTGTATCACCAGGGCCTTTGCACCTATGGGTCACCCTCTGCCTAGACTGCTGCTCCTCCCACGAAGCATCTTCAGGAAGCATCAAGGTCTAATTCAAAAAGTCCGCTCCTCAGGGAGCAAAGCAGCTGCCCCTGCCCCATCTCTCTCTACCATATCCTCTCTCTGTTTTGTTTTACTCATTAGCTGGAATTATCCTGTGGGTTTCTTTCTTTCTTTTTCTGTTTTTTTCCTTTCTTCTTTATTTGGACAGGATCTTACTATGAAGCCCAAGCTGGCCTTGGACTCATGGTCCTCCTGCCCCAGCCTAACCGAGTGCTGGGATTACAGGTATGCACCACCACACTTGGCCAGTTTCTCTTTCCCTCACCACTATGTGCTCCTGATCATCAGTAGATCCTGCTTGCTGTGCAACATTTACTATACAGCCTCCCTCTCTGTTCCAGGTGTTGCTCACCTCCATGGTGGTAGGGGCCTCCCTGGCTACTCCCCTCTGCCCACTCGGTCCATTCTCCCCTCAGCAGCCAGACACTCCTATTTTGACGTGCCACTGCCAAGACCCTCCACTGTAATCATTCTCACCTCCCAGCCTCAGCCCCAAAGGCCTCTGTGCTCTTTACCAACAATCCTCCCTCCAGTCACTGTCCAGAAGCACCCTGGGCTTGTTCCTGCCCCAGGACCTTGGCACTTGCTGTTCCTTTTGCCAGGAATGGTCTTCTCTCAGATGTCTATGTCAATGACTTCCTGCATCCACGCAGGGCTTGTTTCAAGGGTCACTTCCTCACAGAGGCCACCAGAGACCCTCAGTCTGAAGCAGCTGGATGTACCCTCCGCCCGGCTTTGATCCATCTGCCCTCGGCAGGGCGCTCAGCAGTTCACCACCTGGCTGCCCAAGTTCACTTCTGCTTTCCTTTTCCAGTACCAAGGGTAAAACCCAAGGCCTGCTAAGCAAAGCCCCTGCCACTGAGCTGCACCCCAATCCTTTTAAGTATTTGCTTTTATGATATTGGGGATTGAACCCGGTACCTTTGCACTAAGCTACATTCCCAGCCCTCTGGAAAATTTTTATTTTGAGACAGGGTCTCCCTAAATTGCCCAGGTGGTGATCTTCCTGCCTCAGCCTCCCAGAGTGCTGGGATTACATATACACACCACCAAGCCCATTCCTCTTTATTTATGTTGGGCCAGGGCCTCACCAAGTTACCCAGACTAGCTTCAAAACTGGGATCCTCCTGCTTCAGCCTTCCAAATGGCCGGGCTCATCATCGAATGCCACCACATGCAGTTTAAATGTATTCACTCGTCTGCCCAGAGACTGGGAGGCAAGGACCGGGTCCTCACTGTCCCCTGGTGCAGCGCAGGCTTCAGCTGCATGCCCGACTCAGCACACGTCCAGTGCCTGCCGCAGCGGAATGAGCGCTCCCACCCAACCCCGGCTTCCGGCTGGGATACTCACATCCACCGCTGGGGGCTGGCTGACACCTGGAGCTGGAAACTGGGCTGTCCCCGTGGACAGGTTCCTGGTCCCGGACGCTGTGTCTGTCATCAGCAGCACACAGAGCCAGCCCAGCAGCCACTGCGGCTCCAGCCATCTGTTGGCCATCGGCCTCAGGCCAGGCCTCACCTGCCTCACCTGCCCAGGTTCAGCTCAGGGCTCCAGCAGCTGCGGGGCGGGGAAAGAAGACACTGTATCGCCAACGGGCAGGGACCCAGCAGAAGGGACGGGCTTGTGCTGCCCCCACCTCCCCAGCCAAGGAGCCTCGGACAGAGCAACAGCCCCAGGCGGGGGCACTCACAGGCTCCATCCCGCAGCAAGTGGTCTGCCTCGTCCTCCGTCCTCCCCCACTGGGGTGCAGGGGAGAGGAATGTGGGGAGCAGCGGGGCGGGATTCAGAGCCTTCAACACGGGAGGCCCACTTCGGGGTGGACTTGTCCTGTTCCACAGCCGGCAGGACGGTGTACACGCCAGATGATTAAACCCGGGGTTTTCCACTGAATTAAATCCCCGGCCCTTTGCAGTTTTTAAAATTCCAGACAGGGTCTCAATACATTTTTAAATTACCCACGCCAGGTTAGAATTTGCAATCCTCCTGCCTCAGCCTCCTGGAACGCTGGGATTGTAGGTGTGTCCCACCGCACCTGGCTCAGAGCAGCGTTGCTGTTCATTTTGGAGGGAATGAGCTCCTAACTGCACTGTACCCAGGCCCACGGGGACACTAGTGTTACACCCACTTTAAAAGAGGCACACAGAGGCAGGACGAGGCAGAGCTACTCCCAGTCCTGCTTCCCCAGGAGGAAAGTGGCCACTTGGCTGCCCTCTGCTTCCACAGAGGAGGGACTGGGGCTCAGAGGAGCCCTGCCAGCGACCCTAAACCACACAGCGGGGCAGTCACACAGCCAGACAGAGGCAGAGGGAAGTGAACCAGCTGCTTAAGGCCACACAGCAGCAGAAAGGGCCTCTGTCACCTCATCAGTGCCAGTGGGAAGGGGCTTTGTTTTTTCTTTAAAGAATTTAAACCAGCCGGCGCATGGTGGCTCACGCCTGTAATCCCAGCGCTTGGGAGGCTGAGGCAGGAAGGCTGTAAATCCAAACCCGCCTGTGCTACATAGCAAGACACTGCCTGACTTAGGGCACTTTCCTACCTGTGCTACAATGAGTGTGTTTCATTTCTGCCATCAGGAAAAACAAAGTTCATAAAACAATGTTTTTGGGTTTCTCTCTCTCTCTCTCTCTCTCTGTCTCTCTCTTTTTTTAATTCTTTGCCCAAACATTTCCCAATGTCCAGGCAGCCGAAGGAGGGGAGGGGAGGGGACAGGAGGACAGGAAGGCCCCTGCCCTTCACTGCTTCTCACTGTTCCTCCTGACTGTCCTGCAGCTGCTTGGGGCACCTTGTGGTCTGAGAAACACTCGGCCCACTTCCCTGGGTCCCATTTTCCTCTGAGAAATGGACACAGACTCTGAGGATGTGGACCACACAGCGCTGCGCCCCGAGTCCCCCTAATAGAGACCTGGTGCACCTCTCCCCTCCACTGGCCACACATTTCTTCTTTCTATTTTGAGACAGGGTCTCGCTATGCATTTCAGGTTGGCCTTGAACTTGCGGCGATCCTCCTGCCTCAGCCTCCTGCATGCCGCCCACTCATCTCCGATAAACACTTACTGAGCGTCTTCTGCGTGCGTGGCCAGGGCGAGCACTGCGAAGGGAAGACGGAACCACGGAACCGGGCTACGCTTTGGCGCGATGGCCGCGACCCGCTGCGTCTCTGGCGCCGTCTGAGGGTGAGAAGCTGAACTTGGGGTGCGAGGTGGGGGTGCAGGCGGCTTCGCTTACCTCGGGCCGCGCCTGGAGCCTCGAACGTCAAAGCTCGTTCCTGCCGGGCCTCGGGGCCGCCCGGTCCCCGCCAGCAGCCCCGTCCTGCGCGACCTCGGTTCCGATCGCCGGCCAGGGCGCCACCACCGAAGCTGCCCAATAGCGACCGCCTCGAGCTGGCGCTGCTGGCCCAGCCTCGGCCACGCCCCCAGATGGGGCGTGGCCAAGGACACGCCCCTCGGAGGTCGCCCCGCCCCGGCTCTTAAAGACACAGGCTGAGATGGGGTAGGGCCCCTGGAGTCTCCAACTTCCACCTCCCCTTGTGATCCTGTGGGTTCTGCTGTCGCCAAGAAAGCGGAAGCTGAGGTGAAAGTAGGATAAAACTAAGTGGAGGAGGCCAGCAGGAGGCCGAGAGGGGTCAGTTACAGGGCAAATCCCCAGACTCCCTCCCCCCTTCCGGAGGATGGGATGGGGGAAGAGATGTCAAGCTGCTCCTGGGAATGAAGCGTTAAGAATCTGAGTGTCAGCACTTCAGGAGGCTGAGGCAGGAGGATGGCAAGTTCCTCCGAGCCCAGCTTGATCTTTCGTCACTCCTCTGAACCGCCCCCAGCACCGGTTTCCTTCCTGTATCGTGGGGATGGCCATGGCACCTGCCTCGTGGGGTCTTGGAGCGGTGGCCCTGTGTCTAAATCCCCAAGCCCTCCCTTGCTTTCCCACACACCACCAACGCCCCAGACACCCTCTCCCCCAAGGACACCCACTCCCCAGAAGCCCCCCACAGTCACTCCCACCCTTCACAGCAGGCACTAGGGCCAGCCTTCCAAGTCCAGGCTACCGGTGTCCAGAACAGGAGTGGCCTGGCCTTGCTGCTGGGGTCAGCTGCCCCTGGTCACCTGCCTGGGAGGAAGTGCCCAACTGCTGAGGTTGGAGACAAAGTCCTCCGTCCCTGCCAGAGGGTCTGAACCTGGGACTTAGGCGCCCAGCCAGGGCCTGGCCTCGGGGTCACTGTCATAGGTCAGCAGGGCCAGTGGCTCCTGGGGCTGAGGTAGGTGAGAGTCCAGCTGAAAGCAGAGAGGCTGAGCGAGGGGACGGACCTGGGGACAGGGACAGAGACCAAGGGGCAGGAAGGCAGGCCTGTTTCACCCTGCCCGATGGCCAGGGGTCAGGGTCAGGGCCTATTTTCTAGGCTGGAAAAAGACCCGGGGGTATCTCGCTGTGTAAGGAGAGGCCGCTGCGGGCAGACACTGAATACAAAGCACTTTGTGTATTAACTTATTGATTTTTGTGGTAGCGGGGATTGAGCCCAGGGCCTTTTCACTGAGCTACAAACCCAGCTCTTCTTACTTTTTATTTTGAGACAGGGTCTCCAGGGGGTGTTAAATTGCTCAGGCTGCACTGGAATTTGAGATCCTCCTGCCACAGCCCCTAGAAGTGCTGGGGTCACAGATGTGCACCCCCCCCCCATTACCTGTCTGCATTTGTGAAGGGACCAGGGTGGTAGGACAGATCTGGGCTGAGTCACAGGGTGGTGACGTGGAGCACTGGGGGCCTCCCCATACTCCCCCTCGCCCCTCACAGGAGCTGATTTTTGGGCTCTCTGGAGCCTCCTAAAATGGTGCATCAAGGAACCAGGCCCCTGGGGCTGGGGGAACAGAAGGGAGGGCTGCTGCCTCATATGACTTAGCTGTGGAAGTGATACCGAGAAGTGTCACCTTGCCCTGGTCACAGAGCCACTGGCATTCAAGGAGAGGAAACACCCTAACTTCTCCGTGGGAGACACGTCATCTTGTGCTCGGAGGAGAACGTGATGTTCTAGACCTGGAGGTGACCATAACTGGAAAACGAGGGCTGCCACTGTGCCCTCACCCACAGAGGTGACGCTCGGGTGTTCAAGTGGCATGAGCAGAAGGGGGCTGTGGTTTAGAGGGAGGAAGGGAAAAGGCCCTCAGTTCCTGTGGGTAGACAGCTGCCCACAGGGTCACCCTTGGGCTGACCTTGTCCTTGGCTCTTTTTGTGTGTGCGTGTCTTTTTGAGGCAGAGTCTCGCTGTGCAGTTCAGGCTGGCCTTGAGCTTACTTTGTATCACTTTGTAGCCCAGGCTGGTCTCCAACTCACAGTGATCTTCCTCCTGAGCACTCTGTGCTTGTATTCCAGACACATGCTACCAGGCCCATTTTTTGTTTTGTTTTGTTTTTGAGTCAGAGTCTCATTATGTAATTCAGGCTGGCCTTGAACTTGGGGTGATCCTCCTGCTTCAGCCTCCTGCAGGCTGAGATTGCAGGCATGTGCCACCAGGCCCAGCTCTCTATAGAAGATTTACACACATGCCACATATGCTGGTGACAACCCTGCAGTTGGGGGCTACAGTGATTCCCACTTCCCCAGGGAGGGAAGCCACCTGTCCCCAGGCCACCTGCTGGGAAGCAGCAGAGGCAGAGTTGTGTCCAGGTATGAGTGACCCTGATTGTGTCCCCTTCCCCACTGGAGCTGGGCAACGTGCGTCCCTGCGGGGGAGGCCAGGTTTGCACCACACTGCACACACGCCTGTTAAAGACCTGGGGTAGGGGTGGCAGCTCCTGATGCATCTCAGGGATCCAGGGACACCAGCAGCAGGAAGGGGAACCCTCACAAGAGAGAAGAAGCAAAAGTTTCAGTCTGAGGCAGGACCTGGAGGGCCTGGAACGTGGTGGCCTTCTCTGTTTTATTGTTTGTCTGGGACAGGATTTCAATACCTAGTTCAGGCTGGTCTTAAACTCACAATAAGCCCAAACTGGCCTTGAACTTGTGGCAGTCCTCCTGCCTCAGCCTCCCAGGTGCTGGGCCTGTAGGCCGGATGGCCTCACTGTTAACAAAGGTGGCTGTGGGGCTGGGGATTTAGCTCAGTGGCATAAGCACCTGCCTTGCAAACAGGCGGTCGTGAGTTCGATCCCTGGTACCGATAAAAAGGAAAAAGACCAAAAAACAAACAAACAAACAAACAAACAAACAAAAAAACCCAAAAAACAAAGGTGAGCGTTCCTGCTGATCCCAGTAGCTCTGGGCAAATAGTGCCACATCACCTACTTACAATACCCCAAGGACGGGCGCTCACTGCTCTTACGGTCTCCCCATGAACAGCAGGCAGTACGCGCTGTACAAGAGGGTTTGTTGTTGTTGTTGTTGTCTGGGCCTGGAATCCAGGGCCTTTCACATGCCTGGCCAATGCCCTCCCACCGAGCCACACCCAGCCTCTATGGGGAGACTTTTAGATTTGTGTGTGTGTGTCTCACTCTGTAGCCCAGGCTGACCTCAGACTGATGATCCTCCTGTCTCAGCCTCCTGAGTGTGAGATTCCAGGCATGTATCTCCACACTCCTGGCCTGGAATATTTTTATTGAGACTCCTAGAAGACATGTGGAGGCGAAATGCCAACAGGTCAATGTCCATCTTTAGAAAGTTGAAAATACTTGAGCCCCTGGCCCCACCTGGAGCTCTTACAAAGATGAGATTGGCTGCTGCTCTGAGTACGAGAACGTTGACTGCTGCAACTGCCAGGATTCTGCAGTGATTGGAAGTAACCTACGTGTCCAGCATGAGGGGATTGGATTGAACTACTGCTGCAGCCAATGGACCCTCTGCTTTAGGACACCAAACCTACACAAAGTACAATAGTGACAGAGCAGGCAGCTGGGCATGGTGGCACATGCCTGTAATCCCAGCATCAGGAGGCTGAGGCAGGAAAATTTCCGTGAGTTCAAGGCTAGCCTGAACTACATATTGAGACCCTATCTTAAAAAAAAAAAACCACTTTTTAAAGTAGTAACAAAGCAGGATTTGAACCTATTCACACCACATAAGATTGGGTTTTTTGCAGTGCAGGGGTTGAACCAAGAGCCCTGTGTATGCTAGAGAAGCATTGAACCAATGAGCTATGTACACCCTGGCCTAACTTGTACTTTTTGTTTTGTTTTGTGTGGTCTTTTTGTTCATTTGGTTTAATTTGGTGTTTTGAGACAGGGTCTTGCTATTTAGATCAGGCTGACCTTGAATGCTTTTTTTTTGTACCAGGGATCAAGGACTGAACTGGACATTACCTCCTCAATCCCAGCCCTTCTGAGGCTGAGGAAGGAGGATCTTGAGTCTGTATCCTGCTGGAGCAACGTGGTGAGACCCTGCCTCAAAGATAAATAACAAAGGGCTAGGGATGAGAGTGACGTTTTCCTTAAGTTGGTGGGGGAGGGGGAATAAGCTCATCAAAAGTGCAGGGATGGAGGAGGGTGCCCCCCAAGCTGTAGAAAGTCGTTTAGAGGCAGATCATGGACCATCACCATCATATGCACTGCTCCTCCCATAAAGCCTCTCTGGAAGAAAAGGTCTAGGATTTAGTGATGCCAGGCTGTTTCCTGCCACAAGCCCTTTGCACTTACTGCTCCCTCCTCCAGGCGGGCTCTTCCCCTTTACCTGATCAAGGCTCCTCCTCCTTCAGGGTTTCTGGCTTGTCTTCCCTTATTCCACCTGACATCTTTTATTATTTTTTATTTTATTATTTAATAAATTTAATATTATTTAATATTACTTAAATAATTTTTTTTTTTAAGTTTGCCATTGGTGGGGATGTGGCTCAGTGGTAGGCTTGCCTTGCATGAACAAGGCTCTGGGTTGGATCGCCAGCACCACGGGAAAAAAAAAAAAAAAAGGAAGAAAAAGAGAAAATTGGTCACTGGTTAATCCCGCCTTTTTTTTTTGGCATGGATGAGGGCCACACACTGGCTGCAGTTTCGTCCGTCTCATTCGCTGCCCCTCCCGTGGGCCTAGGACAGACTTTGTCCACAGTAGATGTGCAGTTCATTTCGGTTCTGTTACCATTGTCACCGTCACCATCACTCAGTCCCCACAAGGTCCTGCATGCCAGGCAGTCTGGCCCCTGCCCCCCACACCTAGGGGCACGGGGCTTCCCTGCAGATCAGCATGTCCCTGCTATCAGGGGCCACTCATGACACAGGCTGGCCAGGAAAAGACTCTGTCCAGGACAATACCCGGATGGATCACGGGGGTGGGCATAGCCATAGTCAGAAATTTATTCAGTTCCCAGCACCCCGGAAGGCTGAAGTAGGAGGATTGCAAGTTTGAGCCCACCCTGGGCACCTTGGTAATTTAGCAAGACCTCGATGTAGCTTGGTTCACAAGCACAGGTTTCAATCCCTAGTACTAAGAAGAAAAGAGTAGTTAAATATAACAAAACGTTAGCAAACGATAAAAAGTATACGAGCTTTATTTTTCCAAGAACTCTCGAGGCATGATGTGTGAAAGTAAAAAGTGCGAGGGGAAGGGAGAGAAGCTGGATTGTGCTCAAAGGGGCGTCGGGGCCCTTTAAGACGTGCTCCGCCCCGGACGGCGCCCAGGCCCCGCCCACCCCGGAAGGCCTTCCCAGGCCCCGCCCCGGCCCCGCCCACCCGCACGCGTCTCGCTGTCCGGGCTGAGGCGCGGGCGGGCGCGGTCATGGCGGCGCCCACGTACGTGTCCCTCGACGGCCGCCCGGTCCGGGCCCGGGCGCTGGCGCTGGCCCCAGCGCTGTGCCTGCTGGTCGGTCTGTCCCTCGGCCGCCTGGCGGGCGCGGTCCCGGCCCCGGGGCCCCGCGGGGCGCGCGACGGGCCGGTGCCGGCCGCCTGCCGCTCGGTGCTGCTGGACGCCGCGTCGGGCCAGCTGCGCCTGGTGGACGGCCTCCAGCCCGGGGCGGTGGCCTGGGCCAACCTCACCAACGCCATCCCCGAGACTGGGTAAGGCCTGGCGCGCCCGCGGCCCGGTCCGGAGCGCGCGTGCGCAGTGGGGCCTGCGCCACAGGCGGGACGTCCCGCGCCCGCCCGCACGCACGGCGGCGGCAGCTCTGTCCCTGCAGCCCGCAGCTCGCAGCGCTGCCTCTGCCTCGGCGCGCGGTGCTCCCGCCCTGCTCTGCACGCTCAGCTTCCCCGAGGAGTGGGGACAGCTCCCCGGGACGCCAGAGCGCACCCGCGTGGCTGGGGAGCCAGTGCCCCCCACCCCAGCCTCTACAGCAGAATCAGGATGGCGGGGAAAGTCCCGTGCCAGGGCTCGCAAAGCTGCGGGGTCCCGGAGTCACACAGGCGCCCTCCTCTGCCCTGGGCCACGGTGAAGTCCTTGGTTTGCCTGTGCCCACCACCGACCTTTTCAGGACCCAGGCTGTCATGCCGACGCGTCTTTCACCTCACCTCTCTGCCCAGCTGGGCGCCCACTGCACCATCTGTGCCCCAGATCCTGCCAAGGTGCTGGGTGGCCGTGGGTGGCTGGCTGACAGCCCCTAAAAGCTGTGAGTGGCTTACTCACATGGGTTCACAGTCCTGGTGCTTGGCTTAGGCACCTAGGATTGATCAGGTCTAGGGGCAGTGCTTACTCTGTGGAACAAGTGGACAGGGGAGGGTCTTACTCAAAGTCTGGATCCAGGTTGTGCCAGGGGAACTTTGTGAGTCTTCCGTGAGGCCCCCCCCCCCCGCCCGGGCATATTTCAGGGCGCAGGTGGTGACACTGTCCCATGCAGCAGGAGTAGCCTTCCAGTGCTGCACCAGGGTGTTGGCACGCACTGATTCATTCCTGCAGGTATCAGGGTTGGAATTCTGAGGACACCCCCATTCTGGTGGTGGCACTTACAGGCTGGTGCAGATGCGAACTGGGTGGGGCTGATCTGGGAAGGGTCCTAAGGAGAGGAGGCCAGAGTAGATTCACATTTGTGGAGGGACCAGAGCTGTGTGGCAGGTGGCCAGGTTTGGTGAAACGCGCCTGTAATCCCAGCACTCACAAAGGCTGAGGCAGGAGGATCGCAAGTTCAAGTAGTGACTTAAATTTTTTAAAAAGGGGGAGGGAGAGCTGGGGATGTAGTTCATTGTGAAGGCCCTGGGTTCAAATCCCCAGGACTGAAAAAGAAAAGAAACAAGAAACCTCAGCACATGTGTCTGGTGGTGGAGCTCTGGAATGTGGTGAGCTGTTCCCTGCTGACTCACCACATGGTTTGGCCCCATCTGCAGAACCAAGAGGCCAGAAGTCTGCCTGGATGCCAATGGGGGGAGGCTCCCGGGCCCAGTGGCTCTCAGTCATGGGACCCATAGGACTGGGGAAACATTCCTTGACTGTGGGTCAAGTCCACTGCTGTGTGACCTTGGGTGAATTCCTTTACCTCTCTGAGCCTCCTGTTTCTTCACCTCCCAGTGGGGCTGAGAAGGCAGGGAAGTCCAGTGGAATCCTGGAAAACATCACTGAAGGAAAGAAGGAAGGAAGGAAGGAAGGAGCAGGTGTCCCTTGTTCCCACTTGATAGTTGGGGAAACAGAGGCCTGAGAGTTAAATCCAGGGCTCTTCCACGTTTCTCTCCCTCAACCCTCCTGACTGCTGCCGGCCGTGAGTCTGAGATCTTTCTGCTTCGGCCTCCCAGTGCTGGGATTATAGGCAGGCACCACTGTGCCCAGCTTGGTCTGGCTTTTTCAAACGTGTTGTTTCTCATGAGGTGCCAGGATTGGGCCCTCAAGTTGCCTGAGAGCATTAGCTGCCCTGATGATTGGGGTTGGGGGCGCTATTGGGGAGAGAGATGCAGTGCTGCCAGCTTTTTAATTTTTGCCAGACAAGTGCATTAAGAACCAAACAAAACTATATTGACCATATTTATCTCCTGAGGTCAGTAATTTGAGAAGCTAGCAGGCAAAAAGCACGTCATCTCCAAATAAAATGCAGATGTCAGCAAGAACATCAAGTTACAGAAACACTCTCTTTTTTTCCCCCCTTGCTCTTTTTTTCAGGCAGGGTTTCACTGTATGGTACAGGCTGGCCTTGGAACTGACTTTTTAGCCCAGGCTGGCCTTGACTATGTAGCGATTCCTCTTGCTTCAGCTTCCCAATTGCTAGCAGTTCACCCCTGGTGGCAGCCAGGGTATGTGTGGGGGTGTTTTTGTGGTTTTGTTTTTGTTTTTTCCTTCTGGGGTGCAACCCAGGATCTTCACACCTTACCACATCCCCAGCCCTTTTTATTTTGAGACGGTCTTGTTAAGCCACTAAATTGTCCAGGCTGTGCTTGAGCTCGTGATCGTCCTGTCAGCCTCCCGGAGGGCTGGGGTTAGAGGGGTGTGCCACCGCACCTGGGCTGCAGTTTTTCTTTGGACTGGTGAGTGGGTTAGAGTCGCTTCTAGGTTCTCACTGAGGACAGCTGAGAGGGATTCCAGTGGCCATTGCTGAGGTCAGAATCTTCCCATTTGCAGTCGGGGGAGCTGTAGTCAGAAGACAGGGTGTGTTGCAGGAGTGGGGTTTGAGTTTAATATCCTGTGTCTGTATTCAGACCCCATGATGACCTGGGGTGGCAACCAGCAGCTCAGAGCTAAATGAACCCCACTAGGGAGCGCTTTCTGCCCACCTTCCAAAAAACTTACAGCTGGACAAGTGCCACGGCTTTGGGGTTCTTTTTCTTGAGACAGGGACTTGGTATGTGGTCCAGGGTGACCTCAAACTCATGGTGATCCTCCTGCCTCAGCCTCCTGAGTATTGGGATCACAGGCACCACTACATCTATTTCTGAGGACTCAGGCAAAGTGCATAAAACCCACACAGGCCAAATCACACTGCTACTCCCTAGAGTAAGTCTGGACGGGGGAACAGGTGATGACTGTCCTTACGTTCGTTATGCATGGCTCTGTGTCTGGGGGCAGGAGCATTGGTGGCGGAAACCACTTTTCATTTACGCTTCTCCTTTCTACCCAGTTTAGAGGAAGCCTCACTGACTTTCTCTCTTCTCTTTTCTTTTCTGACAGGTTTTTGCCAAGTTGCCCAGGCTGGTCTTACTTTTGAAACCCTCCAGCCTCAGCTACCATAGTAGCTGGGACCACGGGCCCGCAATCTGGCCTTCCTTGAAATCTAAAATCTTAATTTCCTTGCTTGTTTTTCTCCTGTTACTCATAATTACATCAGTCATTAGCTTGAGTTCATGATTCATATTTTTCTTTGATGGGCGCTGTGTTCCCCTAAAAACTCACGTAACTGATTCTGTAATGGGAAGAAACTCCTGACCTGTTGGAGGTGCCAGTCTCAGAACACTGAGGCACAGGAGCGGAGCTGAGTGCAAAGCAGGTTAAGAGTAGGAAGTTTTTTTTGTGCTTGTGCCACAGGTTACCTTGGGCCAAGCTACAGCCAGCCTACAGGATTCCAAGTACAGCCACTTGGCTAATATTAACCTGGAGAAAGAAGGGAGTAGACAGGGTGCACAGCCAGGGACAGCAAGGGCGGTTCTGGAAGGGGAGGGGCGGAAGTCTGGTCCTCTGTGTGGAATGCCTCTTCCTTGCCAGCTTGTTTCTTTGTGTTCAGTGGTTATGCACTTGTTACATTGTGTCTGTGTGCTTATTATAGGGACTATGTCCTTGCTACTTATTCCTGTAGATCTTATGGAGGTCTGTGTGTTACATTGTTTCTTTGTGTTCCCACATTCTTCCTAGTGATTGTTGCAATTCTGTATTATGCTCAAGTTGCTTCTTTGTTACGTTGTGTCTCTGCGGTCTGTTGCAGTGTTTCTGTGTGCATTCCCCCCCCAGGCTTGTGGGCCTGCTGGCTGCAGCCCCTGCTGTGAGCTGCCCTCCTCTCCCAGGCTCAGCCCTCCTACCTCTTTCTCAGCCCTCCACCTCGGCCCAGCTGGCCTCAGCTCTGTTCCGACTTGATCCCTGGCCTGGTCCTTTTCTAACCTCCAGTCAGGCTCTAACTCCACCGGCTGCAGTGAGCCAAGCTTTAGAATCTTAGTTCTGCTTCTTACTGTGTGGCCCTGAGCGTGTGACTGCACCTCTCTGAGCTTTGTTTCCCATACCTGGAAGATGAGGAGTGTAAGGCTCTACCATGAGGTCTTGAGAACATCGAGAGAAAAGTGGGTGTGGAGTGCACTGAGCACTCCCTTGGGGCTGCCATCCACCAACCCGGCCTCGCTGATACCTCGCACTCGGCCTCTCCCGCTGGCCCCGGCAGCATTCTTTGCTTTGGAACATCCAGAGCATAGGCTTTCTTTTATATTCCTCCATTTTTCTACCTGGCAAATTCCTAATTAAGCTTCAAAACCCAGAGCAGCTTTACCTCTTCTGGGAATCCTTTACCCTGGTAGCCATAGCTTTTGACTCTGGGCCTTGTATTCCTTTTGTCTGGCACCTGAGGGTGCAAAAAAAAGGCTCACTTGCTGAAGGACAGTTGTAGATCCTTTGAATCTTCTCTCCAGAGTGTCATCCTCGAAGCGTTGTCCCTGCCCTTGAACTTTTTGGTGACTTTAGGTCACACCGGGAGCAGTCTTATCTGAGCTTGACTCTGTCCTAAAGCCTCCAGGGGGTGGAGCCTTGGAGGTCTCTCAAATCTTTCTTTTGCCCTGCTTTCCTAATAGGAATGGCCTTTAAAAATATTTTCGGCAGGCATGGTGTTGCATGCCTGTAATGCCTGCACTCTGCAAGGCTGAGGCAGGAGGATTGCAAGTTTGGCAGCTTAGTGACTAAGAGATCCTGTTTCAACTTTTATTTGTCTTTTGAGACAGGGTCTCACTGTGTGGCTCAGGTTGGCCTTCAGCTCAATTTGTAGTCCAGACTGGTTTCAAATTTGCAATCACTCACCTGCCTCAGCCTCCTGAGCACTGGGATTACAGGAGTGTGCTACCATGCCCAGCATCCTGTTTCAACATTTAAAAGTGCTGGGTATATAGCTCTGTACAAACTGGCTCCTCAGAACTGCAAAAGCAAGCACATAAGCTGTTTTCCCCTGTTCGAATTTGCAACTGTCACCTTCATGAGCCGAGCTTCCTGAGTGCTGGGCTTCCAGGTGCATGTGAGCACACCCAGCTCATGGCTCACTTCATTTTCCCTGCCTGAGTCTGAGTCTCAAAGCAACATATTTTATTTTACTTGATTTTGAGCTTTATAGTATATCTGTTTGTTCTCACTCTGTAGTTGAGGCTGGTCTTGAGCTCACTTTATAGCTGAGGTTGGTCTCGAACTCATGATCCTCCTACCTCAACCTCCTGAGTGCTAGTCCAAAAATATTGATAGGGATCTTTTTGTTGTTGTTGTTTCTTTTGAGGCGGAGTCTCCCTGTGTATCCTAGGCTGGCCTGCAACCTGTGATGATCCTCCTGCCTCAGCTAGGAAGCATTTTAAATGAGGAGTAGGAAGTGGGGTTCAGCCCAATGTTAAGAGAGCTTGCTCAGTGTATCTGAGGCCCCAGGTTCAGGACACACACACACACACACACACACAGAGAGAGAGAGAAATAAGGAAAAGCAGAAGAACAGGAGTCTGTTCTTTGCAGAGTCAGCCCATCCACCATTACAGCTGCAGGTCCAGCCTCGCTGGTATTCCCAGGGTGCTGCTGAGAAAGCCATGCGCCACGATGCACAGCTGTAATCTCAGCTGCTGGGGAGACTGAGGCAGGAGGATTCCCAAGGTCAAGTCCACCTGGGTAACACGAGCAGAGCCTGCTTCAAAATAAAAAGGGTTGAGACGATAATGTAGCTCAGTGGTACAGGATTCCCGCTTTCAACTCCCTGGTACCGTAGAAGGTCAAATAAAATAGAATCACTTGTGCTCTGACCCAGCAGTTCCTCTTTTAGGGACTTAGCCCAACAGGTACCCGAAGATGGTGCACAGACAGGTGACAGATGGGCCTTCTGGGGAGTGTCGAGCAGACCCTGCGCTGACCATGTCCCTCCTGTCCTCCAGGTGGGCCTTCCTGGAGCTGGGCACCAGCGGCGACTACAATGACAGCCTGCAGGCCTACGCAGCTGGTGTGGTGGAGGCCTCCGTGTCAGAGGAGGTGAGGCCAGCACTGAGCGTCTGGGACACAGCTGGTGCCTCCCCTGCCAAGCGGTTCCCTGGGAGGGTTGATTTTAGTTTGCTCTTTGAGACAGAGTTTCATTGTGAATAGTCTGATTGGGTGCATACCTGGGATCCTCCTGACTCAGCCTCTTGAGTGCTGGGGTGACAGGTGTGCAGCACAGCTGGCTCATCGTCACTTGATTTTAGCTGTGTGTGTCTGAATCTTAAAGCAGTATGTTTTGCTTTACTTGACTTTGATCCTGATACTTGTCACAGTCACACACTGTCCAGCATGGGCAGGGCTGCAGGTGGCGGCCGTCTCCTGTGCAGTGGGTTAGGCTGTGGACTGGAAAATAAGTGGGCATTAAGGAGTGCAGCTGGCATGCACCTGAGGACCAGCTGTCCCTGCTCTGGTGTGCCCGCTGGAGGTGATGCAGGGATAGGGCAAAGTGTTCAAAGCAGCCCAAAGCACCGTGGAACTGGGGTGGGGCGCAGACGCAGGGAGCCTGCAGGGCATCTGGGGTGGGTGTGAGGTGGACCAGGGGAGAGGATGAGGGCTGTCTCCAGTGTGACCCCTTTGTAAACTATACATGCCGACCTGGCAGCTGGGCACAGTGTCAGATGGCTCTGGCCCGGGGTCCTTGTGTCTGGCCAAGAGTCAGATACTGGGCTCTTGCTGCTCAAGGTGGAAGAGATCGATTCTAAGGGGCAGTGGCCTGCTTGGGGATAGTGGACCCCAGCTGTGTCCCCGAGTCCAGCCTGATGGAGGACTGGAGTCCCAGTGGCTAAGCAGGTTTCGGATGTGTCCCTGTGCAGTGATGAGTGGGCACTGTCACAGCTCTCTCAGTGACACATGACTGAATTTCAGTGGGGTAGGGGTGTGACCAGAAGTCCCCCAACCCTTTGCCTGGTGAGCTCAGTGCATGAGAATCACAGATGTGCCTCTGGACATAGGTTCCAATCCTAGTCCTTAGATTCACTACCTAGGCAAGCTTGGGCAAAGCACTTGCCCGTGCCTCAGTTTCCTCAGTTATCAAATGAGGGCATAAATCAGCTCCATGTCAGTATAATGAAGCACCCAAGAGAATTAACTTACCAGCAGCTTAGCCAGTCCCAGTCCATGGCCAGGCCGCTTGGCCTCAGGGTGCATGGCTGGGATGGCCTTGCTCCTGGGCCTGGGATCAGCTCTCTGTCACCTCTGAAGGACATGCAGGACAGGACTACAGGTCTCCCCCTTCTGCACAGACCATTTGAGGCTCGCCCACATGATGCCTGGCAGAAAATGTCCACGGCCTCCAAAGGCCCAGTGGAGGCCAGTGTGTCTTACCTCATGGGGTCAGCAAGGGGCCCTGCTGTCTGCTCCCTGCCCTGGCCTTGCTGTTTAGAGCAGAATGGGAGGGTTAGGGTTCGCATTACTTAGGAATCCGGTGCAGTGGGCATGCCTGTTTTCCAGCACCCAGGAGGCTGAGGCATGAGGATTGCAAGTCTCAGGCCAGCCTGGGCTACACTGTCTCAAAAAAAGCAAGAGAACACATAGGTAGACTAGGCTCCCGTACTACGAGAGGAGGTGCAGGGTGCTGTAGACAAGGCTTCCTGAGCAGGAGAGCTTGGTGAGGCTGGGCCCTGCTGAGGCTGGGGGCTGGGCAGTGCTGGCTGCAGGGAGGGGACGGTGGGGCTGAGCCTGAACACGGCCCCTCGCCCTGCAGCTCATCTACATGCACTGGATGAACACGATGGTGAACTACTGCGGCCCCTTTGAGTATGAGGTTGGCTACTGCGAGCGGCTCAAGAGCTTCCTGGAGACCAACCTGGAGTGGATGCAGCAGCAGATGGAGCTGCACCCAGACTGCCCCTACTGGCACCAGGTGGACCCACCCGCCCTCCCCGCCAGCGCAACCTCCCCATCCCCGCCGGCCTCACCAGCCCTCTGCCTTGCTCCTGTCAAGAAGAACTGGAAACACAGCTGCTCCTGAGAACTCTGTGTACTGTGTGCTACGGAGCCTGAGCGGCAGGGCGGCTGCGGTGCCTGTGGGGATCTGTCTGCAGCACCGGGAAAGTTCTGGCTTAGGGAACTGTGTTTGCCTTTCCTGGGGGAGCCGCGGCTAACAGAGTCTGGGTCAGATGCTTTGCTCTCAGACTGTGGGCTTGGTCATGAGTCAACAAGTCGGTTAATTTATAGATCCCTTAAAACCTCAAGGGGTTAACAGCGAATTACCCAGGACAGTTTATTGCTGTGGGTGCCAGGCTGTACATCCAGCACCTTAGGCTACGTTTGTGCCATTTCCTTTGCTTGGGACAGTTTCCACTGTCCGTGCTGCTGCTTATGCCCTCCCCAGGGCAGGCTGTCTACCCGCTCACCCACATTTCCATCCACCACCCCTTCATCCACCTGCCTGTGAAGGATGTGGTGACAGACTCAGGGTCCAGGGTGGTGAGGCACAGTGGTGACCGTGGGGAGCAGTTGGCTGCAGGAGGCAGGCACCCAGAGCAGCCTTGTGCCAGCGCCTGGCCCCAGAACAGGCTGCTGTCGGCCGGGGCCTGGGTGGGCTTTGAGGCTTCCAGATGGAGGTGATTTCTGAACCGGGCTCTTTAGCGGAGGTGACTAAAAGCAGGGAGGTGCCTGGCATGCAGGACTCAAGGCTGGCAGAAGCCCGGAGGGTGTGCTGGGCCTGCCCGACTCGGCCTGATGCCTGGGCCATGCCCTGGGTTCAGGGGACATCGTGACTCTCCCTCTGCCCCTCCCCTAGGTGCGGCTGACCCTCCTGCAGCTGAAGGGCCTGGAGGATAGCTACGAGGGCCACTTGAGCTTCCCCACTGGGAGGTTCTCCATCAAGCCTCTGGGGTTCCTGTAAGTGCCACCTGCTCACCGCCCTGCCCCTTCCTGCCCTGTGGCTGGTGGCCCAGCTTTGAAAGGGGTGCAAAGCAGCAGACCTAGTGACCTGCTGTGCCCGGCCTCCCCAGACTGCTGCAGATCTCAGGTGACCTGGAGGACCTAGAGCTGGCCCTGAACAAGAGTAAGACCAGGGCAACCCTGGGCTCCGGCTCCTGCTCCGCCCTCCTCAAGTTGCTGCCCGGCCAGCGGGACCTGCTGGTGGCCCACAACACGTGGAACGCCTACCAGTACATGCTGCGCGTCCTCAAGAAGTACCAGCTGCAGTTCCGGGTGGGCCCCCGAGGTGGGTGGACGCGGTGCACCCGCCCGTGTGAGCAGCCCGGTCCCCTCCTTTGGCAATGGGTATCACGTGAGAGCCATTCCAACACGTCATCGTTTTGGGGGGTGCTAGAGATTGAAGCAGGGCCTGGTGCACACTAGATCCATGCTCTGCTGCTGAGCTATACCCCCAGGGCTTTTAGTGCTTTCTTTGAGACATGGTCTCTCTCCTGGCTTCAAAACTGGGACCCCCTGCCTCAGCCTCCCAAGTCACAGGCTGTGCTGAGGTCACAGGCTGTGCTGCTATGCTGAGCTCCTCTTGCTTTCGCTTTATGTGTTTCCGTTTTTATAAGTTGTATCAGTTAGCCATTGCTGCATAATCAGGCAGCCCAAATTTAAAGCAGCCCCATCTAGCTCTTGCTCCTGTGGCTGGGGTCAGCTGGCAGTTTGTTCTTCTGGGCCAGATGTGGCTGAGTAGGGCTGGGCTCACCAGGGATCCTGTTGTGCCCTGGGGGAGCTGCTGATCGGGTGATGTCATTCCCATGTCTGTGGTTGACCCTCAGCTCGGGGCAGAAACCCAGCAGGTGAGCCCAGGCTGGTTCATGTGACATCTGACAGGGAGGGGAAGGCCTGCTGGGGCCTGGATGAAACTGCACCTTCTGATGCCCAGAGCAAGGGGGAAGGGTAGATGCCACCATCCTGCTGCAGGTTCTCTGAGTCTCAGTCACACTGCGGATGGTGCGGATGCTGGCGCAGGAAGGTGCTCGCCATTTTGCCAATAACTGGCTTTGTAAGGAATGCTGCATGGACACTTTCCGCCTGTCCTGGTGACAAGTGGAAGCTCAGGCTCAAGCCCCCCCCCCCCCACTGGTCTCCCTTGGGCCCCAGCCCCCGAAACATTGTTGCCAAACATTTGCAGTGTCTCTTTCCTGGCCATAGTTTAAGTTCTTGAGGCAGGGTCTTGGCATACAGTCCAGACTGGCCTTGAACTCAAGGTGAACCTCCTGCCTCAGCCCCCGAATTAGCACTTGGTGGTGGCGGAGGCGGCAGGGCGTGGCGAAGTCTCCGCCCCTCCTGGAGGACATTTTGGCAGTGCCACTCTAAAGAGGGACCTGGCTGGCAGCAAAGTTCACAATGCGTCGCTCCCGTGACCCAGCTTCTCTGGCTCGGGCCGCGACTGAGAAACATCCCGGCTTCTGCCTGGGCGAGCATGAAGATCATCACAGCGAAGGTGCTTTATAGACGACCCTATGGCCGTGAATTCTGGGGCAGCACCTGAGCAGGGCAGCCACTGCGCAGGTCAGCTGGGGCCCAGGTGCTCAGCTCTGAGCTGCTGCCCCTACGCTAGCCGCAGCCTGCGCCCTAGCCTGAGGTCTCTACCTGAGGTCCAGCAGTGTGGGACGCTCAGCAGGATGGTGAGGGACAGGACAGCACTGCAGTCGCTTGGCTTGTGCCCTGGTGTCTGGCTGCCTCCTCCACAGGTGCCTGGCGTCTGTCCTCTTCTGTGTGCAGCTGCGGCCCGGGCCTGCTTGCTGGGTGTTACGTGTGCGTGCGATGTCTGTAGTGTGTTGTGGGTGCTAGAGGTTGAAGCCCATGTGCTGATGAGGTCTTCAGCCACAGAGCTGCACCCTCAGCCCCTTACGTTTTACTTATAAATACATTACTTTTGGTGGTGCACAGCTGTAATCTCAGCTGTCTGAGAGGCTGAGGCAGGACAATCACAAGTTCAAGCCCAGCCTGAGCAACTTGGCAACTTAGAGAGATCCTGTCTCAAAAAATAAAAGGGCTGGTCAAGTGGCTCAACACGAGGGCCCTGGGTTCAAGTCTTGGTAGCACAAAGGAAAAAGAGTCCCTTTGATTTTGGTTGTAACCGGCTTCAGTATGAGTGCTGTGGGGAATGGGGATGGTGGGGGGCGCCCCGGCCCCCAGGCTTCTCCTCACCAAGGGGAAAGTGTGGCCAGCTTGGTTTGGCTCCATCTGGAGTTTTTGGCTGTCTTGTATGTATGTATCTTTCACCGTCCTCTAAGGTGCTAGGGTGAAATTTAGGGCCTGCGCGCTGGACTACATCCTCAGCCCTTTTCTGTGTTTTCTGTCTCACGAAGTTGCCCAGGCGGGGCTTGAGCTAGCAGCCGCATGCCTCGGCCTCCCAGAGGGCTGGGCCTGAAGGGTGCACTGTCACACCGAATGTACACGGTGTTTTATAAGTGGCTCCCAGGTTTTAGAAGAGCCGTGGCTTTGCAGATATCTGGGGCCACCGCCCCTGCGCCATGTCCTGCAGGCAGCTTTGTGATGGGAGAGAAACCAGTGTGGACACATCGTTAACTAACTCTGCTGTTCACACTGGTGGTCACCATGTTTGTGCGGTTTTATGTCTTTGTTCTGTTCGTTTTATTTTGCAGTGCTGGGGCTGGAACCCAGGGCTCACCCCTGTAGGCCGGTGCACTACTCAGAGCCACAGCCCGAGGGCCCCGTCGGCTAATGGAGAAGGAGCCCAGTGTGGGCCCTCCCCACCTCAAGCCCCAAGTCCCGCTGGGCAGGGTGCAGGGGTCCCCCGACCTCCCTGACCGCACCGCCGCTGTCCCCACAGAGGACTTCCCCCTGGCTCCGGGGAACAAGGTGGTCTTCTCATCCTACCCGGGCACCATCCTCTCCGGTGACGACTTCTACATCCTGGGTAGCGGGCTGGTGAGTCACCCCCGCCTGGGCTCTGGGAGACTTGGGAGGTTACCTGGCCAGCAGGGACCTGTCCTAGATGCCATGTAGGAGCTGGGGAGAATAAGGGGGTGCAGCCCCAACACAACCCCCCACCCTGGGGTCTGGGCCCCTTCAGGGCCTCCAATCTTCATCTGGCCCAGGCCCTCTAAGTTGTAACTTTGTCCTGGGGTACCAGGGGCCTTGGCGACCTCAGGAAACATCCTTGACTATGGCAACTTTGTTTAATTTGTTTATATATTTGTTAAGTCAGAAACTTGCTAAGTAATTTAGGCTGGCCTTGACCTCACTGTGCTCAAAGCTGGTCTCAAACTCCTGGTGACCCTCTTACCTCCGGCAGCCGAGTGCTGGGATGCAGGCAGGCACCACCATGGCCGCTTGTTTTGTTTCTCCGTGCTAAGGGCAGGCCATCCCCCGTGCCTGGCCGCCCAGAGCCTGGTCCTTCCTCCGCAGCCCCTCCATGAGGTGGGAGGCAAGGATTCTGCAGAGTGGCTGTTTTCCCGTTGTTCCGCTGTTTGCCCTGGCTGCTGTCCAGACTCGCTTAGAAATCAGCTCCTGGCACTCTCGCCACCCCCGAGGCAAGCAGCCTTCGCCAGGGCAGCACTGCCCGGAGGCAGAGCCCCGCTCTCTGCAGCAACCTCCCAGGACGGGAGGGGCTCTTCCTCAGCCTGTCCTTGCTGATTACTTTTGTCTCGGTGTGGGAAGAGGCCTGAGAGGACCAGGCGGGGGTGAGGGGCCCCTTGGCAGAGCCCAGAGGCGTGACAGGGCCGCTTCCATGCAGTCCCCGGAGGGGCTGGCCAGGGCTTCCTCGCAGCGGAGTCTTCCATGGTTTTTGTGCGGCTGTGGGCCCCTTCTCAGGTATAGGGTTTTTCCCAGTGCTAGGGGGTGGAACTCCTGGCCTTCGCGGTCCGCTGCATCCCCAGTCCTTGATCAATTTGTGAATACCGCTGTCTTTAGCTGCGTTCACTTTTGGCTTCTTTGTTCTGTGGCACTGGCAGTTGGACCCGGAATGTTCACAGGGAGCTACATCCCAGCCCTGATTTTTATTCTACTTTGTGTCATCAGGCCAGTGGCCTGCGGGGGTGGTCAGTAGCCCTGGGGGACATGCTGGCTTTTCTGGAGGCTGGAGACCCGTGGTGCAGGGTGAATTCACATGCAGCCTGGCCCCCACCTCCCTACTCCATGCCAGAGAGGGATCAAGGTCAGCAGAGTCTTGATCTTGCCTGGTGGAGGGGGCCCCCAGGAGAGCAGGCTGGACTCCCTCAGGGGCTGGTCCCCAGGGAGGAGCTGGGTGCACAGCCCTGAGTCTCTCCAGGAGCCGGGATCAGGAAGGGAGTTAGTTTTTATTTTTGTTTTTGAGACAGAGTCTCCCTTATAGTCCTGGCTGGCCCTGGGCTCATCGCACTCCTCCTGCCTCAGCTTGCTGAGTCCTGGGATTACAGGGTTGCACCACATCCAGTTTAGGACATGAGGTTTTAGGAAAGATGTGTGAAGCACCCACTTGAGGGCCCTTGAGGGCAGTGTGCTTGGGAGGTGCAGCGCTGCCCTCGCCCCCAGGTCACCCTGGAGACCACCATCGGCAACAGGAACCCGGCGCTGTGGAAGTACGTGCAGCCCGAGGGCTGCGTGCTCGAGTGGCTGCGCAACACCGTGGCCAACCGCCTGGCGGTGGACGGGGCCAGCTGGGCGGATGTCTTCAAGAGGCTTAACAGCGGCACGTGAGTGGGCCTTGGCCCTGCGGCCTCCTCCTTTAGACTTGGGGCCCGGGGAGCCCGACGGCGCCAGGGTCGTATGCCCCGTGTCCTCCGCAGAGCCCTGTTCTTGCTCTGTGCGTGGGAAACTGAGGCTCAGGGCGGAGGCTTTTGCTCCTACCCCATGCAGGCTCCTACCCTGAGGTGGGGCAGGAGAGGCACCTGGTGCTTGAGGCTGTGGGGACAGTGGGAGGGGCACACCGAGGAGGCTATGGGTGAGAGGTGGGCCTGGCACAGACTCGCTGGAGCTGGGCATTGGGCAGTAGAGCTGACTTTTATGCTGACCAGCCTGAGAGAACCATAGAGTGCACTAGGACAGACAGACAGCCTGGAGACAGAGGGCTTGGTCAGGCTGCCGTGTCAGCATGAGGGCTGCCTGGCCACACACCTGGCCACATGCCAGGGCAGGCACAGTGGGCGGAGAGGCCGGGGCAGGGCCCGGGTACCATTCAGTCCCCACCTTGGCCATGGCAGGTACAATAACCAGTGGATGGTCGTGGACTACAAGGCATTTACCCCCGGGAGGACCGGCCCCGGCAGCAAGGTGCTCACCGTCCTGGAACAGATCCCGTGAGTCCCTGGGAGCAGGGGCTGGGGCAGAGGGGCTGGCCGGCCAGGAAGGGTGCCGGGAGGTGGGCTGCAGAGGGGCTGGGGCTCAGAGCTGGGGTGCCCTCCCACCTGAGCGCTGTGCCCATCTCCTACCTGGCAGGGGCATGGTGGTGGTGGCAGACAGGACGGAGGAGCTCTACAAGAAGACCTACTGGGCCAGCTACAACATCCCGTACGTGCCTGACGCTGCCGCCGCACACCTGGCCACGTAGGAAAGCATGTAGACGGTGGCTTAGGCCAGCCTCACGTGACCTCACAGTCCTGGCACCCAGCAGACCATGGCATGGGATGGCCGAGCCCTGGCCCTAAGCCATGGTGCATGTCTGGAGGCCGAAACTGAGAGGGGCAGCTCTCCTAAGGTCCCCAGCTGGGCCCCGGCAAAGCCAGGGTGCAAACCCTGGAGCCCCACTCAGCTGCCCCCAAGTCACCCCCAGCACAATGAAAGGCATCGTTGTCGCCAGCCCGACCATCGAAGCTGCTGCCCCGACGGACTTGACCAGAGCCAGGCCCAGGTGAGCTGAGTTGGGGGACTACCTTGTCTTCACAGGTCTTTCGAGTCTGTGTTCAATGCCAGTGGACTGCAGGCCCTGGTGGCCCAGTACGGGGACTGGTTTTCCTACAGCAAGAGCCCCCGCGCCCAGATCTTCCTGCGGAACCATTCCCTGGTGCACAACGTGGACTCCATGGTGCGGCTGATGAGGTGGGGGCCGAGGCTCCCTTCCCCCTTCTCTCTCCCTCTCCCCCCCTCCCGTCCGCCTCACCCCTCCCCCTCCCACCCGGACAGCGCTGCTTGCAGGAGCAGAGGGGGGGCCGTGGAGGAAGGCCAGGGTCAAGGCCGCACTGTCAGGGTCACAGTGCTGCACCACCACGAGGGGTTGGCCCTCCCCAGGCCCCTTCCCCGGTGACTGTCCTTCCCTCCTCCAGGTACAACGACTACCTCCACGACCCCCTGTCCCGGTGTGAAGCCTGCAGCCCGAAGCCCAACGGGGAAAACGCCATTTCTGCCCGCTCTGACCTCAACCCAGCCAACGGCTCCTACCCCTTCCCGGCACTGCGCCAGCGCTCGCACGGGGGTATCGACGTGAAGGTGCCGCCCCTACCTGGGAGCAGGGGCCCGCTGGGGGTCGGGGAAAGCATGGGGTTCCGAGGTCAAGTACGGTGCCAGCAGGGTCCCCCTTCAGCCACCTGCTCTCCTGCCCAACAGGTGACCAGCATGTCAATGGCCAAGACGCTGAGCCTGCAGGCCGTCAGCGGCCCCACGTGGGACCAGGTGCCCGCATTCCAGTGGAGCACCTCACCCTTCCGGGACATGCTGCACATGGGCCACCCTGACCTCTGGAAGTTCGCCCCTGTGGAGGTGTCGTGGGGCTGAGGTGCCCCCTCGCCTTGCTGCCGCTGTGGAGCCCGGGCAGGGCCTCCCTCCCCTGCCCGCCCTCGCGGAGCCTCCGTCCGCCCTCTGGGAGCCAGGGCAGGGAGAGGCCGACTCAGCATCACTCCTGAAGAGCGCAGGCGCCAGCCCTGTCTCCCGATCTGCACTGTCTCTGCCGTGGTCCCCCTGCTCTGCTCGTCCCCAGGGCACTGTGGGCGGGGCCCCACTGCCCCCCAGGAAGTGGGCCACGCCCCTCCCTGGCAGCTTCCTTGAAGACAGAAACTTGAAAACCAAAACCAAAGTTTCTGGCCACTCGTGGTTGGAGGGTCCTGAGTGCCCGTCCTGAGTGCCCGTCCTGAGTGCCCTGCAGGGCCAGCGGGAGTGTCACCCTGCGCTCCTGCCTCACGTCCCCCCCCCAGCCTGGCCTGCCCCTGGTCTCTGGGCAGCGCCCACAGCCCCTGCTGTAGGAGCCAAACCACAGGCTGTGCCACATTAAACACGGGAGGCTGTGACCCTGAGTGCTTCTTGGGGAGGTGGGGTGGCTGGGGTGGCACCGCTCCTCGCTCGCATGGGCTCTTGCCGTCTGCCCGGCGGCCTGTCCGTCCTGCTGTCCGTCAGTCTGTACTCATGGACCACTGTCCATCTGCAGTCACCCCTTCCATCCATCTCCCCATTTATTTTCCATCCATCCATCTTTCCATGCATCTACACCACCCATCCATCTGTCCACTCATCCGTCTTTCTGTCCATCCATCCACACCACCCCGCACTCCATCCCCTTCCCTGTTGTTTCCTACTCGTCCGTCTGCCCATCCGTATCCACTGTCCGTCCGCTCATCCATGCACACCTCTGCCTGTGCGTCCACTCCCCCATGCATCCCAGTGCTCACTGAGCACCCCCTGTGCTCTTGGTCCTAGTTGAGGGCCTGTTGACACCCAGACCTTCCTCCTGCCCACCACTGGGTACAGACTGACAGAGTCCCTCCCTGCCTGCCCCACACACAGCCCTCCTTGAGGGCCAGAATCCTCGTGCTCTGTGCTTGGAGCAGAGTGCCCGGCCCAGGAGCCTGGCCTGGCTTCCCCTGTGCTCCCCACCTCTTCCTAGCTGTGGACGCAACCCCTCCGAGTATCTGTGAATTGGGGTGAGGGTGTGAGACCAGCCCCTGGGTGTGGGCCAAGGGCTCCATGCAGTGATGCCTCACACGGCCCTCGGGGGGCCTCAGGACCAGCCTTCACTCACAGGCACATCCCTGAGTACCAGCTGGCCGAAGAGAGGCTCGAAGTGAAGCTCAGACTTACACCAGGAGCTGGTGCCCGGGTCGGTACACACGAGGTGTGCAAGGCGCTGGTGAGCGCCCCTTCCACAGAGAAAAACCAAGTTAGAGGCCAGGGTTTTGTTACTTCTCACTGTGTTTGTGAGATGTGATCGAGAACGTCTGTGACTGTTTTCCACAGATGTATGCTACCATGCCCCGCAATATTACAAATTTTTTAAACTGGGGCCTGGGGATTTAGCTCAGCGGCATAAGCACCTGCCTTGCAAGCAGGCGGTTGTGAGTTCGATCCCCAGTACCGATAAAAAAAAACAAAAATTTTTTACAAACTTAGTACATATTTGCTGCACATTAATTACATTGTGGGATATTAACACAGAGTTTTAGACACTTCGGCTGGCTCCACCTCACAAATTGGGAGAGAAGACTTCTCTCAGCCCCACACTCTGTGTGTGTGTGTGTGTGTGTGTGTGTGTGTGTGTGTGTGTACATGTGTGTTTGCAGTACGATCCATACACCCAGGGCCTTGCACTTGCCAGGGAAGCAGTCTGCTGCTGAACCAGATGGCCAGCCCCCTTTTTTGTTTTGAGATGGGATCTTAGTTACCAAGCTGGGCTTAAACATGCCACCCTCTTGCCTCAGCCTCCCTAAGTCGCTGGGAATAAGGGCACATACCGCCAAACCAGTTTTGCAGGTTCTATACGTGTATTTCATTGGGAGAGGGAGGTCCATGTTTGAAGCAGGTTTGTGTGACAGTTCACCCCGCTTCCTATCACACGGACGGGAGCCACTCGGTGCACACATTCCTTGGATGGGGGCTCGAAGTGCTGCTCCCCCATACTCTAGGGAGGGCTTTGAGTCCGAGTGAGGCGGCCTTGTCTCCCTCCCCTGCCCCAAGCTGGCTGTCTCCAGTGCAGTCGACCTGTGTCTTACCCTGGCCCCCTGCCTCCTCCAACCACCAGCCCCAGCCTCACAGCTCGCCCTTCCTGGGTCTCTAGCACTGCATGTGGGACGTGGACTCCTGCTGAGGGCCGGTGCCAGCCACAGTGAGAGCAGAGGGCGTGGAGGAAGACAAATGGCAAAGAAAATTCTCCAAGGATCTTGTTTCATAAATAGGTATTTTCTCTCTCAGTGAAAAAGTGCACACTAGAAAAACGAGTTAGGATGAAGCCGGGCTTCCAGAGGAATGGATGAGGTGGATGAGGCAGATCCTCAACGTCGGGTGCGGGAAGCCTGCGATGGGGTCACCTCGCTTGGGGGACCCCTGTGCCACCCTGCTCTGGGGAACCTGGTGTGTTGTGACCGAGGACGCTCACAGAGTGCTCATGCGGCCCCCAAGATGTCCAGTTCACAGTCTCGCTGGGGACAAGGGGTCGCCAAAGACAGGTGCACCCCAGACCCCAAGTCCTGTTCAGGGTGCGGGCACCGGGCCGGGTCCTCCCTTGGGCAGCTGTTCATGCCTAGCTGTTCCTTGAGCGCCTGCAGCTGGGCCAGGCTGATGTTACTGCCCCCGCAGACGATGACCACGAGGGAGGACAGCGGGGCCTGCAGCTTGCCCTCGGCCTGTAGCCTCCTGACCACGTGGCTGTAGACCGCGGCCAGCGCAGCCCCGCATGCGGGTTCCACCAGGATCCTTTCGTGGTCTGCAAGGAAGGAGGGGGGGGACGGGGGTGGGGATCGTCAGGCCATGGGCGGGGCTGGAGGTCACGAGCCAATCAACTCGAGCATAGCCAAGAGAACTGTCAGGCCATTGGCAGAACGTGGGTGCCATGAACCAATCAGTTCCGAGCTCTTGCGGTAGGCTGAATTCCTGGACTAAAGCGCCCTTCTTGATCCCTCAAGCACAGGCCAGGCGCAAAGCTAAGAAGCAGAAAGATGGCTGTGATAGCCTGGGCCGCGCAAAGGCCTTGACAGCGCAGAACTGATTAGCCCCGGAGGCTGCCGGAGCAGTGGAAGCACAGGGGAGTGAGAGTACTACCCGCCTCTTGGTGGGAGGAGATTTGAACCCAGGGCTGTTGCACTGAGCTACGTCTCCAGCCACCGCTCCCCTCCCCCCACACCTTTTTTGGTACCGGGGATTGGACTCATAGCCTCATGCCAGACAGGCGCGTATGCCACTGAGCTAAATCCCCGCCCTCCCCGCTCTTTTGAGACAAGATCTCACTGTACATCAGCTGGCCTTGGACTCACTGCAGTGCCCAGGTTGTCCTTGAAATTGCAGTGATCCTCCTGCTTCAGCCTCCTGAGTGCTGGGGTTACAGGTGTGTGCCCCCACACCAGGCTTCCTTTCTCTCTCTCCTTTGCTATCCCTTTCTTAGGCTGAACTCAGAAACAGTTTAGTTTCAATAGCACCTCCAAATCTAACTCCATAGACTACCCTTTCCTTTCTTACCCTGGCCACCAGGAAGCTCAGAATCAACATTTTAAACATTCAGTTATTGCTGTCAGCTCTAGCATTTCTATTTTCACCATGGTAGCACTGTCCCCCATTAATGGGATGTCCTAGGCAGGATGTATCAGAATGGAAAACTTGGGGCAATAGGATTCCATGGCACTTGGGGAGCAGCCCTCAGTCCCCAGAGCAGTGGACTTGGGCTTGGGGACTCAGAACATACCTACAAACTTCTCAATGGCAGCCACAGCCTCCTGGTCGGTGATGACCTCAGAGAAGATGGGGTATTTTTGAAAGAGCTTCAGGGCCTGCTCACTCACCCTGTTCACACCCAGGGCCTTTGCCACACTGGTGGGGGAGGGGAGAGAAGAGAGATGGATGGAAATGTGCAGAGGCCCATGGAGGGGGGATGGGGAGGGGGATGGAGAGGGGGATAGAGAGGAGGGTGGAGAGGGGGATGGAGAGGGGGATGGAGAGGAGGGTGGAGAGGGGAATGGAGAGGGGGATGGAGAGGAGGGTGGAGAGGGGGATGGAGAGGGGGATGGAGAGGGGGATGGAGAGGAGGGTGGAGAGGGGAATGGAGAGGGGGATGGAGAGGAGGGTGGAGAGGAGGGTGGAGAGGGGGATGGAGAGGAGGGTGGAGAGGGGGATGGAGAGGGCCATGGAGAGGAGGGTGGAGAGGGGGATGGAGAGGGGGATGGAGAGGAGGGTGGAGAGGGGGATGGAGAGGGGGGTGGAGAGGGGGATGGAGAGGGCCATGGAGAGGAGGGTGGAGAGGGGGATGGAGAGGGGGATGGAGAGGAGGGTGGAGAGGGGGATGGAGAGGGGGGTGGAGAGGGGGATGGAGAGGAGGGTGGAGAGGGGGATGGAGAGGAGGGTGGAGAGGGGGATGGAGAGGGGGGTGGAGAGGGGGATGGAGAGGAGGGTGGAGAGGGGGATGGAGAGGGGGGTGGAGAGGGGGATGGAGAGGAGGGTGGAGAGGAGGGTGGACAGGGGGATGGAGAGAGGGATGGAGAGGGGATGGAGAGGGGGATGGAGAGGGGGATGGAGAGGGGGATGGAGAGGGGGATGGAGAGGGGGATGGAGAGGAGGGTGGAGAGGGGGATGGAGAGGGGGATGGAGAGGAGGGTGGAGAGGGGGATGGAGAGGGGGGTGGAGAGGGGGATGGAGAGGAGGGTGGACAGGGGGATGGAGAGAGGGATGGAGAGGGGGATGGAGAGGGGGATGGAGAGGGGGATGGAGAGGGGGATGGAGAGGGGGATGGAGAGGAGGGTGGAGGGGGTATGGAGAGGGGGATGGAGGGGGGATGGAGGGGGGTGAAGAGGGGGATGGAGAGGGGGATGGAGGGGGATTGGGAGGGGGATGGAGAGGGGGTGGAGGGGGGATGGAGAGGGGGTGGAGGGGGGATGGAGGGGGGGATGGAGGGGGGATGGAGAGGGGGATGGAGAGGGGCATGGAGAGGGGGATGGAGGGAGGTGAAGGGGGGATGGAGGGGGGATGGAGGGGGGTGAAGAGGGAGATGGAGAGGAGGATGGAGAGGGGGATGGAGGGGGGTGGAGAGGGGGTGGACAGGAGGGTGGACAGGGGGATGCAGGGGGGTGGAGAGGGGAATGCCAAGGTGTCTGGGCCCTCATGAGGCACTGGAGCCTCTGCAGCTGTCCGAGCCGAAGCTCTAGGCCCCTGGCCACTTGGGGTCAGGGGAGGCAGTGTTTGACCTGGGTAAAGGGCGTTGCATTGTGCTCTGTACTAACCTGGAGCAAAGGCCCCCAAGGGTCCCCTTCCCTTGCCCCCAGACCTCCCCAGGCCCCTGCTCCCTGAGTCTGCCTGCCACCTCCTTCAGAGGTCACCCAGCTCCTCACACTCAGAGGGACTTTCCAGTGGCCTCCCCGTCCTAGCTAACAGGGCCGGTGCTCCCTGAAGCCCTGGGTGCCACGCCTCCCATGGCGTGATCTCCTTCCATCTCTCCTGCTATGAATCGGCTTGGTTTCGTGAAGGGGAAGCAGGCGAAATGTAATGTACTCAAGGTGACTCACCAAGGAAATAGTAGTGCCGGGCCTCGAGCAGGGTCCTTAGCTCCAAGTCCTATTAAGGCCTGGTGGCCTCCCCAGGGTGACACTAGTCCTATGCCCAGTTCATCTCCTTAGGGAGGCCCTGCCTCACCTCAGTCCTGAGGTAGCCTGTGCCTCACAGCAGATGCTTAGTAATGGCTTCTGTCCTAACTCTGGGGGTGTGAGGTCAGGACGGCAGGTTCCAGGTGCTGGGCTCACACATCTAGATGTCCTTAGCTGGACTCGGTCTTCCCTATCTGTGGCAGGGACTGTTCTAGCCACACATGGACATGGTTGGTAGACACACTTCCCAGCATCCCTTGCAGCTAGGTGTGGTCAGTGTGACTAGGTTCTGGCCAATGAGAGGCAGGAGGAAGTACAGCCCCTGATTTAGGATGCTTTGCCTGCCATTTATGAGCACCTGTATGATGGTGCGGAAGTGACATGACTTTAGTAGAAACTGTACTTCCGAGTTTGAATTTGGACCTTTTCCCAAGCTGGTGATTTATTGTGTAATTCTCACATGCAGCTTGGACAGCAGCAGTCAGTTATTTGATCACAAAGGGAAACAACTCACACTCTATCCTGCTAAGTGAAGTTAGATGTATTCAGGTCATTCTTTACTTTATGAAAGATAGATTTATCGAAATACAACCACATTGTAAGTCAAGGAGTAGCTTTATTCTGTCTGTCCTTAAAGGTTGGAACATATTCTTCTGCTCCTTGCTCCCCTTTTCTTAACAGATGGAGTGTGGATGTTAGTTGGCACTCCAGCAGCCACTTTGGGCCATAAGGATGATGAATTAATCAAGAAACCTGGGGCCCCGACTTCAAGGAATTCCCTCTAGCCTGCCTATTTCTGGACTGATTCCCAGAAGACAGAAATGAAGTTCAGTCACATTGTGAGCTCCTGTGTGGAGTGTTAAATTCTAAGGTCTGGGACAAGCCTGGAAATAGGGAGCAAGAGCTGTTTATGTACCAGTCTCTCCCTGGCCTCAGTTTCCTTCCCTGTGAAGTGGGGTTCCTCCCCCACAGTCTTACCTGGTGATCCGGGGCAGCGTCACCAGCTCGCCTGCGGTGGTGGCGGCGTGGAAGCTGTGGGCTCCGATGGTCTCCATGGCGACGACGGGCACGTCCCCCCAGCCCACCTCCTGCAGCCCCCGGACCACGCCGCACAGCAGGCCCCCGCCGCCCACCGACAGCACGATGGCGCCCGGCTTTGCGCTCAGCGCTTCCTTGAGCTCTCTCACGACCGATGTGTGGCCTTCCCTGGAAGGCAAGGGATGGTGGCAGCTCAGGGCTGGGTTTCCCTGGGGCACCAGGCGGGCGACCTGGGCTGGGGCGGGTTTTGGGGTTTAGTGGTAGCTGTTTAGCTGGGGCGACCCTCGCTGCCTGCACACATGCGGCGGGCCAGCAGATGGCGCTCGCGGGAGCTGCCCAGACTTGGGGTCCGCGCAGCAGCCGAGGGGTGGCCCTGAGCGCCACTCACCAGATGAGGGGGTCATCGAAGGGCGGCACGTACAGCCAGCCCGGGTTGTTCTTGGCCAGGGCCTTGGCCAGCTCGAAGGCTTCGTCCAACGCCTGCGGGGTCACAGGGGGCGACAGGGGTGAGGCCCTGGGGCCCTGGGCCCAGCCAGCTGTCCTCTCCACTGCTGCCCAGGTTGGCACTTACCTCGCCCCCGACCTTGACGGTGGCACCTTCGTCCTTCAGCCGCTGGACGGTGAGGGGCGGCGTGGTGCGGGGCACCACGATGGTGGCTGGGATGCCCAGTCTCCTGGCGGTGTAGGCCGCAGCCAGGCCTGCGTTGCCCGCTGTCGGGATGGAGAGGATGGTGGGTCCGATGGGGGCTCTGGGTGGCTCTGGACTCCCCACCCCCTGGCATCTCTGGGGCTGCTGGAAATGTGTGCAACCGCTTGTCTCCGGGGAAACCAGGCCTGGAGAACCGAAGGGCCAGCCCTGGACACAGCTGGGGACAGGAGGGAAGCAGCCACTCACCCGAGGAGCAGACAAAATGCTTGCAGCCCCGCTCGGCCCACTGTGGAGAGAGAGTGGGTCAGGCCTGCCTCCCGCCCCACCCGGCCCCTCCCATGTCTTCCACCCACCCACCTGCCCTCACCAGGAGCTGGCTCGCCTCAGATGTGTCCTCCTCCCCGAGACACAGCTTGGGCAGGTGACCTGGCCTTGGGGTCACCCGGTGGGGACCTCATGGATCAGCACCTCCAGCCAAATACCCTGATTTGGGTATTTGGTTCATGTAGAGTCACAGGACCTCCCTGGTGCTCCTTAGTGACAGCACCAGCCCCGCCCTGTGGAAGGAGGAGCCCTGCCACCCCCGCCAAGGGCACCGGGACCCTGTCCTGTACCGTCTTGCAGAAGTGCCCGATGCCCCGGATCTTGAAGGAGCCAGAGGGCTGGGCGTTGTCCATCTTGAGGTAGACAGTGGTGCCAGCCTCTTTGGACAAGGCCATGCTCTCTCGGAGGGGGGTCCTCAGGTGCAGGGGCTCCCCAGATGCCATGGCTGGGAGGAGGAAGCCCAGAGGCTCAGGACAAGGCCCAGGTACCATGGACAGGTCCCCTGGGACCAGCGCCATCCTCCCGTCACTCCCCAGGAGATGAGGGAAGGGTCCTTGCCCTCCTGAGCAGGGCCACACCTGCTCGCCTGTGACACTGACGGCCAGTGTATGCTCAGCCCCACTCCTGCACCGGAAATGCCCCTGGCCCGATGGGTGGGTGGGGTTAGAGTGGTGGCTGGCTCCCATAAGCTGCGGGGTGGATACAGGTGTCATCTACTTACGCAAAGCGTGAAAGAATTCCTGGAGAGTGCTTCAAGTGCTGCAGAGTGCACACAGGACCTTTGCACAGAGCTACACCCCTAGCCCTTTCAAATTTTTGTTTTGAGACAGGGTCTTGTCAAGTTGCCCAGGCTGGGCTTTATCTTGTGATCCTCCTGCCTCAGCCTCCCAAGTGCTGGGGTTACAGGAGTGTCCCACAGAGTACCTATTGTTATATGAGGGGCACAGCCACCCTTAGTGGGCAGGTTCTGCTGTCGCCCCCATGTTACAAATGAGGAAATGGAGGCACAGCGCACGGCCCCAGGGCGCAGGTGCCCTGCCTTCCTGACCCGCTCTGTCCCTCTTCCTCCCTCTGAGAGGCGGCTCCTGTCCGCAGGCAATGCGGCTCCGGGGTGAGGTTGAGAAAGGACCACTTACCCGCCGCGGGTGAACAGCAGGGGCAGCTGGACGAGGGAGGGACGCGGGCGCTGTTCTGGGCGCTGCCCGGCTGCGCTCACGGCTTTATTCCCCGGGTGCCTCGGGGCAGCCAATGGGGCTCCGGGGCCGGCCCCGCCCCGTCCACCCTGGGGCTCGCCCACCCCTGCGCGGCGCGGCCCCTGCTCCGTCCGCATTTAGGTTGCAGAGGGCGCAGCGCCGCCTTCCGAGGACCTCAGGAGGCTGTGGAAGGGGCGCAGGTGACGATGGCCCTGCGGACACGGGCACGGGCCTGGGGGGCCGAGGGGCCCGAAGAGCAGTCCTAAAGTAACGACTGCAGCCTGCCCGCACGGGTGACTGCCGCTGAGTTTTCAGCTGGCTGCCTGTTGTCACTATGGATTTCCAGAAGGGGAAACTGAGGCACGAGGCTGTCCGTGCCCCAGGTCATGGGGCCTATGAGAGGCAGGCGGTGGCAGCGCTCAGCGCCCTTCTTGCCCTCCTGGCTCTGGGTGTAAAGGACCAGTGGGGTCACGGCTCACACCCTGGTGGGGCCCGTTAACCAGGTGGTGGCAGCCCCTACCCGACCTGGCCTGTCCCTGCATCCCTGTCTGTCTGTCCATGTGCATGCACACGCACCGCCCGGTTGGTCTCCCTCACAAAGCCCTCTTGTCAGCTGCAGCCAGCAATGGCGATGTAACCCTCGGTGGGCAGGGCACCCACGGCTCCCATGCGCCACCGTGGGGTGTGCGGCGGGGACACGGGTGCCAAAGCTGGGGTGATGCAGGCACCTTGGAGCTCACAGGTAGCGCTCCTGCCTCAGGTGGGCCTGGGTGTGCGCGGCTGGTGCCCAACTGCCGCACCCTGGTGGCATCAGCTGTCCCTGACTCGGCTTTGGTGCTGTCTCCACCAGCGGCCGTCCTGCAGTCAGGGCGGGGGTGACAGGGGTCCCAGGACATGAAGTGATGTTCCCGGCAGGGCCGTGATCACGTGTGTGGCTGCGACAGGGAACTTTCTTCAGATCTCTCTCTGGTTCCAAAAATGTGGAAAACATCGAAGCATGAAAACTAGATCATAACCAGGGGCGCTGGCACATGCCTGCAGTCCCAGCAAGTTGGGAGGCTGAGGCAGGAGGATCACTTGAGCCCAGGAGTTCAAGGCCAGCCTGGGCAACATAGTGCAACTCCTAAACTAAACTAAAAAGAGGAGAAAAGACAAAATATGTGTTGCTGTCTTTGTCATTCTGTCTACACGAGTCTTTCTGAAAGGATACATTGCTTGGGATATGACTGACATGTCACCCAATCCACCCATGTCAGTTTTACAGCGTTCTGTGCCTCCCAGAGAAACGCTGTACGGATGAGCGATTGCTGCCGTCCTCCTCCTCCCCTCTTGGGGGGCCACCGAGCTCATCCATGGCTTTGTCTGCTCTTTTCCCATCCCGCATGCGTGGAATCACACATCGTGGGGTTTTGGTGTTTTTCTTTTTTTTTTTGAGACAGGGTCTTGCTATGCAGTTCAGGCTGGTCTTGAACTCACTGTGAGGCTCAGGTTGGCTTTAAACTCTCGGCATCCTCCTGCCTCAGCCTCCCACCTGCTGGGACCACAGGATGCAGGGCCTGGCTGGGGAGCCTCCAGCCGTTACATCACCCCTTCCTGGGAAGCGCCCATGCCGGGTGTCCCTGGTGGCGGGATCAGCTCGTCCTGTGTCCTGGGCAGGAAGCCAACGCTTGTTTTCTGTTTACCCTGCAGCTGCCAGGGCCTGAGTCAGCACTGGCACTGGCCCTAAATTAGGGCTGGAGGGTAGGAGCTGCCAAACTTTTTGTTTGGCAGTGCAGGGGGTGGGGAATCTGTTTTGAGGCAGGGCTTTGCTGTGTAGCACAGGAGGCCTTAAACTCAGGGCTATCCTCCTGCCTCAGCCTCCCAAGTTCTGGGATGGCAGGTGTGTGTGCCACTACCCCCAGCTTTCCTGCTCCCTCTTTGTAAAACTGTTCAGCCTGCTTTCATTTTCTTCCAGGACTTGTCACACAGTGGTCCCTACCCTCCCTTAGGGGGTGGCCCATGATCCCCCCTGCCGACCCTGAGCTGGAGATTTTGCCTGTTCCGTTTCACGGCTAAATCCCCCCCACTGGCCCAGAGAGGGCCAGGTATACAGTAGGTGACTGATGAAGCCCCGCTCAGCCGGGCTGATCCCTGCTCCCCGTCTCTATGAATGCACCCCTACACAGAAGCTCCTACACGGCCTGCAGACCCCAGCCCTCAGCGAAGTCCAGCAGTGACGTTGGAAGCCCTGCTCAAGGGTGATGCAGGGAGATACTAACGCCTCCCTGGCACTATCTTTGCTACTTCTATTGATATGACCAGGACTTGGGTTTTATCCAGAAAGCCATTTTTTTTCTTTTTTGGAGTGCTACACTCTATGCAACCTGCCCCCTAGTGGTTATGTCATTGTTGTCTTCGAAAAGGAGCCCCGGGCAGTCAGGGTGTCCCTTGTGCTGGACCTCCTACGTGTCACTCCTGTGACCCTCACTGTGGTGTCGGCACCTGGGCCGTCACCTGGCTCATTTGCCGTCACCTAGCTCCGGGCCACTGATCGATTTAGTAAACATCTCACTAAGTCCTCTCTGGGCGATTGGATGGCCACCGCTCCCAGCTCTGCGTCATCTCTGAAAGTGACAAACAGCCTGGTATCTAAACATGGCCACCGTGGCCAAGGTCGGGACCCCTGCACTCCCCCTTGGGGGTGTCACCACCATCAGCAACATGCGACAGGTGGAGGTGGCTCGGACAAATGTTCTGGGAGCACCTTTGTCAAGGCTCACTGAGAAATGGAGATTTTTGTTTGTTTGTTTGGAGACAAGATCTTGCTGCGCAGCCCAGGCTGGCCTCAGGCTCACAACCACCTGCCTCAGCCTCCGGGGCACGGGGATTGCAGGTGTGTGCCACCATGCCAGGCTGGGGCTGTTAGTGAAGACCCTTTTGACAGGAGCATGGTGACTGTCCAAACACTGGCCCAGTCGCTGGGCCCCCTGAGCACGGCGCCCTGTCCCTCCCAGGTAGGGTGGCAGGGCTCTGTCCCAGGGTCTCGCCCTCCAGGCAGCTGGTCCGGGTGCCGTGGGAGGTGTGGCTCCAGAAGGCAGCGTTGCTTACTGGGCCTGGGCATCCCTGGACATGGCAGAGGTGCTTCATGGCATCCTCCTCTTGGGTCCCTCCTTCCGAGATGTCTGAGCAGACCGTGGGTCCCTGAGCCCTGTCGCCTTCCGGGTCAGCCTCCTCAGCTTGCAGAATGGGGAGAGCCGGTGGCAGGCACAGGGGCTGTGGCCCCTCTGTTCCTTCACCACTGGGGGAGAGAGGGGTGCTTCATGGACAACACGGGGGGGGGGGGAGGGCTGTTAGGGCGACGGCTGCGGGGCGGCCGGGGTGTCCTCTTTCCACCGTTCCTTTCCACGCCACTGTGTGACCTGGGGAGCAGCTGGCCTCTCCAAGTCCCCGTCCTCTGTGGGACCACCGTCTTCCCGGCCAGCACTGCGTCCCGGTGCCAAGCGCCCACGTCACCCGCTGCTGTTTCTGCCGCGTTGCTGACTTGACTTCTTCACAATAGCGCTGATGACTACAGAGCCACAGCTATCAGCACTGCACAGGAGTCATGGTGCAGGGCTCAGGCACAGAGAGATTAAGAAACTCAGCCAAGGTCAGCAGCCGGAAGCCCCAGCGCTGGACCCCGCAGGGCAGCTGGCCCAGGGCCTCTGTGGCAGCAGGAGCCTGCTGCCGCTTGCTACTGTTCCTTGGGTTACTTTTTTTTTTGTTTGAGACAGGGTGTGTCTAAATCTCTAAGCCGCCCAGGCTGGGCCCAAACTTGTGATCCTCCTGCCCAGCCTCCTTGCATGCTGGAGTTTTAAAATTTTCACGTAAGCTCCGTAAGCAATACTATGGTGAGACATGAGTTCAAATGCACACAGAAACTAATGCCCAGCTGTTACAGCCCCCGGGACACCTGGTGAGCAGGAGGGCTGGCAGCTGCAGCCGGCGATACACAGCAGCTGCGCTTCTGATATTTGGCTGAGCTGTACATGAGGCTGCCTCTTCCAGGAAGCCCTCCTGGCTGCCACCCTGCTCTGTCCCCATAGGGACCTCATTCCCCTCAGGGTGTTAGGCTGTCACCAGATGCAGTGTCCTGCTCTGCCCTTTCGCCCCTTCTGTGTCCCCAGTCCTGGGACAGAGGTGTGTCACTGTGCGGGCAGAGGTCATCTAGCCAGAGTCCTCCTCCCGGGTCCTGGCCAAGAGGTGCACCTGGACCTCATATCCAGGAGTTAATCATCAAACCCGGGGCGCCCAGCACAGTCCAGGAAGAATGCAGGGCACCTGGGCTGCCAGGCCCCACATAGACCTCACCTTCTGTTTTACAGATTGGGAAACTGAGGCCCAGCAGTTGATGGGAGCAGCTCAGGTTCACCCAGAGAGACAGTGGTGGAGAGAAGACCTGAATCTGGTGTCCTTCCCCTGCCTAGAGCCTTCTGTGGCTCCCCAGTGCCCCTGGGAAGGTCAGAGTCTGCACTGGCACTGACAGGCTGTGGTCTCAGGCTCTGGCCCTGCCTTCCGCACCCCAGCATTGCCAAACACTTTCTGCTGTCCTTTCTCTTCCCTTCTTTTCTCTCTCTTTTTTTCTTGTGGTATTGGGGGTGGAGCCCAGGGCCTTGCACCGTGTCACATCCCCAACCCTTTTTAATTCTGCAACAAGGTCTTGCTCACTTGTGCCAGCTGGGATCTAACTTGGGATCTTCCTGCCTCAGCCTCCTCTGCCTCGGGCCTGCGTCACGGCGCCTGGCTGTCATCACTTTCAGTTCGCCTGGGTGCCTCTTGTTCACAGGCTCCGTGCCCGACCCGGCGGGCCCTGAGGCGCTGGGCTCCCGCGCGGGTGTAGACGCGCAGGTGGGGGCGCCCTCTTCCCCTTGCGCCACACCTTGGCTTCCTAACCGTGGCGTAGGGTTTGGCGCCGCCGTCAGTGTCGCGAACTGGGAGGGCGAGGCGGGGGCTGAGGCCGGCTGGGTGCCCCTGGCCAGGCGCGCGTCCTTCTCTGGGCCTCAGCGCCCTCTGTCCGCCGCCGGGTGACCCAGGGAAGGGGAGCCTTGGCCTGGGCCCGCCCCTTCCCCCCCCACCTTCCCGGGCGCGGAGCCTTTAACTTGGGGGGCGGGGCAGCGGTGCAGACCGAGCTGGTGCCGCCGCTGGGGTCGCCGAGCGCGAGGTGAGGGCTGGGCCGTGGGGGGAACTGGGGGTTCACAGGCCCGCGTGGCTGACAGTCGCCATCGGTGGGGGGCGGGGACCCCAGGGACGCGCGGGCAGCGTGAGCTGGCGGGAGGAGCAGCGCCGGGGCTCAGCCAGCCGGGGCCACCCCGCTCCCGGCCTGCTCCGGGGAGGCCCTGGGGCCGGGGTCGGGGCGGCGGGGTGCGGGGTGCAGGGTGCAGGGGGTGGCGTGCTCCTGATGACCGAGTCCCCCGGCAGGTTCCGGGGTGCAGCCGGCGCCGCGAGGCCGGGAGAAGCGGGGAGACGCCGGGCGTCAGGCCCAGCGCCGGCCGGTGTTCGGGTCCGCCGCGCGCCCAGCCCGGCCGCTCCCGGTGCACGGAGCGGAGCCGCGAACGGCTCCCCGCGGGCCCCGCACCCCCCAGTCCCGGATTAGTGGCTCCCCCGGGCCCTCCCAGCGCCCTCCTCCCGGAGGCCGCCTCTGCCCGGCAGGGCGGACCCCGCGTTTTGAGCCTGGTCTGTGCGCTTTCTCCCGCGCGCCTTCACCGCTCGCGGCTCTCCTGCGTCTGCAGTCACCTGTTGACGCCGACTCAGCCCCGCGGACTCAGCCCGGTTTGGACACCCCGTCCTGCCCTGCGGTGGGTGTCCCCGCCCCCAGCTCCGGGCCTGCACGCGGGTGGCCCGCAGGGTCCCCAGGAGGGGAAGGGCTCAGCCGCGTGTGCCACGCAGCAGGGGTCCACCCGGCGGTCGGTGGGATTGTTATGCGTCCGCACCCCCACCGTGAGTTGGGGGCTGTGACTGAGCCCAATTTTTCAGAAGGGGAGATGGGCACAGACAGGCTGAGACCCCGGCTTGGGTCACACAGCCAGATAACAGTAGCTGGGTTCTAACTGGCCCCACAGGACCCCAAAGCCCGAGCTCTTGGATTCAGGACTAGGTCCGGTCCGGGCTGGACTACACTAGACTTGGGGACCAGAGGTGACCCATGCACCTGGTTCTCCCGACTAAGGGCAGAAGCACGAGGCGCGCCCCCTGGCGGCTAGTGCTGGGACTGCTGGTCCCGCCTCCAGCCAGGCCCTCCCACGGGTTCTCTGCTCCCTCAGTTCTCCTGACCCCTGCACAACTGCTTTCTGCGGGGTTCCCCGCCCTGTCTCCTGTCTCAGATCAAACCACAGGGGTCCCCCGCCCGCACAGTGGCACATGTGATTTGTATCCAGAGCCAAGCTGTGAAAAAAGGCTGAGGTGGTGCCTGTCTAGAATCCTAGCCTTCAGGAGGCTGAGGCAGGAGCGTCCCGAGGTGAAGCCTAGCCTGGCCTATCTAGTGAGACCTTAGCTCAAAAAGAAAAGCAAATCAACCCCAGGGGTGGGAGGGCGTAGTGCAGAGGTAGAGCATTCGTCCATCATGTGTGGGGCCCCAGGTTTGGCCATCACCACTGCAGAATCAAATTTAAAAAAAACTCCAAGTCACTACCACCAGCCACAAAGCCAGCCACTTCTTAAATTTAATGAGAGGGTTAAACTTTTGAATTGAATATTACCAGGCATTTGATTGTACTAGGAAAAATTATTAATGTGCTAATATTAACATGATAATGGTATTGCAATGACTACATTTAAAAGTGGTATCATTGAGGTATAATTTATTCATTAAAGTATAATTTACATAATCACTGCACTTTAGGTGTAGAATTCAAAAAATCTGGACAAATGCATGGCACTGTGAAACCCTGTGGCTACAGTTAGTTTTGTTTCATTTGAGACAGGGCCTGGTTATTGAGTAGCCCTAGGATGGATGTAAACTTGAGATCCTCCTGCCTCAGCCTCCCAGAGTGCTGGGATTTCAGGCCTGCGTCACCATGTCCAGCCTGAAAAAATCCAATCACACAGGAAGGAAGGGGGGACACAGATATGAGTGAAACCGATTAGACCAGGAGATGAAGCCCGATGGGGCTGGCTGCGAGGTGGATCCCCAGGTCCCCACGCCTTTGGCGTGCTTACATTTTCATAAGAGAACATTTTCGAGTATATTTTCTGGGCTGGATGTCACGGCGCACACACTTGTAATTCCGGCTACTTGGAAGGCTGTGGCGGGAGAATCTATGTGAGTTCGAGGCCAGCCCATACAAAGCGAGACCTTGTCTCAAAAAACAAAACAAAACACAAAATAAGTGCTGGGCATGTAGCTTAGTGCCAAGTAGCTGGGTTCAATATCTAGAATCAGAAAAAAGAAGAAGAAGAAGAAGAAGAAGAAGAAGAAGAAGAAGAAGAAGAAGAAGAAGAAGAAGAAGAAGAAGAAGAAGATATCCCGGAGGCCTTCCCCGGCTCTCTCGCTAGGCCTGTCCGGGTCTGAGATTCTGTCCGGGTCCACCTTCCCACTGGGAAGTGAACCCGGCCAGCAGGGCCTCCCCTGCCTTCTCCACGCCTGGGCCTGGCCTCGCCCCGCAAGTCCTTCGTCCAGAGTGAGCGAGCCGATGGGTGGATGGGTGGATGGACGGGATGACCCAGTTCCCTCTCCCTCCGTCCTGTTCTACGTCCCCCGCCCTGTGCGCAGCCGCAGTTACAGACTGAAGGCGCCCTGTCCCATCCTCCTTGTGCAAATGGGGAAACTGAGGCCAAGGATTGAGGGCGGATCCACATCGGGGTCCCTGCCGGGTTCTCTGGCTGCGACCTTCGTGTCCCCACAGCTGTCGCCATGGAGGGGGCACAGAGCGAGCCCTTCTACAGGGTCAGTCCTCTGCTGCAGAGCTGGGCGCTGTCCCAGGTGGCCGGCACCACCGTCTTCCTCAAGTGCGAGAACGTGCAGCCCAGCGGCTCCTTCAAGATCCGCGGCATCGGGCACTTCTGCCAGGAGGTGAGGCCGGCGGCCTGTGACGCTGCGCGGGCCGGGACAGCCAGTGCGGATGAGCCCCAGCTCCGCCCTTCTCTCCCCAGATGGCCCGGAAGGGGTACCGACACCTCGTGTGCTCCTCAGGTGACCCCCTTTCTGCTTCCTGGGGTCCTCTGGGCGGGGGTCGGGGCAGGGATACGGTGTGCTGGGCTTGGGCTTCTCTTTAAGGGCCAGCCTGTCAAGGTCACAGCTTCGATAGCCACTGTGCACATCTTGCTCCTCCAATCTAAGATGAGTGGTGGCAGCAGGTGACAGAAACTGAATTCACGCAGGTTTAAGCTACAGGCCTCGGGCATAGACAGTTCCCAGGAGAAGAGGCCTTCAGGCATGGATGGATCCAGCAGGTCTCTCTGGTATCTTACCTCTTGAGTTTTCTTTCCCTGGCCTGGTTTCATTCTCATACAGCCTTCATGGTAGCCAGATGTCAGCCAGGAGGCCCAGGCTGTGTCCTGTCCACGCACCAAGTCCAAGGAACAGGGGTGGCGCCTTTCTGCTCTAGAATCTTCACAGCCTTGCCCCTTGGCCAATCACAGTCTCATGATTGAGCTTTCTGATTGGCTCAGTGTAGATCACGTGGCCCGGAAGGCGGAGTCACGGGGGCATATGGGTGGCTCCGGAAGGAGCTGGGAAGGGTAGGGGCAGTGCCCCAGCTCTGACCTTCGGTCTCGCTTGGCTCCTGCTCCCCAGGAGGCAACGCGGGCATTGCAGCTGCCTACAGTGCCCGGAGGCTGGGCCTCCCGGCCACCATCGTGCTGCCCGAGGCCACCTCCCAGCAGGTGGTGAGGAGGCTGCAGGGTGAGGGTGCCGAGGTGCTGCTGGCTGGAAAGGTATGGCCCGGAGTGGGGGGACTGGCTGGCTGGGCTGTCGCCCTGGGGACTCCGCTCCTTTTCCCAGAGGAACTGGGGCCAGGGCCTGCCCTGCTCTCAGGCAGGCAGAGCGGAGGGTGGACATGGGCTGGGACCACCCCATTGCCTGTCCCACGTAACCCCAGGAGACCAGGACATTGGCGACCAGTGGGAGAGTGTCCCTTCCACCCTCCAGACTGTAGAATGAGCCACTTACAAGAAGGAGGGCAGCTGGGTGTGGGGCACATGCCTGGGATCGAGCCCAGCACGCAGGAGTTCAAGGCCAGCCTGGGCTCCGTAGGAAGGCTCTGCCTCCCTTCCCCCTGCTAAAGAAAGTCTGAGGGTGGTGGGTGCAGCATCTTCCATGGGGTGACAGAAGCCACGGCTAACAGTGTCACTGACCCACCGTTATCAAAGAAGCAGAGATCCGGGCATAAAGCTTTCAAAAAACATCCTCAAAGAACGGAGAAGGTCTGAAAAACCTCTCAGAATTAAAGTAGAAGCCAGAGGATGGGCCACCAGGGTGGCCGGCAGATGCTTACTGTGCACATGTCTCCCTCCTCTCCTTCCCTTCCTCCTCCTCCTCCTCCTCTCCATCTCTAACCATCCTTCCGTCCAGTCCAGTAGCTGGCCCATCTCTCCCTTCCTTGCCTTCTTCTATCCATCCATCCCTTCATCCATCCACAGATCCGTCAGCCCCGAATCCACCTCCACCCGCCCACCACTCAGTGTCCATCCCCGCCCACCCTTTACCCATCCCCACCACCTGTGGTCCCACTGTCCACCCGCCCCTCGTCCTCCATATCTGTCCTTACCTCCTGTTGATCCATTTTCCACTCACTGTCCATCGCCCACCCGTCCATTTATTCTCCACCCACCCATCTACCCATCCATTCATCTATCTGTCCTGTGCCTGACTCAGGCAGGGGATCCAGGAAAGCCCCCCAGGAATGCTCAGCCAGCTGATCTTGAAGGAGAATCTGACCCCGCCCAGGGGGAGGAGGGAGAGGGAGGAGGGAGAGGGAGGAAGGCCCGCGGGCTGGGGTGCGGTGTGGGGTGAGCAGGGATCATTGCCTGTCTTCAGGGGAGGGACGGTGCGGGTGGGCTAGAGGCTACAGGCTGCACACTTTGGAATCTAGTTTGTTTTTCTTCTTTCTTTTTCTTTGTGTTTTTGAGACTGGGTCTTGTAGTTCAGGCTGGCCTTGAGCTCACTATGGAGCCCATGCTGGCCTTGAACTAGTGGTAATCCTCCTGCCTCAGCCTCCAGAGTGCTGGGATCGCAGGGGTGCACCACCTCACCTCACCCGGCTGTGATCGATGGTTTTTCCGAGCATAGTCTGTAGTGACCGCTTGGAGGGAGATGCTCGGCTCCTGCTGACTGGTTAGAAGTGAGCAGGGGACCCTTGGGGATCACAGCAGCATGTGCTCCCCTCTCCCACATCCATCCCTGTCCAGGGGCTGCTGGGCTCACACAGGTCTGGTCTTGGCCTGGGGGTGGTGACTTGGAGGCCCTGCCTGTACCCCATCCCCACGAAGCCCAGCTCCCGAGTGCTCTGAGGGCCCTCCCCGCCCGCTTCTCTGCAGGTCTGGGATGATGCCAACCTGAGGGCTGAGGAGCTGGCTCAGAGGGACGGCTGGGTGAATGTGCCCCCATTTGACCACCCTCTGATATGGTAAGGTTGGGGACCTTACGGTGGCCCTGGGGGGGGGGTAAGAGGCCTCAGACCCAGACAGACAGGTGTTCAGACCCCACTTCCACCCTTTGAGAATGATGGGACTTGTGTGCCTCAGTTTCCCCATGTGTAAAGGGAGGGGATGGTAACACAAGGTCCCTTTATGAACTGTGTGCCTTGGGGCCAGGCTCAGGCTGAAGGTCTCCATGCACTGTTGTGTTGATTCTCCCCGAGGGCCAGGTGCTGGGAGTCGTTATGCCGGGTTTAGGGAGCTCAGGAAGGCCAAGTGAGTCACCCAAGGTCACACAGCATGCAGGCTGCAGAGTCCCAGGGGTCCCACCCCAGAACATCAGCAGGCTGGTTCTAAGTGGTGTGGGGTCCCCTCGTGACCAAACACACTAACTTCCGCCTCTCTCTCAAGCTGGGGGGTTCAGTGGCTAGGGTTCCAGCAAGCACCTTGGGGTGGAGGCTAAATAAATGAGAGGAAGACGGAGCCCAGCGACCCGGTCACCTCCCCCTGCAGGGAAGGCAACGCCAGCCTGGTGCGCGAGCTGCAGGCCAGCCTGGGGGCCCCGCCGGGTGCCGTGGTGCTGGCCGTGGGCGGCGGGGGGCTCCTGGCCGGGGTGGCGGCTGGCCTGCTGGAGGTGGGCTGGCAGCACGTGCCCATCATCGCCATGGAGACCCGCGGGGCGCACAGCTTCCACGCGGCGCTGGAGGCCGGCCGGCTGGTCACGCTGCCGGACATCACCAGGTGGGCTTGGTCGGGGGCTCTGGGTCTCAACCCGCGGGGGCAGGGACCCTCAGAAGGGTCCCGCTGTCACTGGAGTTCCCATAGTGAAGGGTCATACTGGGGTTCAGCCTCCCCAATACACAGAGCAGGCTCCTGCTGGTCTGCAGCGGTGCAAACGCGGCAGAGAATACGCAGACACCCAGTTTGCGCGCAGCACGGAAAGTGGTCCCCGCGTCTCCAGCTCTTGTATCCTGAACGTGTTTCGGGAGGGCACCCAGGGCCTCGCGCCCACAGGCTGTGCGCCCCTGAGCTAGTCCACCTCTCTGAATGTCAGCTTCTTCTCACCCAAAGTGTGGGTGCGAGTACTGAAATGGCGGACCCCGAAGTACAGCCCTTAGGAACGATTAGCTGCAGCAGAGACAGGCGCAGCATTCAGGGACTAAACCCCTGGGGCTCTCCCGGTGCCATCCCGCAGCGTGGCCAAGAGCCTGGGAGCCAAGACGGTGACCGCGCAGGCCCTGGTGTGCGCGCGGCAGTGCCACATCCTGTCCCAGGTGGTGGAGGACGCGGAGGCCGTGAGCGCCGTGCAGCGGTTCCTGGGTGAGCGACCCCACCCAGCCCCGAGCCCCTGGTCTCGAGGCGGCACCCCAGGGCTCAGTTCGCAGGAGCCGCTCTGTGCCTGGGGAGGAGGTGGAGGGGCAAAGTCTCTCTCCTCTGGACATCCGCGCATGCTCCGTCACTTTCTGGCGTCCCACATGGAGCCTCCTCCAAGGAGACACCCCGATCCACCTACATACGCGGGGGCTGGGCACCCCTGCGCCCCCGCTTTCTGCTCATACCTGGTTTTCCCTGAACTCATGACTAGATTGTGAGCGCCATGAGGGTGGGGCTGGGGGGTTTCTTCACGGTCGTGTTCCAGGGTCCTCCCAGCACAGGGCCTAGCTCTGTAAACACTGGTGCAGGGAACCGATGGATGAATGGGTGAGTGAGTGGGGAGGCTGGTGATGGACAGATGGATAGTGAAGGGATGGATGGACGGACGGGGCCATGGTTAATGAAAGACACACAAGTGGATGGATAGGTGGACAGACATAGTGATGAATGGATTTATTAATGGGTGTGGGGATGGATGGATATGTTGACTGATGGCCACTCTGATGAGTGGACAGAGAAATGGATAGATGGATGGAAAGATGAAAGGTGGGCAGCTAGAGAGATAGATGGTCAGCTTGATGGACAGAGTCAAGCATGATGGGCTGTAGGAGGGATAGGCGGATGGATGGATGGATGGTGGATGCATGGATGAATGAATGGGTGGGTGGGTGGATGGAGGGGCGGATGACTGGGTGGGTGGGTTATGGATAGGTAGTTGACTAGATGGATGGGTGAGCAAATAGATGGGTGAGTGGATGGGTGGATTGGTGGATGAATGACTGGATGGATGGGCAGGTGGGTGGGTGGATGGATGGATGGATGGATGGATGGATGGTTGGGTGGTTGGACAGGTGGATCTGCAGTGCCCCAGCCTCCTGGGCACTGACTGCACACCGCCCTCCCCTGCAGATGACGAGCGCATGCTGGTGGAGCCCGCCTGCGGGGCGGCCCTGGCTGCCATCTACTCCGGCCTCGTGGGGCAGCTGCAGGCTGAGGGCCGCCTGTGCCCCTCGCTGGCTTCCATCGTGGTCATTGTGTGTGGAGGAAACAACATCAACAGCCAGCAGCTGCAGGCTCTGCAGACCCAGCTGGGCCAGAGCGGAGGCTCCCGAGCTGTATGACTCTCCCGCGGCGGCCGAGGGGCCTCGGGTCTGCAGATGGCAGTGGCCGTGTGTGTGCACCCGTGAAGCCTCCTCCTGTGGGAAGCCCTCCAGGCCCGCTACCTGTGGCTCCCTGCAGTCCTGCTAATAAAAGTGACTCAAGGTTTCACGGTGCAGGAACCTGGGTATGGCAGTGGCAACCTGTAATCCTAGAACTTGGGAGGCTGAGGCAAGAGGATTACTGAGCTAGAGATTGACAAACAAGACTTGGCCTCAAAAAATAAAATAAACGAAAATACCGAAATGAAACAAAAGACAGACTTCAAATTCCTTAAAGAAAAAAAAAAAAAAAAAAAAAAAAAAAAAAGGCCAGCAGAGCCAAGTTCCTAGGAGGTGTCCCTGTGGCTGGAGGCCAGGCAGTCCGGAAGGAGGGCACCCCAGCTGTCTGTGGCTTCTCAGACCTGGAAGAACAGGTCCATCGCGTCTTCACAAGCGATTTTCAGGGTCACTCTGCATTGCTTGGGCGCAACATGCAGTGTGGGACTTGGTGGAGTGGGACCCCAGGTCGTCTGCACGCACCTGTGGGTCTCAGCGAGAGGCAGGCGCTGGGCCTGGATTGGACACCTGCGTGACCGGGCAGCAGCACTTAGCAAACGGACGGAAGTGCTACTCCTTTTGGCCACAAGGGGGCAGCAAAGCGTCTCCTATGGGGAAGGCGCCCGTGTTGGGGACCTGTGCCCTGGGTCCCCTGCTCCACCCTGCTGGAGTTTGCATGCAGACACCTTTGCCCACCTCTTGACCCTACCAGGGGACAAAGCTCAGAGAGCACGGGGCCCACCCAGCGTCACAGCCCACAGCAGAACCAGCTCCTGCCTCACGGGGCTGTGTTACCTTGGGCAGGTGCCCTCCCTTGGCTGGGCCTGGCTGCATGTCCTGGATGTACCCAGGCTCTCCCCTTCTCAAAGCGCCTCCTCTTGCCAAGAGCAGGCCTAGAGCGCATGGTGTCCTCCCTCCCCCTCATCTGGCTCCTTTTAACCCCAGAAGTAGCCTCGATTGCCAGGGATTCTCCCCTCCCCTATTCTGCTTGCATGGGGCTTCCCTTTGTGACTTCCCTGGTTTTCCAAGACCTTGTGAGCTGGATGCAACCGGACCTGAGGCTGGCTCTGTGGTACCTGCTGGCCTCTGATATCTTCCCGCTGGCTGAGGATTATTACTATGGATCCGGGATGGGTCCTCTGTCAACAAACACCTGTTTACTGTCCCCTGGACATCCCTCTCCAATAGCAGAGAACTGGGATTTATTCCTGCCTCAAGCATCTGCTGGGTGCTACAGGCTACTGCGATGCTCTGTGTCCCCTGCCCGTTGTGTCCCTTCTGCTTCCAGGTCATATACAGTCTTTGAAACCCACGGAGAGGGCAGCCTCCTTCTAGAAGCCTTCCTGGGCTGCCTTGGCCAGCACTGTGTCCCTAGGGATGTGGCGGGTCCCAGGTGCTCTGTGTGGCATGCAGCCTGCCCTGGCCTTGAGCTGGTTTGTGGTGGCTCTCCCTGCCTCCCTCAGCCCTGGGACAACTGTCAGCTGCTGTTTGCTCTTCTCCTGGTCCCTGAGGCTGCAGATAAGGGACTGTTGACCCTGTGAGGTAGTCACTGGGGGTGCTGGGCAGGCTCACCTGCAGCTTCCCGCTGGTGGCTTCTCACAGCTGAGCCCCTGACTGCTGTATGGATGATCCTCAGCACTGTGGCCTCTGGAGACCCCATCTGCATCCTTGTTCCCAGGTCACAGGGAGGCTCCAGCTGTGGTTGACACACGGGGACTTCTCAGCCCAGAGTCGGGGTCAGGCAGGACCAAGACAGGGCAGACTGGGCAGATGGCCCAAGCCTGCAGAGAAGCAGCCCGGCTGGCCTCTGGTCCCTTCCAGCAGCTGTAACCATATGCCACCAAGGAGGTGTGACCCGTGCTTCTGGAGGCCGAGAGGTCCCAGCATGGGTTGAGGGCGCTTCTTGACCCGCATCTGGGTTTGCACACCTGATGGGATGGCGGGGAAGTGAAGGTCCCTCAGGCCTCTTTCATGAGGCACACACATCTAGGCTGGACGAGGGGGTGCAGGCACGGGCAGCTTAGTGACTGCAAGAGCCTGTCTCACGAAATAGAAGGGGAAGCTCTGGTTTCAATCTCCAGGACTGTAATCAACCAGCCAATCAATCAATTAAAAAGGACGAGGAAGCTCTGAGCTCCCTGGTTTCCATCCTTAGGACCGCCCCAACAAAAGAATACAAACAAAGGCGGTTTGCCAGGGCTGACTGGCCTTCAGCCGCTCAGGTTGCAGCCTTATCTGGGCTTGTGCTTCTGTAAAATGAGGGCCATCTTCTATTGGGATCCCCTTTTCATCTGGGGGCCCCAGCTGCTTGTCCTGAGCAGAACAGCAAAGGCACGCTCACTGTGCCTTCCTGGCACAGGCGGCTGGCATCTGAGGAAGGCGGGAGAGTGTCCTCAGTCACTGTGTGTAGCGGTCTCCTTTGGGAATGACTGGTGGTTCGGGCTGGGCAATCCGGGTTCACTAGCATTTCACTCCAGCTCTGTACGAAGATGTTCCCTCATTCTCCATCCACCTCGGAGGGCTGGAAGTCACTCTTAAAGCCTCCTGCCCCAGCTTCCTGGAGGCCCTGCCGTGATGCTTCCATCCCCAAGGTGAACTCATGGTCCCAGATGGAAGCTGGAGAGGGAGCCATTATATACTCATTCCAGGCAGCAGGAAAGAGGAAGGAATGCAGAAAGGCATGGCTCTTCTTTTTGAGACTACTTCCTGTAGATGACACACCCTCCTCAAAGACCATTGGTTAGAAATAGTCACATGTCATAACTAGCTGCAAAGGATGCTGGGAAATGTAGTCCGTAGAAGGCAGCTATGGACCCAGATAGAACCAGAGGTACTGTCATACAAGAAATATTTGCTAGGCAGAGTAAATGTGTGCAGGTACACCTTAAGCTGCTATAACAAAAAGACCTAAAATTACAGTGCTGTTTCCAGTCAAGTAGGCAGCTCTGCTGTGTCAGGTCAGGAGCTCTCAGGTTTCTCCTATGCTGTTGCTTCTTTATCTCTTAAAGTATTGTCACCCACGTGGTCAGAATTGACTCATAATCACCAGGCCTGTCTGCAGGTAGCATAGAGGGCAGAGGAAACAGACAGAAGTGCTGCCCCCCTGCCTAGGGTCAGAGGCCAAGATTTAATCAGGGCACATCCAGCATCAAGGGATTGTGGGAAATGTAGTCTGAGCTGGGCAGATGCTCACCCTGCTAACGTTCCGGGCTTCTGAAGGGCACTGTGGGTCTGGGGTAATTGCAGGGGGAAGGAGAGGGACGGGGTGGTGGGACGTGGTCGGGCAGTGGGACTCCAGCAGGCTGGGGTCATCTGCCATGGGGGACGGTGTGCAGGGCTCAGTGGGACCAGATGCCTCGGGGAAGGTTCCCCGGTGCCTTGGACGTCCATGGCCTGCGGTTTTTGTGGAGGCAGGAAGTTTGGAGGCACCCTGAGGAGGTTGGACTTGACCCATGTGGGGCCATTTGGAGGGTGGGGCGAGTTTGGCCGCTGGATTGGTGGCTTTGGTGACTTGTGTGTAGACGCCTCGGGCAGGGAGTTTGGGGAGGGGGCATGAAGCCAGGCGGCCACCCGTTCCATTACTTAGCACCTGGGTTGGGTCAGGCTCCTTTTAAGGGAGGGGGACCCAGCAAACCCGGGGTTCTTGGGGCCTCCTTGTAATGGGGACGCACAGGAAGGTGGGTGGGGGACGCTCACAGGGTAATACTTGGCTGTTTATTACACTGGAGTATTTTACACTGCTCTGCTCATAAAAGGGTATCAGTATGAGTCTTTGACACAAGAGATTTTTAACCGTAGGCACAATACTGTTGCTGTCTCCATTACAATTAAATAATTGCTTAGTACTATCTGATACCCAGTTTGCATTCAGTTTTCTTTGGTGGTTTTGTTTGTTTGCTTGTTTGAGCCAGAGTCTCTGCTAGTCTCAAGCTGGCCTCAAACTCAGGGTGATCCTCCTGCCTCAGCCTGCTGAGTGCTGGGATTACAGGTGTGCACCACCACGCCTGGTATGAAAATGCTTTGTTAGAATTTACCTGTTTAGAAGTAGTATCCTCTTTGTGCAGCACTGGCCCAACTGCTTAAGTCTCAGTCTATTACAATTAGTTGAGACAGCATGGTCCAAGAAGCTCTCTTGGAGAGGTGAGATGTGAGCTGACACTTGGAGGCTGGAAGGGGTGGAGCAACAGGAACAGGCAGCCTGTGCAAAGGTCCTGAGGTAGGATGGTGTGAGGAGGGCTGAGTGGCTGCAGGGCAGAGGAGGGCAGAGAATGGCAGAAGATGGTAGAAGACGGATGGAGAGTGACTTCAAGAGCAGATAAATAAAAAGCAGAGCCCCGGGTCTCAAGGCAGGGGCAGCCCTATGGCCAGGCAGAGTCTGCAGCTTCCTCCTCGTCTCCATCCCCTGCTCCTGCTGCCCTGCCCCGTGCCCCTCCTTGGTCAGTCACAGGCCTCAGCTCCTCTGGTCTACGGGGACCCCATCCCCACCCCTGTCCCACCCCTTCTCCAGTGTTTGCGCTTTCTAAACTCCACCAAAAATGTCAGGGCAGGTTTCTGGCTCTGCTTCCAAACTCCCTGATAAATTCGCCTGGCAGGGCAAACCCAGGAGAGGTTTTCTGGAGCAGGGAACCTCATAAATCACCCCGCTGCCACTCCGGCGTGGGCAATATCTTATGTAAAAAGGTGTTTCCAGGGAGCGCCCCCGGCAGGAGAATCCTATTACAGGCCGCCCCATTAATTATCCGGAGTCAAGTCGACCCTTTCCTGCAATTTTTTATCTTAAGTCCGAAAACTGATTACCTTCACCAATCCTCCCCCTACCAAAAAGATCTAAAGAATAAAATAAATGTTTGAAGAACAAATCGTCACATTTCTCCCTTCAAGGGGAGCTGGCGACGAATCGGGGAGCCAGGCAAGGGTCCTTTCCTCTTCTTTTAGGGTGAAGGTGAGCAAAGACTTGGGGGGGCCTGGTTATTTCCTTTGCCAGTCAGAGGGGGGGGGTTTACAATTGGTCCCATGTTACAGGTGAGGGAAACTGAGTCTCACTGGGAGGAGCGAGGTTTGGCGCCTTCTCTCAAGATGGTGCAGTGGACAGGGAATGGGTGAGGCTGGGTATCTAAAGACCTGGGTTTGAATCCCACCTCTCCCTCTTGCTGGCTAAGACCCTGAGTATGTGGGTGAAGCTCCCCGAGCCTCGGTTTCTTCCTCTGCAAGGTGATCA